GCTAAGTCTGTAAGTACATGCAAATTTTATATAAATAATTCTAAGAATTATATTTATTTATCACAATTATTTCCGGCTCAGTGTCCTAGAAAAATCGTGATGTTCAATCGCGCCACGCTGTCTACCGTTGCGTCTAGAATGTAAACACGTAAAACCCTTGTTGCTATATGGCCGAAATATTTCAATACAAGTTTTATGAGCTAAGCTCGTATTACATTATGTTTATGAACAGTGCTAAACAGTTTTAATCTGTTAATTTACATTAGATAATTAGTTAGATAACTAAAGCCGAAATTATATTTCTTATCTGCATTTTTTAGGATGACACGGGTGGATCAAGTAGCAAAGTTAATACGACAGGTGACAATAAATATGGCAAAAATAAAAAGAGTCCGAAGATTGGAGGATTAAACCCCAGCAATATATACTTAGCTACGAAATACGATGACAATGTGAGTACCTTTTTTTTAATGACCGAAAGTTTGGGTTAGTGATAAAAATCTTAAATTTATGTTAATGTTTTATTTTTAAATTCACGATGACATTTACTTGCCCATCGTATGAGCAAAAAAAAATTGTTTGCGTGGCATTCGAGAATCTTCGTATTAAAGTTTTTATTTTTAGATGTCCTTTAACGGTTTCCTAACGAGATTAAAATAAATTATTATAAGAATCTCTAGAAAAATAAAACAATGACCTCTCTTTTCTGTTACACTGTTGGAATCAACCAACTCTATTTTATTACATATCGACGCTATGTAATATAATAACATGCAACCATACCTAATGTAACAGGAAACAAAGTCAGAATTTTTTTTATTAATTTAGCGGTAATAATAAGATCCTGCTTGAAATTGTGATATCATTATTACTAATTATAAATAAATAATGGATTTACAATATAGTAATTTGCACTGCTTTGATTAAGGATATTTTTTTGGCAAGTGATAATAAAATTTAAATATTTAATCTTGAGACGTATTCCATAGCTAGGAAAGTGAGACTCCAAACCAATTGCCTTAGGAGCTCCATTCTATTGATAGCAAAGAAGCGAAGCTGGTACAGATGTCCAACTGTGGGTTAAACATTCAAGCCAAATTTCGGCTAACAGCTCTAAAAGATCTGTCTGTTGGCGCCTATTTACGTAGGCGTCAGGACCATAGATGGCGCTTCCCGTGCGCAAGAGAAAGATGCCGGGTTCAATTCCCGGTCCCAACAAACGAAGAAAGGAGGTTCAGCCAACCCTATGTCTTTCACAGATAAAAATAAGGTAATAAAAATTACAATGCAACAACAGTTGCTGCATGTTTATCAGCACGTCGTTCAGTACAAAATTAATCCGTTTTCATTGACCTCTAAAAGTCTCATTTGTTTGCGTTATCAGAATAGATTGCAATGTATTTCGTAACTAAGCAGTTTAATCAGCCACATCACAGCTATATCTGCAGTGATAGTCGAGTGCAAGAATGTTCATATCTAAAAAAAAAAAAGATAGTAAGAATTTTTTTCTTTTGTTTAAGGTCCCAGAAGAACTCGTCTGTCTTCATTTTGATGACTTGATTATGAAGGCCTTAAAACTGACTCCGAAAAAACCCAAGTAACTCTCACGTGACCATTTAGTCGGAAATATTTTTACAAATATCAGTCTTGTTAATTATATTTAAAATTCTAAAATCTTTATCTAATGATATTTTGATAAATTTTGGCTTAAACCTAAACGATTTGATCTCTTGTAGTAATACTCGTGATATATTGTGACTGATGGTGCTAGTGATGTTGTTAATTTTTAAGAGTTTTTACGTTAAGTTCTTTACATTACAATTTATATTTCAAAATTGAAATAAAGGATAATTGTGAATAATTACAAATAATTCATTGTATTATAAATATGAAATTTATCCTGTCCTTGAACAAGTACTGATTAGAAATAATTATTTCATTATCAGAATGCAAAAACATTGTGCAATTTTAAAAACACACATTAGGTTAATTAGTATTAGGATCCATCAAATGGGCATACGCCATCTGGCGTCAGAACTTGTAACACAGATAAGGGATAACTTAATACGGAAATAACACATATAAACCGTAAAATTGTTTAAAAAAAAAAATTACGTGATTGGCATTAAAAACACGCTCACCTTCAAGGAATTTTTTTCCGGGAGTTTGCATCAGCCCAATCACACATTGTTCCAATACTTATCGGTTAACTTTAATTTAAAAATTTAGAAATTACACAGTAAATAATAGGAACTATGGTAAATTTACCCTTATCTACACCATTTTTTTAGGCTCCTCCCATTTGATGGATCTCAATCGCATTTGACCAAATATCATAACCGAAATTAGAATAAACTTCTAGTTTAGCAAAAAAAAAAAAAATACTTTAAAATGTAACACAATAGTGAATATTCAATTACCGTCACGTATCACATGCCAATTCAATGTTTGGTCAGTTCCGTCCCGATGTGAGGTAGGTCAGGGAAGTCATGACTAACGTTATTATGATATACCATACACATTTTTGGGTAGTGTATATTGGTTATTTGTTCCTCATTAATGGACGGAATTATATTTCAAATATAAATTGAGGTATTTGGTATTGCACACATACCGTTAACACAAAAACTATGCAAATAAATAACTGTTAGAAGCATTTCACCATTGTATTTTAATTTTCTTCTAAAGCGCCTAGAACAAAAAAATACAGATATATATGTAAATATATGAATCTTGGTGTACTAGTTTCAGGTAAATGAATTAATAAAACGAGGAAAGACCTACAGGTAAAAACCCGGACAGCACCGAATTATGGAGTGTGAAGGGGTGATTAGATAAAGAATAAAGAAAATATCTGAATTTAAAGGTTCAAAGTAATTTGACAGATATTTTCCCGTGGATATTTCCTTATTTTATTTATTTATTTGCCTAAAACTACTGCTCAAAGTTCCATATACTTATACATACCTATATGTTTTCGCTCAAGGCGCTTTGGCTATACCTTCAGCTATAAATGACAAGACTTTTATCTTTATCTCTAATTTAATTGAAACCGGGAATGTTTGGTATGCTGCTTCTGACTGCTTGTGCTCAAGAGATATGACTTTAATGAGATCTTTCCTAAGGGACTCTCCTCTATGAATGACTAATCACAACGTACCTCATGTTTGCTTTAATATTGTTTTACTTTTTTTTTTCTACTCATGTACATATTTTTACTACCTATCTGTGGCCTTAGCTTGACTTTGCCGTTGGGCATATGTAAATTTTTGAATAAATAATATAATTAGTACTAATACTTTGAAGTAATGGAAACAAAAGATCGCATAATAATTAGTAATACAAAGTCACCTTAATCAATTCAATAAACCATAGTTATTTATTGATTAATTGTGCCAATTGTTTGTATAGTGGAGGCGAGACCTTTTTGTATGTAAATTGTCATATTACGTAGCTGATGAAATATTTATTAACTAATACACCTGAGTATTATTTTGACTGCTTAAATTGAGAGAATAATGCGTTCATTCCATGGTTGCCGAATTATTGACGCATTTCACTACGTCATAATTATGAGTTGCAAGATAAATGAAGACATGTAACAGTTTAAAGAATTTCCGTGTTGCTATGCACTCGGCAACATGAAGATACCAAATTAAATATTACGTAGACGAAGTCACGGGCGTTCATTAGCAACGTATATTTTTATATTCAAGGTTGAATGTCGTTAGAACTCGTGTTAGATGTCTAGATTTTTTTTTCTCTACATTATGAGAACCAACATTAGTACGATGTCTACGTTTTTTAAACATCAAAGCCGAAGAGTAATAGTTAATTAGAAATATGACAGCAAACCTAAAAAACGCCTGAGCGTCTAAGACGTATAGCCGAAAAAATTCGGCATAAGAAAATCAATCATAAGACAATAGGTTTTTTAAGAATACAAATAAATCATTCATAGAAACTATAAGTAAGAAAAAAAAGTCTGCTTAGACAAACCGACACTCCGTACATTAATCTGTCAGCGTGTTATTAGAATTATGTTGCGCAATGGATCGTATATTTCATGAACTGAATAATTATTTCTTAGAAAAACCGCAAAGTATGGCTGAGTATTTAAACCGATAAAAGTGTTACTCGTTAGTGTTTACTAACAATGCAGTTGTAACCGATAGAGTAGAAAGCGTTACACATAATAAGGATAATCTTGATAGCTTATCACACATAAACTCACATGGAATATTTATAGTTTTTTTCCCTGTTCGTACAGCTGTTCACAACATGGAGTTGATATTTGTCTAGTGTGAATCAGAGGCCCAAAATGGGAAACGTTCAGTTTGTTGTGTGCTACGCTAGAGACGTCTCGTGGTGAACTAGAAATTTAAATATTTTTTTGCTTAAACCAAGTGCTGTTTTAATTTGTGAAGTTACAAATAACTATATTCGAGTTACGGTAAGTGATTTGTAGTTCATAATAATGTTAATGAGTACCTAACAGGTATAATATCATATAGTTATGAGTATGGATTGACGTTGAATGTCTATTTGTAGATGCAAGAGTTACCGGGTCAGCGAGAAGGTACTAGAAAGTATTTCCACAATGGATATTTCTATCATTTAGATCCACGCTCTGCTGATATTGGAAATGCCTTTATCTGTACTTATCGCTATCGGCAATGGCAATGCCCAGTAACCGCTCAGAAGCATGTAACCAGAGAGATCAATGTGAAAGGAGAGCACGGTCACTCACCAACTTCTTTACAAGAATACAAACGTTTTGAAGAGTTCAAAACGAAGCTTAGAGAGCGAGCACGCGAAAGTACTGATTCACCCAATGTCATCTTCAAAACACTGAAAATCGAGTAAGTAATTCTAAAATCGAGTAGTTAACTACAACTTCTTGTTTTAGAGATTTTTTCAATAGATGACGTATACAGAGTAATTAAGATATTTAATAAACAAATTCTTTGCAGATATTCGGATGTTGCTCACCTTATACAACAAAGTAGTGCCAAAATGCACATAAGAAGGGAAAGGAATAAATATCAGCACAAAATACCCAAAACATTAAACGATCTTGGTAATTTACTTGCAAGGTATGAACCTGTCCAAGGAATTTACCAAGGGCAAGTAGTGGTATCGGAAACAAGCAGTGCTGTTATCTTCGCAAGTAATACTGTGCTAGAACGCCTAAATGATTTCTCAGAGATCTACGTGGATGGTACTTTCAAGGTAACTTTTAGATACCCACAAATATGTATAATACGTGAAATATACTTATTTTAAAAATAACATTCTGTCTTACATATTTCCAGTGTGTGCCGAAAGACGTAGGAGCCAAAAAGCTTCTTATCTTACACATGAGGAAAATGGACGAGGTATATAACTGAAATACTTTTGCCTTATATGGTACAATGCCATCATTAACACTATTTCTTATTTTCTTGCAGGGTATGGCAAGTGTCTTCGTACTTTGTGCAAACCAAACAGCTGAATTATACATAGGTATCTGGAACTTTTTGCTCGAACGAGTTCCCGGACTTAAGACGAGCTTAAAATTCATTATGATGGACTTCGAGCGGGCATTGATAAAGTCTGTAAAAGAGACCATGCCATGGATAACGATCAGAGGTTGCTGGTTTCATTTCACTAGAGTGAGTATTAATACAATTTGAGAATGATATGTAAAAACTAAAAGGTTTTATTAACATGTGTTTTTCTTTATTTTCAGGCAATCTCCTGTCATTGGCAAGATTTAGGTTTGAAGAACGTTTCATCTACTCTTGTCCAGGATATTCTTTCTCTTACCTGGGTACTTCCTCTGCTACCCGTAAAACATTTTTCTACAGCTATTGAAATTTATAAAAAAAAGGCTAACCAAGTTGAGCCAGAATATCAAGATAGTGTCAATGAATTTATTGACTATTTAGAGAAACAGTGGCTACGAATAGCTGAAATAGTGTCTTTATGGGGATCACCTACTCGGACGAATAACATCTGCGAATCATTCAACAGATGTTTATCACAGCGTCTTGGCAGTCATCCCAATGTCTTTGTTTTTATTGGTAAGTTACTGATGTTAATGTAAAAATACTTTTATTTTATAAAAGTTGAGGATGATAAAAAATGCTTATTTTCCAGAAAAATTGATGAACATAATTGCGGAGATAGAAGACAAATTGAAAGACCTCCAGCGCGATGGAAGTGTCCTTGGCAGACAATGTTTCAAAAAGTTGAAAATTGATATGTATATAAAGTATCAGCAAATAGCGTTGCATAATGAAAGGTAAGAAAAACTAAACATTACTATTATTATGTCACGATTATGATCTGATAAGTAATGAATCAATAAACATTTTGTCTTTCAGGATCGATGTTGGTGAGTTTCTGATGAAGATGAAGACCAAGACTGTAAAAGATTTCATTCAGCTCAACTTGTACTCACCACATAGTAAGTATATATATATCTTTGTATATTGAATCAATCGATTTAAAATTCTCTCATTACTTATAATATTTTTTATACATTTCAGATATCAAAGATTTTAATCCAGAAGACATATTGGGTCCCGAGGAGCTCGCGGATTTACTTAGAAACCCGCAAGTAATGGAGGTTGTTGACCATACGACGGTAGAGTCTCCAGAAGTCATGCAAGTGAAGAACTTTACAATCAATCAAAATTTAGAAGTCACACAGGAACCAGAGGCGATGACAAAACCGGAAACAGTAAAAGTCAAGAAACATCGGGTAGTGAGACAAAGAAAGCTAGCTCATCAAACTCATACCCCTGAAGTTCTTACTCGGAACGCAAGAAAAAAGAAACTTAGAGATCGACCAACTACAAAATCTCAGAAGAAGAGTTGTGCAGCAAGCCCTTCCTCTAAAACAACTTCAAAAAAAATATCGAAAAATGAAAAATCACGTAGCCTACTGATTGTCAAACACGAACCTCGCTATAAGATGTCTCCAGCTTTGAAAGCAGCTCTAAAAAAAGCCGAGAAAAATAAGCAACTTCGTATTCAACAATTAGCAGAAAATGAACTTCGCTTCAAGTTTTCTCCATTTTTCAAAAAGTTACTGAAAAGAGAAGAGACAAAGCATCAAACGATTGAATAGAATAAATTGATAGAGATGTAATTATAAAGTTGTAACGATAGAGTTGTCATAATGCATTAGGGTTTCATGCCTTATCTGTATTGACTTAATTAGATTGTGCTTGCTAGGAATTATCAGAAATAATGTGGATTAAATCAAACAAAAACATTATACTGTGATGATAGAGTTGTAACGATAGAGCTGTAATGATAGAGTTGTAATGATAGAGTTGTAATAACAGAGTTGTAATGATAGAGTTGTAACAATAGAGCTGTAATGATAGAGTTGTAATAACAGAGTTGTAATGATAGAGTTGTAACAATAGAGCTGTAATGAATAAAATTCACAGTTTCTCTAAAGGAAAGAAAACTGCTTTGTTAATTACAACTCTATCAAACACTACCCAATGTGTACAACTCTATCAAGCACAGCTCAATCGTGCACAACTCTATCACGCACAGCTCAATCATGTACAATTCTATCTTATATAAACACTTGTATATAGGAAAGGCTACCCTTTAAAGGTATTTACTACTCACTTTATTAAAGTTTTTTTCTCATAATAAAAATTTTACTCTATATTTTTTTGTTTATTTTTTAGAATAAAAATTCGCAAAAATAAACTTTAAGTCTTTAAGTCATCGTATGGACAATATGACTTCGAAAATACTATCTGTTTATTCTATTTTCACATTTTTAATTGAGAAAATTCCATCTCCATCGATCCCTATTTTCCAATTAAAAAATGGTAATTCCTAATTAGAGGAATATTCGATATCGATCTATTGAAATACAAAAATAGACTCAACTCTTTCAGTGGAAAGGAAAAAACAATCATTAAAATACGTAAATTCCCAAAGTTGATTTCCGAATTACGTAAGCGCCATTGTTCTATTTATGTACAACAATAACATACCTGCTACTAAAATAGAATTTTATGATATTTATTTATAGGTCTAAACTCCAAATAACGGCACTATTCAACGAAATGACATCAACCGAAATGGACTCCATGAAATGCACAAATATTTGACACAATATTACCGAAGTTGATTTATCAAGATCCATTTCTTTTATTCATTCAAAAAGAAGGTATTGTAGTTGGCGTCTAAAACTACAATCGATCTTTATTGAGCATATTTTACTGACCACATCATTTTCTGAGGTAAATACAAGAGGACATTGTTCTTTTGACAACAGTTCAGTGAACGATTGAAATGTTATGACACTATCAAGACATAGTTATTTAACATGTTATCCTGTTATTGCATGTTCATATTAATGACAATTATTATTTGCAATAAGTCTTCGCCAGAAAATGGAACCGAAACAATACCCCTGTTAACAATATTTAAGATACGGAAAATTTGCACATGTGCTTCAAAAGTAACAAAAGATTGTAAACCAGGCTTTCAAATATCGGTCATGATTTAAAATAGATCTTTAATTTCTCAACTAGTAGTTTTATGATGAACAAAATAATAATAGTAATAGCTTTCAAGGTTTGAAAGAAAAATAGTAGTTTAAATATTTATGTTTAATAACATCCCATAGCTAAATGATATGTAGAGTATCATTATTGTCTTACATTGTTGTTAAACTTCCTGTTTATCAGACTTATAGAATTCTAAGTTTGATAGCATGCTTTTGTAGTTTTCCCATTAGCACATGATATCTTCACTATTGAGTTGTTCATCCAAAAAAAAAACTGTTACCGAAAAAGAATATTTATTTTAGATTCCGCGTAGAGGGAGTAATAATGATAATAATATTTTTTGATGGACAATAATCCTTCAACTAAACCTTAATCGTTGTAAATGAAGATCTTTTTAACGACTTTTCGGGATGACATCTCTACTGTATAAATCAGAGGTGGGCAAACGTGACTCTTGAGGTATAATTTTCAGAGCTATTACTCTTGGGAGTAAAAGTGAGAAAGATATAAGATGTTACTAGGTAGACCATTTTTATTGATGCTCCCCTGATGAACCCTGTCTTTATCTTATAATCTTATATCTTGTATATCTTTTCAAGTGTTCTATGAGGCATACGAATTGACTTCTAAAAAAAAGTTGCTCCCTGCCTGGTACAATTTTACCTGAACATTGTACAGAGCTATTTCTACTTTTTTCTAATATTATTATTAGACTCTTTTCGCGTTGAACTAATAAAAGTCTTAATCCAATTACAAACTTTTGAGGTTTTTATATTAACACATAGTGTTGTTTCTGAAGGATTCTCAACGTATCTTTATTTTTGTCCAAAGAGATTCTTTGGTAAGTCTTGACAGATCCATTTAAGTAATCGAAAACAGTTGATAATAAAAGAACATTTCTATTAGTTATTATGTGAAGAAAATAATAACAGCTATTATTTATAATACACAGGTTACGGCATAAATCTTGCCGTATGAAAAAATATAGAAGTACGAGTGAATAGCAATGGATTCAAAAAATCACCGATTAGTTTGTGTCAATAGGTAACAGTTTATATTTTGTACTTAGACCGTAGAAAGAGAGTACTTTGTTATGTTCAAGTGCAATACGACAAGTCTTATGCCGTGACCTACGTATATATGATACCACAGTCCATGGACTGTAGCTTAATATTTTTTGAAAAAAGCAACAAGTAATTTTTACTTCATCCTTAATTTTCTCCGAAATGAATATCATTAACTAAGAGTAACAAATATCATATATTCGAAAAGTGTGAACAAAAACTACTAAATTATTCACAAATTTTCCAGAATGACACTTATTAATATCATTATTTACAACTTTATTTAATTTCAAACTATTTAATAATTTCGATAATTCTAGCCGAGTTATGACTTCTTGGGTATCTCTAACGTGGATTCAAGAGAACTAATCTGAACCGCAAAATGTCATGAACTCTGTCACGAATGTCGAACTATCCAGACAAGGGAACATATTGACAGATACATTAATTGGAATAGATATTCCCTATTTCAACCCTAGACTGGTCACCAAATGCAATCTAATCACTTTGGTCAAGTAATAAGGAATTCGTCGAAATGTTTTTCTAGATGCAATGTTGCCTGATCGCAAATCTTCACATGAACATAAGGAATCGAAAAAAAAAGATATGTACGCTCAAAGACGGTAATGCTACTAGCATTTTATGTCTTTAGAATTGTTTTAATATTTCAAAATGTTTGGAGAACAAAATTTTCAAACAACGAACAAAGCCTTAAAGGATTAAGGCTTAGTTTTGGTCTAAAGGTGCTCTTAAGATAGTTAATTATAGGGGCAAGTAAAAGGATTAATTTCTAACCCTTACACATTCATCTTCTTAACCACTTATTAAAATCTACAAAGGCTTAAACGTTAGGGTTTTAAGTAATTTTTACTGTCACACAGCAGTGTCATCAAATTACCATAAAATTCACGGTAATTTTTACTATACATTTCTCTGCGTGTAGTTTATATATGAAACGTACATTATATTCTGACCACTTAAAGTTTCCAACTTGATTTAAATCGGTCAATAGTCGTTCAAAATCGTATTGACCACTAAATCAATTAATGTTGGCGGGGTAATCTAAATTTCAACACATTTCTTTCCAGTCTTGATGTAATTTTAATCGAGAGTCATTACGCTATTTGAATTGGGTCATTTTATTTATAGCAAAATATGCTGATTTTGAACAAATTGTTTCCAGGGGAAAAAGTGTGTGCGTCATAATGATGTTTTGATATTTGATATCAAATATCAATGAAGTCCGAAGCTGTGTTCTGTTCAAGGATCAACCCAGGTCACTCCAACGGCGTTGAACTCCAACTTGGCTCCATCAGAACCCATACTGAATTTTTGGAACACATCGGCCCATTTGAAATAAACTTCTATTCACGTCACTCTTCTCTGCTTATATACGTGAAAACCATTCATTTTAATTGTTATTCCCAATTATTAATAATGCGTATCACATTTTTAGTTGACTCTTTTTTTTAATTGCCCTAGGACTAGACTTTTTCGTTTTTCGGCAATTCTGAGGCTTAAGAAAATTTTCCAAAGCTCTAGATTTTAAATGAATTCAGAATAAGCTAGAATTTTTGATATTCGAAGATCTTCATACTCATATATCACTCCTAGTTAAGCTTGGAAAAATTTATGGCATCGACAACATGCAAGACCAGAATGTTTTTTCGTATCATGGAATCCTCAAATAGTGGCTTGTAATATCCTACATGCCATTTTGAAATTTATCACTTAGCAAAAAATATTAACATAAAAATATCTAGACTTACGTGTTCAATAAGTTTTTAAATAAAATGTTTGATTCTTTCAGCTAAAACTTAGTGTGATAAAATACACTTCTTGATACAATTGTCTTTTATATTATGGTTATAACTTGTTATTAATTCGTCTATCAGATGATAGCTGTCATAATCAGATATTGCTTTGAAAATAACAAAACCTCTTTCTTTAATTTTCTAAATATTACCTTTCATCATTTAATTGACTTGTATCCATAGAAAACTTTATAAAGAAAGAAGAAACAATATGTATTAATTAATTATTTGACAATAACGCCCAAGTCATTGTATCGACTGCGATTTCTGTTTTCAATAAAATTAAGCATTGAATACAAAGAAAATTTTTATTTAAGTGAACAAACCATAAAAGATACGTAATGATGCAGTAATCAGTTGAAATCCTTTAGACATTCTGTGTAAAAAGGATCTTTCCAACTTGAATTGAAACCCGATCTTTTTCGATTGACTGCATTTTAATTAAAATTCTCTATTTCTAACTTATTTTTTCTCTCTAGTATAAAAGCAATGTTAAACAAACATCTTTTGTGAGAAAGAATTAGCAGTTCTTCATTAAAAATAATCTGTTTTTTAAAAGTGATCATTTTCAATCTCAATAATTCAGAGAAAAGTAACATCAAGGGTGTTCTCGTAGACGTAGGGAAGAGAGGATCTAAAGGTTCCGTTTCTAGGTCAACGCAATAATCAGATAAGAAAAATTGGCTGTAACACATTAGCTATGCTAGATCAAAATCTGCAAATATACATAATGTTAAAATCCTAACGATTCTTTGGAATGGTTTTGTAAAAAAAAATTATAATTAATTTTACAAAACCTGAAGCGGATAAGTATCGACCTACCTCAACTCGTGGCATGTTGATATCATTATAAGCTACAACTTGCTTAGTCCTGGTTAACAGGGTGGATCAAGGCTTGGAATAACTAGCCCCGGCTTGAGGCAAGTTATTAACAGGATTAAACATATGCTTACTTTCCAATGCACCAGATGTCACTGGCATAACTAAAATGGCTGCCGATGGTGTGCTGAAACATTCCGTTTTACAACCAATTCACTGGATCGATGTATATTTTTCTTGATGGAGCTATTTTAATCGGAAAAACGAACTCCTAGAAATTTAGCCCTGTTGTTCTAAGATAAGAAATACTGCACCCCACGTTTGATTTCCGAGAATCGAAAGTAAACAAGTTATTACCATTTTGCATAATATACTCGTGGAGTATTGTTATTTTTAACTCTCGTAGAGGAGTTTAACAATGACTCATATTCAAGCCTGTGGCAACCATCAGCTTTCGAATGAATGAATTAGGTCGAATTATTTTGGATAACACAACTTAAAATTCCCAGACATTAATTCATTATACGCGATATTAATATAAAATAGATAAGATTTTCTTTGTAATTACATGTGAGTTTAAGATAATTTATCAGAGAAACTTGAAAGTTAAGAATCATATATTAATTCTATAATATGATTACAATTTTAGTTAAATAATCTTTAATATAATTACTAAATTCTTCGTAACATTAGAAAACGTGCACCAGATATTTAATTTATAAATTTAAGATATTATTTATTATTTTGAGATATCTTATATATTTAAAATGATTCTGCATCGATTGTGATACACAAGTGTTATAATTTTTAAAATAATTTAAAAATTCGCTATTTCTTTTAAAATTTTTACGATTAAAAAACTTATCAGTTATTTAAAAAAAAAAAAATAAAATACAATCGATCACTCCGAATAACAATTGTAAATTTATTATTAATTTATGTTGAATTATTTGTATTCTACTGTTATACAGAAAAGGATTACTTTAGCTTTTTAAATTTTTCCTCCAACCCAGTTAGATATTTCACTATCGACAGGATGTGAAGAACCCTATTGCGACTTAGGATTTTTCACAAAATTCGCAATATTTATTATATACTTTTTAAATAATTTAATTCATGCATTCTTGTTTGAATTCAAAATTTACATTTATCGAATATTGATAACAAAGGTATCTTCAAGATTCACTTTACTACACTCTAGTGTCAAAAATACTAACTAAAGTGCAGATCAGGCAGGTTCTCACTAGATCAAGTAGGACCAAAGAGAAATCTTCTCTGAAGAATCTTGTGTATTATTTTTTAGATCATTTATAATTATCTGTTATATAAAAAAACCAGTAAATAAATTATATTTAGTGGTGGAAAAAATTGAAGGTAAAAATACCCCAATATATACGGCTCAACCATAATGAAATATAAAAGCGCCATCTGGCGTTAAACTTTAACAATAAAATTTGAATAGTATCTAATCAGAAACTTTTTAATATGGCACCTTACTTATAAGCAGTCATCTTTAAATATGGCCCTATCTCTTTTAGTACAGTACCGGACATAAATGCTGTGTGATTTGCTATAGGAGGGTATAGGGAAATCGCATGTATAACCTATAAAAAATTAAACAGCATTTGTGACCGCTACTGTATAATAAGAAAAAGATAGATTACGTTATCGCGTTTAATAACTGCGTTATTTGTGAGGGAAAATATAGCAATAAATTTATCTGTTTTAGTTCTACTGATCATATAGTTTATCAAGCTAAATTTTATCATAAATTCATCAGTTAATTGTCAATCATAAAAATAAAAACATCTAAAATGGTTTACCAGTTTCAATTGAACCTCCAGCAAAGAGCAGCTTTCAGTTTTGCTATTGCATTATGGGAGAAGGAAGAAGTAATAGCAATGATGAAAAAGTTTTTTGAGTTCGGAGGATTCAACAGAAAAACAAACTCTATTTTTGATTGGCAACAATTAATTAATGTAGTGATAAACCTATGGGATAAGTCTGTATTACCTCCAAAGTTAGCAGAAGAAGTGGAGAACATTTTAGAAGCACTTGGAAGAAAAATATATCGTTGGTACCAATATCTTGGGAAGGGTGATCAATTGCATCTTAGAACAGATAAAGAAGTACTGGACTTAATTCTCCCAATATACTGGACACCTCACGGTACAATTGATGAAATAGAAATATTTAAATCATCTTGGTTAAAAAAGAAAACCATTAAACCATCTGCACTGTATAATACTGCATGCAAATTAGCTTTGGAACAATATATTGAAGCTTTGTGGCAAATAGTACCAATAAATATCCAAAAAAATTACTCTCAGATATTATATTTAGAAAATTATTATGATCAGCATCTACTAGCATACTGGAAATATTGTAGAGATGGTAAATTAGAGGAATTGAATGACTATTTTTCTTTCGTCATGCGCAAATCTCAACGAAATGGACAACTAAAATCAAGTCCTCCATTCGTTCCCAGTTATTCTGTGGATGAAAACATGCTTCGTACATCAATATACCTGAAAAATAGTGTTGCGATGACTTATTTTTGGAACAAACTATCTGAAGAGAAAAAAAATGAAAATATTGTTGATTGTGCTCGCACTGCTGTAAGATATTACGTAGCTTATTGTGAACGAAACCCTATTGACGGCTATGAGATAGAAAAGTATATTGAGATGTGCTTATTTCTAGTGAACCAAATGACTACAAGTCAGAAGAAATTATTTTTTAACACATCATCAGTATCATCATCATCATTGTTCTGTGTACCATTTGCAAGAAGTGGTATGAAGAGTGCATTTTTAGCAATGTTAGCATCCAGTTGGCCATGGCAAGAATTTTTTATACCTTTTTTGAATGATATACAGGAATATCTGGAACTTGATAGTCAAGCAGTCTTCGAAATCTTGAGTAGCATTACATGGACAATGGAAATGAGACACGATCAAAAAAAATTAAAAATATATGGTCATGTTGAGCAAAACAATAGCAAGTATCAAAGTCTTTTGCAAGCAGCCTGGGGTAGTATTCCAGGTTCTTCCAAGCAAAAGGTAGAAGATACGATGTTAGATGTCATGTTACGTAATTTGCTAAAAATATGGGACCTAGATAGTATTAAAATGATATTCAATGATCGAGATATTGCACCTGTTAGGATGCAATACCTAGAGTGTGGAAAAGAAATATTCAAAGAGTGGATAATAAACGGTGAATACAAGTTATTTGATCAGTTCATGCAAGAGATAATGATATCTGATGACGAAAAGAAATTCATCAAGGATAGCATGGATCATATCGAACTCGGGAACTATTTTATTAGACGGAGATGTTTTGATTTGTTGGCTAAGTTCTTAAATTGGAAATGCCAAGAAATAGATAAGGAAAAAAAATAAAAAGATATTCTCAAGAGAAAAGAAATGTTCTACTTAGCTTTTGATTTCATCTTTGTGTCATCATCAGTTGGAAAGGTTATAAGTTGAAAGGTTATAAATATTAATTGTTTAGTGAACTGTTAGAAACGTTGATTATATTTTATATTTTACTATTGTAAACACCAAACTTTTAGTCATTTTATTACTCTAATGTTAAATTTCTGTGATAACACCTTCGAGGAATAATTTCTCACGTCTTCAACATGTTTAACTACCAACTGTTTAATTTATTTTACTGTTTATTCCATTTTTATTGTTTACAAGTATTCAAACACGATTGTATATTTTTTAAAGATAATATTTTTATAATTGAAATAATTCTATCACTGATAAAACACTTGATTTCAAGATCTTTTTTAATTGATGCGTCATTTTTAGCACATGCGCAGAATACTTGCCGGCATTTTAAGAAAATTCAATCAGTGACATCTACCGAAATCTTCACGAATTAATGTATATGAAAAGTTAATAATAAAAAACATATATTTTTGTCTAAAATTATAAATAATTAAAAATTAAATGAATAATTGATATTAAAAATATTTCTATTTTATTTTAATTCTAACCTATAACTTATAATTAATCATTCCAACTGTCTTCTCTATTTCTTACTCAATAAAAAGTACAAAATGAATTAACACAAAACATTAAGGTTATGAATTCAAAGTGTTTGTTTACAATCAGAGGAAGAACTGAATTATTTAATTGAACAATCACGAAAAGTGAACGAATAATAATACTCATTGATGAGTTATTATTTTGTTAGATTTTATTATAAAAATGGAAGATTCAGTTTTCAAATGCAGTATCAAAGAAGTCAAATCTGACATTCTCCGGGCAATAACAGACTGTTCTCAACGTGGATTAATGCACACAACAAAATGGTAAATAAAATAAAATAAAATAAAAACTGCAAATCAAACAATATAATTAATAAATATATTACCTATTTAATTAGGCTTGCAGAATTGAATTATTCCTTAAAAGACATCAAAGTAGACATGGAAAATATCACCCAAGAAATGCATGTCGAAGAATCACCACCATCAACAACAGAAAATGACATGTACATTTTAGCTAAAAGTTATTTCGATTTAAAAGAATATGATCGTGCTGCTTATTTTATCAAAGATGGTCTGACTCCAAGATCTAAATTCCTACATTTATATGCCCGGTATTTATCAGGAGAGAAAAAGAAAATTTACGAGATGACAGAAGTGCCTCCAGATCCATTAAAAAATGAAGAATTAGAGATTCTCAGTGTTGATTTACGTAAACAGTATTTACATGGTAACCTTGATGGTTTTTGTCTCTATTTATACGGAGTGACGTTGAAGAAATTATTGCTCACTCGAGAAGCAATTGAAGTTCTAGTGGAGTCTACTCACAAGTATCCAATGCATTGGGGAACGTGGTTAGAGCTTGCACCTTTAATTAATGATCGTGAACAATTAGATAGTCTTGTATTACCGAATCATTGGATAAAACAATTCTTCTTGGCTCATATGTATCTGGAGTTACAACTTTTAGATGAAGGATTAACTTTATATTATGATCTCCAGTCGATGGGATTTGAGAATAATGGTTATGTCCTTGCTCAAACTGCTATAGCAGTGCATTATAAACGAAGTAAATATGAGCCAGGGTTCCAATTATCTCTTTTTCAATCTCTTTTTACTTCAATGCAGTTTTTAATTTCATTTCTCCAATTTCCAGATGTCGAAAACGCGATAGAAACTTTTCAAAAAATCATCAAAGATGATCCTTACTGTCTAGACAACATGGATACTTACTCGAATTTATTGTATGTCAAAGAAATGAGAGTAGAGTTGGCAAACTTGGCATACCGAGCGACAAAAATTGACAAACACAGACTGGAAACATGCTGTATAATTGGTAAAAATATTCACAAACCCATCAGTAGGATAAATTTAAATAAAAATTATGTATTAGAGTCTTTAAATTGGCTTTGCTTTCAGGTAATTATTACAGCTTGAGATCAGACCATCAGAAAGCAGTGATGTACTTCCACCGAGCATTGAAAATGAATCCACAGTATTTATCAGCATGGACTCTGCTGGGTCATGAGTTTATGGAATTAAAGAATACTAATGGAGCTATTCATTGTTATCGTCAAGCAATAGGTAAATAATCATCAAAAAATGAATTAGTTTTATTATCACTGATCATTTTTAACAACTCCAAGATCATTAAATTTTTATTTCCTTTTTAAATCATTTAAAATTATTTTCAGAGGTCAACCGAAGAGATTACCGTGCATGGTATGGCTTAGGACAAACTTATGAGATATTAAAAATGCCTTTTTATGCCTTATATTATTACAAACAAGCCCAACGTCTTCGACCGCACGACAGTCGGATGATTTTAGCACTAGGAGAAGCGTATGAGAAACAAGATCGAATACAAGATGCTTTAAAATGTTATTATAAAGCATGTAATGTTGGTGATATTGAAGGAATGGCATTAATTAAATTAGCCACGTATGTCATTTTATTTATTATTTAACTTCAAAAAAATTTACTTCTCCAAATATCATTGGTATTTATGAATTGTTTTTATTTTAACATTCAGATTATATGAGAATCTTAATGAAGATGAACATGCAGCAGCAGCCTATACTGATTTTGTTATGGATGAATTCCGTAATGCTAATAGAGCTGAGTTAAGTCATGCTTATAAATTTCTAACTCAGTATCATTTAAAACGTGATCAGTTAGACCAAGCTAATCACTATGCTCAGAAATGCTTGGAGTTTGATGAAACCAAAGAGGAAGCTAAAGCATTATTGAGGACTATTGCGCAAAAGAGGATTAAAGTCGAAGACATGGTGATTGTAAGTTGAATTTATTTATATCCAAGTCTTTTAAATCATTTAAATGAATCCTACAGTATTTTCTCTATCTTTAGAAGCTTCATTCAGATCTTTTATTGAAAATAATCCATAATTTTCATAATGCAATACCGATTTCTTGGAGTCCTGATCAATTAAAATGCTCAAAATTCAAGAAGTTATTGCTAATATTTATCATTAAAGTTTTTTTTATACTGATTTTGAATTATATTATACACAAATTATGATCAATTTTCCATTTCAAAGATATTTACTTATTGTATTAATTTGATTTTTTGTTTATTTTATTATTAAAGATCGAAGAGATGAACGAGACAGAGCCTGTTGACAGTTCAAGACTGGATTCAACTCCTAGTGGTAACCAAATGTCTCCAATAAACCTATCATTTACTCCTACACAATAAATATGTATAAAATAACACTCGAAAGGTAAATAAACAATTTTATTAATAATAAAACAATTTGTTATTAATAAATTCTGTGATGAATTATTATTAATTTATGAATGACATGAAATATTTTTTTTATAGTTGATGTTTTTTCTTTTATTCGAAACATAACACGATATAAATAAAACTATTTACAAATATTTTAAAAAATTATAATGATAATTTAATTGGATATTTAACTAATAATCATGATTTGTTAATTTTTTTTCTTCTGTTGATTATCCATCATCGAATCTTGATACTCTTGTATCATTTTTTCTTGAATTTGTGGTGGACATGGAGTGTAACGGCAATATTCCATTGAATATTCACCCTTTCCTTGAGTTGATGATCGAAGTGTTCCAGCAAAGCCGAACATTTCATTGAGAGGTACTTCTGCGTATAAACTTACCCATCCATCATGAGTATCAGTGTCTGTTATTAATCCTTTTCTTTTGGATAAGATACCCATAATGGTTCCCTGTTGATATATAATATTAAAAATGCTATGTTTGTTCCAAGAAAGCAGTGTATAAGGTTAGAAAAAATATTCTCTCTATATTTATTTTTATTAATAAATAAATCCTCTTCTTATTCTGTTTAATCATTGAGTAATTTGAATAAAATAGGAATAAAAACAGTAACATGACCGGTTATTTCGAATGCACATGCGCACAGACAAATTTGTTGTGCGCATGCGCACTTGTAATCTTTCACTCAATCATGGGAAGCCCCTAATTGTCTGGCTTTACAGATATTTATAACCTTTAGAATAATTATTCAAATAAATTACCTGACATTCTTCTGGAACGATTATTTCAACGGTCATAATTGGTTCAAGGATTTGCCAATTTCCATACTGATAAGCTTCTCTCATAGCACCTTGACCTGCCATTTGAAACGCTAGCTCTGAGGAATCAACAATATGATGTGCACCATCAAGAAGTCTGAATTTGATACCAGCCACTTTGTGTCCGGTTAATGGACCTTTTTGACAAACATGGTGAAATCCTTTTTCTACTCCTGGGATAAATTGTTTTGGTACGTTGGTGCCGACAGTCTCGTCAGAGAATATTAATTGAGTATTTAGATGATGTGGTAAAGGCTGTGGAATTATTTACTTATACATTAATTGAAAGATTAATAAACATTAACTACCGTTAATTGATAAACATTTAAAAACAAACAAGTCAGATGTTCAAAAAAATAAAGGTTAAGTTGATGTACCTCTATTACTCCTATGATTCCAGCATACTGTCCATGACCTCCAGTTTGCTTCTTATGTAGATAATTAAATTCATATGGAGAAGTTAGAGTTTCTCGGAAGGATACTTTAGGCTTACCAAGTATTACTGGACAGTTATACTCTCTTTCTAAACGTTGGGCATAAATTTCTAGATGTAATTCACCCATACCAGAGACTAAACTTTCCTAAAAGATGAAAATGATGATTAAAAAATTTAATTACATGAGTTTGCATATAAATAAGATTATTTAGAATTCAATCTAATCATTATCTCACCATTCGTGATGGCTTAATACTAACCTTGTTATCAGAGTCCCAAAAGAACCTGAATGTAGGATCTTCTTTCGTGAACCTAGAGATACCTTTAGCAAAGTTTTCCCGATCCTTGGTGTTCATAGGTTGAATAGACATCGAAATAACTGGATCTGGTACATGAATTGATTCCATAGACAACTTGGATTGATTGTTATCAACAAATGTATCACCAGATGCACAATCAATGCCAAATAGCGCGAAAATATCGCCTGCATAGACTGAATCAACGTCTTCCATTTGATTTGAATGTAAGCGTACCAATCGAGAGGCTCGTACCTGATGATAATTATATTATCATTTAAAAAGAAACTTTATAAAATAGGTTGATGATCATCAGAAGTATTTTAATGTTACCTTTTTTCGTGTCCTAACGTTGTAAATATTATCACCTTTCTTTAATTTACCTTGGTAGCAGCGAAAATAAGTCAGTTGTCCGAATTTTCCAAGCTCCAGTTTGAAAGCTAGACCAAGAAAAGATTTCTTTCCATCACGGCATGAGTCTAAGACAATTTTTTTTGGTTCATCACTGGAATAAATATTAAAAAAATAACATTAGATAATTTAATAATTAATTCGAACAATAAAGTGACAATTACATATAGAAGAAGGATATTTACTCGGCATTTTCCTGAAGAGCATAGTTGGTCACTTCACCAGGATTGGGTAAGTAATCGAGCACAGCATCAAGTAGTGGTTGAATTCCTTTATTTTTCAGAGCAGTTCCTACCATGACAGGTGTAAAAAGTCGCTTTAAACACGCTCGTCTGATGGCATTCTTAATGTCCTGCTCAGTCGGTGTGGTTTCGTTTAGAAATAATTCACCCAAGGTTTCATCAACGTTGCTGACATGTTCTACAAGCTCTTGGCGTCTATCATTGACCTCTGGAATAAGATTAGAATGTCATGCGCTATTAGAACCAGATAAATAAATTTATGATTAACTAAACTAATTCAACTTTTCCAAACAATTCCTTACCTGCTCTCATATTTTGCGGTATCTCATCCTCTCTCACAACTTCACCAAACCTACCCTCGAAATATAAAGCCTTTTGTGTTATCAAATCCACTACACCTTTGCATTGAGTTTCCAAACCAATTGGAAGCTGAATAAATGCTGCATTATGATGCATCTTATTCCGCATCTGTTCAAGCACTTTGACAGGATTAGCAGACATTCGATCTAACTTATTAATGAATGCTAAACACGGTACATCATAACGTTTCATTTGCCGATTGACTGTCAGAGTCTGGGATTGGACACCACCCACTGCACATAGAACTAATATTGCACCATCTAACACTCGTAGTGCTCGCTCCACTTCTACTGTAAAATCCACATGACCTGGAGTATCAATAATGTTGATATTATGGTTCTTCCACATCGTGTATGTTGCTGCTGATTGAATTGTTATGCCTCGTTGTCGTTCTAATTCCATGCTGTCCATTACTGCTCCAACATTGTCTTTACCTTTTACCTGAATTTTTATAATTTAAGGTTAGAATAAAGACATCATAGATGTTTTATAAATAATTTAACAACTATTTTTATTTATACTTCATGCATTTCTGATATTTTTCCAGTGTAAAATAAAATTCGCTCAGTTAATGTCGTTTTGCCGGAGTCTATGTGAGCTGATATACCAATGTTCCGGATCTTTTCCAATGATACGTGCTCAGTTGATGCAAAAAATCTTGCATTTTGCTGTAAATCATTACAAAAATATTAAAAATTTTACAAGAAAGTATTTAAACATCACTATTCAGGAAATGCCATAAAAAGTGGAAAAATGATTCAGTGTTTTAGAGGTTAAAAAATTTTGTTTGCGAATATTACTGGTATTTAAATAATTAGAATTCAATAAATAATGGTAAATAATACATAATTTTCTAGGTAATTTAGTTAATAATATTAACCTATTGAAACAAACTCCAAAAACTTCATAATTTTTTATAAAATAACCTTAAAATCCATGACGCTTTGGAGTATATTTGTTATTTAAAGTTAATAACCTCAATAAATCTGTAATAAACATTTTTTTTTGTTGTTTTAAGTAAAGCCGACAATAAAATAAAGGTTTCAATTGTAAAGTAAATACAATAAATTTAATTATATTACTTCATTGATGTTAAACATCAATATTCTATAATATATTGTAATAAATATAGTAAATTTGTCATTATTTTTTATTTTAACGTTATTTAAGGACCATAGATTTTATTTATACTCATTATTTCATAAAAATGACTCATTTTAAATAAATTCATTTCATCAAAGTACTTAACCTCTCATCGACAAAGCTAAACGATGAAGTACTTACTAAATAATTTCGAAGTAACAATTGTGAAAGTTTATTAAAACTAGTTTGTTTGTTAAGTATCGATGACACAGTCATGATTGTGATTATTTACTATTGTTGATAATACCGTTTTTTTTTAAAAAAATAAATTTTTCTATTCATTCACAATCTTCAATGACTGATCATGCCGCATGTCAGTGACACACTGGTGGGAGCAAAAAAATATGGATATAAACGTTGTCGACTTTATTAACAGAGTAATTGACTTTACTAAGGAATGTTTAAACAAATAAAACAAAAATAAACAATTAAAATTATAATAATAAAAAACAAAGCTTTAATTAATTTACAAATTCATTATTAAAAATCGAACATCTTGAGGTTATTTTATAATTAATTATTTTAATTACGTAAATTTTAATTGTTTTAATGTAAATTTAAATAATTATTCTTACGAAAAAATGCAGATTCAATTTTATCTATCATTTTTGTTAAATAATCAATAACATTAATAATAAATTCTGACATTTATTTGTTTTTTTTTTTTGTTATTAAATGATAGAAACCTTCGTAAGAATAAATTAAACCAGGAAATATTTAATAATAATTATCTAAATTATAAATAAAAACATTAACTTAAGTAATGACAATTAATTTCCTATCTTTTAAAATAATATTTATTAACTTTATTTAAATTAAACTAATTTCTTTTCATCAACTCAATTACCTGATGTTTTCTTCTTACTTCTTTGATTAATAATAATTTTAATCACATGATTAAATGATCAAATGATTTATCGTAAATTAATAATTACCAATATTAGGTTACAACCTAATAATTATTTAAAAGTAAAAAGCGACAAAATAAAAATAAATAAATCATTCGAAGAATGTTGAGAAAGTAATTGTAAAAATTATAATAAAATAAAAAAAAATAATTTAGAATATTTATTAATAATTAGATCAATTGTTTACTCTCAGATTGATCCTGACATTAAAGTTAACATCATGATTAGGTTCATCTATCCTTTGTAACGAATCATCTTCATTACCATCCCAAGATGAACTCCATGATGACCATTCATCAGATTCATCATCAAAATAAGCGGATTCCGGTTGAGTTAAAGATGATGAAGATGATGAAGATGATGATGATGATGAATAGTCTGTATCAAATGGACCGAATGAAGATGAAGATGAGTCTGAATCTGAAGTAAATATATCTGAAAAATCTTCAGTTGATGGATCTGAATCAAAGAATGAATCTCTTTCTGATGAAGAAGAGCTTGATAGTGATAAATAAGAGTCTGATTCTTCTTCATGTGAACTTTCTGGTTCTTCATCTGTCGATGAATCATCGGACTTCAATGAGCATGATTCTGATTTAAATGAATCTTCTGTTGATGATAAATCTTGAGGTAAAACTGGCTCTGGTGGAAGTGAATCTTGTGATAAAAGCAGCTCTGGTGATTGTAAATCTTGTGATGAAAGTGATTCGAATGGTGAATCTTGTGATAACGAGGTCTCTAATGATGATGAATCTCTTGATGATAATTCAAAAGTGTACAAGTTATAATTATCCATCCGTACATCATTAAATATGCAATCCTAGAACAATAGACGAATCTTAATGGATACATTTCTTTTAGTGTACTGATGATTTGTTGGTTTATCTTCCTAGTTTGCAAGATAATTAGAAAAAAAACTGGATTTAAGGTTATTTTTCTGGTAATATTACCCATTGCCTAGCATAAAGGTACTATTTCCATTATTAATTATTTCTTAGAACACTTACTTACATTAACAGCTCCGAAATCCACGAATTTTTTATCTAAATTAAATGAAACCTCGAACTGTAACAAATGAATCAACAAGTAGTCTGAAATAATCACGTGTCTACTTGCTTCATCGATGTTTATTATTATTTATAAACTACCAAAAACTATTTTACACATTCACATGTCACTCCTGGCTTCCTACAATCCTAAGAATTCGAAACAGTTCGTGGTTTCACTGATTATTTATTATTTAATACTAACCCTGACGACATTTTCTAGAATTTCAGAGATATCATCGCCATCGTCATCCATTATTGTTGCCAAATTCTCAATAATCCATCTAAAAATGACTCCACATAGCACTCACAGTGTTTGTTGAATATTCGAAAATGTCTAAGTGCGTAGGTTTAGGCTCCAGTGCCATCAGTTGCTCTAGAGTACTTGCTTCAACATGAAATGATCCAAATGATATTACGCACTTTAATATGTCTCTTGATTGGCAAATTTATATTATCGTGATACAAAAGTACACAAAGCCGAATTAAATCAACAAATAAAGAGACATATTTCGGTGACGTAAAATCGTTTGAAAAACAGCTTCACAAAAACAACTTCTGCGCATGCCTTGGGAATTCGCGCTTTGACGCCATATTGGCGTCACAATTTAGCCGCGAGTTGTTTGTAGTAAATAAATAGCATAAAAAAAGTAAATTAAGTGAATATAAGACAATAAATAACAATAAATAGTATTAGTTTAAGGATTATTGTAAGCAAAAGTGTAATATTTAATGATGAATTTGTTTATAAAAGTGAATTAACTGGTGGATAAAGTGTGTTTATGTGACAAGAAACATGTTTGAAGCTTATGCAGCTGATTTTGATATGGATTAATGTTAAATAGATCACCACCTGTGAGTACAATTACATATAAAACAAATTATTTATCCTTTTTGCAGTATTTTATTCCATTATCTTAACCTGACTTCATAAAAATCATTATCTAAAATAAAGAATAATTGGAAATAGATTAATATTCTAATAAAATAAATAATCAAAACACTAATACATTTGTAATTAATTTTATTATTTCATAATTTTCGAAATAAAATGAATTTTTTGATGATTTTTATAACCTCAACTATATTGTAATCATTTTTATCATATTTTAACCTCAAATTATTGATTATAGGTTAATAATTAACATGAGTATGTAATGTAATGGCTAAAAAAATAGATATCTTGCAATAAATAGACAAAAAAATATTTTTAAGATAAATTTAAGTGATAAAGAATCTGTATAATAATTAATATAATTATTTGTAATCAACTCACACAAACAAATCACTTAACTCCAAGATTTTATTTTGACGTTAGTTTTCATTATAATTATTTTAAAAAGCACTAAGTTTAATAGACATTTGTATTTCTTTAAAATTTTTGTTTTTTTTTCAAATTGATTAGAATTAATATTTTTTAATCAGCAGCCAGTACGTTAAATTTGTTGCTCACAGACATTAATTCGTCATTATCACTTTCATCATCAGAGTCTTCCGCATTAGAACCTTCCTCGCCTTCTGAATCTTCTGGAGTATCTTTAGTACCTGTTTCGTCATCTGAATATAAATGATCTTCACCGTGTAAATCATTTAGTTCTTTACTGCGAGCTTGGATCCAGGTTATAAGTCCAATATCTGGATGTTTTTCCCATTTTTCTGAAAAAATATATATTAATAAATAATAAAATCATCGAAGCTTTAAAAATAGCAGGAAATAATGGAAATAGTGCTGTCACAGCAGGCAAGAGGTAATATTACCGGAAAAATGACTTTGAATACAGTTTTTTAAGATTATTTCGCTAACTCTAAAAGATACGAAAAAAAGTTACGAATAAAAGTTGAAGATTTTTTGATTTTACGCAAAAAAGGTCCTTATAATTTCATCGCTATCTCTTATAGTTTAGCTGTAAAATGACGATAAAGATGAAAATAATTAATTTTTAATCTTTTTCCATCTTTATTAATATTTTTCAGCTAAACTATGAGAGATAAAAAATAAAGTTTAAGAATGTTTTTTGTGTAAAATTAAAATATCTTTAATTTTTGTCTGAAACTTTTTTTTATGTTCCCCATAGTTTACGAGATCATCACAAAAAACTTATTTTAGAGGTAGTTTTTTTCATGATTTCACATGTTGCCGAGAATTTGAGCACTAGTGAAAAAATAGCAGTCTAAAAACTTCTAAAAAATCATTAAGAGCACAACTTTTACACCAAAATGTTATAAACATTTATATTACAAACATTAGTTGTCGATAAAAAGAAATTCATCCACTACCTTTGTTTGATGACCACCCAACTGGATAAATACACAAGCATATCCTTCCTTCAACAGCCATCCTCAAAAGTGAATTAGCAGCACGATAGGTATCCAATCTTCCAGTTCTAGACGTCTTATAATTCCGTTTTACGGCCCACCCATCACAAATATCAATAGCTGACCAAGTGTCATCATCTTCTGGATGTTGAATCCTCAAAATTCGCGGCAGATCTATCCTCTCTGCAATATACAAAACTGCAGTGTAGGGTTCTCTAACTTGAGCCACTGGAAATGAACCCATTAATATCTGTAGCTGTTTGGGAACAGTAGAAGGGAAGACTAGACCTGGACAGTCACAGACACAGACTGTTTTAGTTAGAAAAATAGTCTGGAAATGCTTAGTGTGACCTGGAGTACGAGAGACACTGACAACTTTATTACCAATGATGGCATTCATGAATGATGATTTACCAACATTTGGATACCCAATGCAACCAATTGTTAATATTCCATTCTTAAACTTTTCATGTTTAAAAAATCCTGTGTCTTTATTCTCAACTGTCACATTCTTAACACGATCTAGATCATCTAAATCATATTCCGAGTTTATTTCTTCCTGAATCTTCTTTCTCCATTCACTCAAATCAACTTTATCCTTCACAATCTCCTCACACACCTCCAATAGCTTTTGTGCACCTTCCGCTGCCATCTTCAGCTTCCCCTTTCGTCTAAATTCCTTCAACTCTGATTCATTTTTATTTTTCTTTCTCAAATTGTAGTCGGGGAATGAAGTGAAGAAAAGAATGTGCAGCTGGGGATATTGAGTCTTAAAGTATTCTCGCCATGCTATGACCAGTGATGGTGGTGCCAAGTCTATTTTATTGAATACCAAAATCATCTTTTTTCCTGTCTCACGGGTGATGTAGTCATAGAGGTATGGTGGAAACATTAGGGGTGGGTATCTGATGTCGATTATTGTTAATAAGACATCTGACATCTCTATTACTCGCCATAGTTGACGCCATGTTTCTAAATTCAACTCACAGTAGCCCACGTTACCAAGTGATTGAATTTTTTTCATGTAATCCTAGAAAAATGAAATAAATAAATAATTTATTCTTTCAATAAAAAATTTTTTATGGATTTTAAATAATTTTTTTTTCATTTTTAAATAATTAAAGTGATGAATAAACATCATTTAGATGATAAATAAATTATTAAAGTGCAGTTATTAAATAGAAATTGTTACAATAGTACATTTCACACCTAGGGAGAAAAAGTAGACTTTCTGCATGGGGATGACAAAAATTATATTAATTCCTAGGAAGGACAATAAGACAATTGTAAACCACATCTTTTCTTCACTTGACCTTCGATTCAAGTGGTAATTTTACACTTGGTTTTTATTGAGAAAATCTACTTTTTCTCCCTAGGTGTGAAATGTACTATTTTATTTACATTTAAGTATCATGTTTTTTTTAAACTCTCAAGCATTGGTGTTTCAAATGTTGGGTCAAAGATTCAAGTTAGTATTTATCATCAACTATTGATTTAATTTTTACTCTTAATTAGAGGAGGTAATTGTCGTTAAAATGAATGATAGAAAAACTAATAATGAAGTTTAGTCAGTAAACTTTTCGTTGTTTTGTCAAACCACTCATTATTTTCTAACAATTGATGAATAAATATTGATTTAATACCTCAAAATATGCGTGTTCTCTTGCCTCCAACTCATTTTTACTCATTGAAAAATCCCATGGTGGTCTTTTAGGCATATCTAATCCAGGAGGAAAAAAATTATCCGAAATTTCTTGTTCAATTAACGGTACTGGTTTGATAATTTGCCTTGCTTGCCATTTACGTTGCTCCAATTCCTCTCTGGTTTCCGTCAAGAAATGTAAATTATACCTATTAACACCAGCTTTATCTGTTGGTTGTTTATTTAATTTTCGAATCCTCAACTTATTGCTGTAGGTGCTATCATCATTATCACCACGACTAGCTATAATCATTATATTATTAAGATAATTACAAAATTATCATCGATTTTGTTATCATTATCATTCCTTACCTGCTGCCTGTTGTTTTAATTTTTTATTCTGCATCTGTTGTTTCTTTGCTTTTCCACTAAAGGGCATTTTTCGTCGACCTTGAGGCATGATTGGTTAATTTATTAAGATTCTTTATAAACAATTAATATAATAATTAAGTAATTCACTCATAAAATTCGCCGGAAAAAAACTTCTAGAATGTTAAAATGTTCAGAACTCGTGTAATAATAATTATGTCGATAAATAGGTTAGGTTCACTAAGATGGCGACACTCAATTGTAAAATTTCTTTACCATAAAAAAAATCGACTAAAATATTACTTTTTAATTATTTTATCTAAAATTAAGTGTAATTAATGAATATATTTGAATTAATTACTGTTTACTGCATAAAAAAAGCCTAAATATTAGAAAAATAATGCCAATAAATTCAAACGGTTCGAGAATAGTCACATGCCGCCGCCTGTGAGCGGTGTGACGAACTACAATATCTCTGTCGGTAACAAAAATGCTCCTAATCCCACACATGGAGATCGAAGAGATAAAAATACAATTACACACATGTCATATAGATGTGTTGAAGCCTCGCAGTAAAACTTGGCATATGAATGCAGTAGGATCATAATCAGTGCTTCGTAAAATAATTAAATAAATAAATAAATAGTGTATTGATAATAAATTATAACCAAAAATAATAAAAAGTATAAAATGGATCCTGAAGCATTTTTAGATATGGCCAATCAGGTCATTAAGTTAAAAATGTTTCCATATTTCGATATTGCACATAGTGTGTTGTGTGCTCTACACGTCAGAGAGGATTTAGGACCCGGTAAGTTCAAGCCTACCCAGCTAAATGCTAAATTTAAAACACTCTGAGAATATTTCGAATTATAATAAGATCAACTGACGTTACTTTTACAATTTTTATTTTACTTTAATTTTATTCGAGAATATTAATGTAATAAATTGCTTTATTTTCTTGTAGGTATGAAAATCAATTTAATAAATATGACGTGGTTTATGTTAACATTATTGTTTATTAGAAAACATGAATGGTTTTCATTGTGAAAGAATAAAAAATCATCTTTTTATGATTTATTTATTAATTTTGGCAATTTTCAATCACATTCTTGGCTCATATGAATGTTTTTAGATGCATAATCTCCAATTTGGCCACATAGCTCATCTATTTTTGTCTTTTTTGTGCACTACTTCTATGTTATAACAAATTTTAATCGTAACTATTATTGTTTTATTTAACATATTTAACACAACATATCATTTATTATCTAATATATATATATTTTTTGTTATCATTAGACTATTGTTAAATCATCTTCATTTATTAACTTATTTATTTGGTTATAAATAATTCATTGGCTAATTAATAATTGAAATTTAAACTTGACTAAAAGGGGCACAGGCATTCTCGAGAAAGCATCCAATATCATGTTGGCTGTCAACGATGTTAGTGGTCTTTGCTGGAGGCATGCTATGCAATGGATTATTGGGAGAACCTATTCTAGCACCATTGAAAAATACACCTCAAGTATTAGTAGCAACTATGGTTTGGTAAATCTTATTCCTATCTTCCATTGTTTATCAATAACAATTGTCAGACAATGGTGCTTCATGTCTGAATGTTTGAATATCAAAATTAATGGCCTGTTTATGTTTTTTTGGTTAATTACTTTATTTTTATAGAGACTTTTTGTACGTTGGGAATATTTAAGGTGTATATAGTGAATGCAGTAATTGGCAATAATATTTTTTAGTGTAATTACACAGACCAACAAAAAAAAATTCAGTTTTTTTCTTTTTTTTTTAGGTTACAATTTTTCTTTATAAAAATATTAAATGCTCATTTATTTTTTCGATTTTTTATAACTAAAAATTAATAGTATTTATTTTTTATTCAATATTGAAATGAAAGAAATTGATGAGTAGTACGAATTTTTCGTTATTTTTTTTTTTTTAAACATCAAATTATATAAAAATTAGGTAAAGTTTTTTCATCGTTGGCTTGTGTTATAAATTAGTCAACAAATGACAGTTTAAAAATGTCGATGATGGATTAATGAGTAATCTTTAGATAACAATTTAATAACAGAAGTTAATTAATAAGTCATCAAGATCTTTAAATTTTAGATTTATTGAATATTTGATGATAAAATAATTTTTTTTAATCACTACTTTATATTAAATTCGTCCTTTCTGAAAATGAAATAGCGAAAATAATTTAAAACTACAGTAAAATGATAAATATTCAATAATTTTGCAATTATTGTAATAAAATTGAATAAACATCAGTATTATTATAATTGCAAATTATTCATTATTCACTGATTTTGCAGTGATATTTATTATTTCTATTCAAAATATATTTCTTATCATTTTGAAACACTCATCAATCTATGCCATTTATACCAGCTTAAGAATTATTAATTTAAGAATGACAATTTTTTATTTTTTTTTTGCTAGATATTATTAGTTTGATGGTTGCTAAATAATTAATATAAAATTAGGAATAATTTTTGATTGGTTTTTTTTTAGGTATGTGATATTTTATACACCGTTTGATATTGGTTACAAAATTGCTAAGTTTCTGCCAGTTAAAATAGTCCTGTCTGCCATGAAGGAAATTTATAGGTCAGTAATGAAGGTAATTTTTGAGAGGCATACAAGGTATTGAAAAAAGGCAGAAGACTTAAATATAATAATTATTAACTCAGTACATGATATTTTTTTGTTTTTAACGTAATGATTCATCAAAATATAAAAATTTGAATGGTTAAAAAAAATCTTTGATAAAAAGATTTTTAAAAATAATTATTATAAGAAAAGAATCAATTAATGGATTCTTTTTTGGAACATTTTTATTAAATTTATTAATTGTCTGTTAGAATCATCATAACTTAGAGGCTGAAAAAAATTTTTGTAGATCTTTCTTTAGATATTTTAAATTGATTTGAAGCAAGAATATTTTTTTGGTGATTTATTTACTGAAATATTCCAACCAAATTATCAATTCCTAGGATTATTTTATATTCTTCTTTATCGCGGACATATTTTAAGCAAATTTTTTTTTTTTACCTGAGGTTTATTAACTTAAATACATTAATTTAATTAATTAATTTACTTAACTTTGAAATATCTTGAATTTAATCACACATTCCTGCTAGAATATTTATTTTTAAAATATATATTAAAAATAAACTCATAATTATAACTATCTAATCCAATTAATCAAATTTATTTTAAATAAACTGTTTTTACAATGCATCCATGACAATTATCATTCAAGTGATCTATAATTAATCATGCTGTAAAATATCAATAATTACATTACTTATCAATATCAAGACTTCTTTTGCTCACTTACTAGTAGGGTTTTATTTCATGATATTTTCTTCAAGTTTTTTATTTATTTTGTGATTGTTGATGTTTACAATTTAAGAATCTATTTATTTTCACATTTATTTTTAATATTCTATCAACAAAAAGGTTTACTATTATATTTCTTTTTTTATTTATAAAAATAAATCAATCAAACATATTATTCATAGCTTCAAAATATTGTAAAATAGATAAATAATAATTAATCTATTTATTTTCTTCTAAAGTAAAAATTATTTCAAATAATTTATTATTATGGAACTGAAGTTATGAACGTTACATTAACTAGTAAACCACGTGGGGTAAAATCTCAAGGACTGTTCAAGTATTTAAAAACATCTTAAGTAAAAAAAAAAATTTTTTAAATCATTTTAGACCATCACAATCCTAAAAACCCAAATGTTTTTATAAAAACATGGTAAATTAATGAAAAACAGTATGGAAATAGGCTTTAGACATTTTAAAATTATGTTGTTAAGTGAAGAGACGTGGAAATGAAAATAAAAGTGTAAAAATCACAAACGCTTTTCTTGGACCCCTGCTATGACCTTAAATGCTTAAATCTATCTCTTTGAACACAAGAAATATCTTGATTTGAATGTCTGAAGGCTGATGCTTGGTCAGCCCATGCTAGACAATTTTAATATTTTATTTTAACTATATTTTCAAAGAAGCATTAGCTTTATAGTTTTAGAAAGCTAACATTTATCCACAGAGAAAGCCCTTTTTTCTATCAGCCTTGATTTCTAAAAGTTGAACTTTGGATTCCTCCAACGTTTCCTTGAATAAAAACAGTTACACTAGCCCTAGAAGCTAGGTTTCAACCAATTCCCTGGACCCTTTGGTCAATCTTTCAAATTAGAGACCTTTTCCCTATTCTCCAACACTTGGAATCTATCCTCTGAGCTACTTAGACCTTCTAGATCACTCACCCCATGGGTATTCTGTAACTTGGTGTCCTGTTGATGTATTCAAATACTTAAAAAGACCTTAAGATTGTACCCCACGTGGTGGCTATCATCATCAAGTCTTTCAAAATACTGTATGCCTATCAAGATGTTGAATATTATTAGCATCTTAAGCACAAGTTATTGATAATTAAATACAATTCAGGTGTAAAAAAGTCTACGACGGTGTGACTCACGCCGGAAAATTATATCCCAATGCATATCTCATTATGATCCTGATTGGAACCTTGAAAGGTAATGGTGCAGGCTTTACAAAATTATTCGAACGATTAATCCGAGGGGTTTGGACTCCAACAGCAATGGAATTCATGCAACCTAGTTTGTGAGTAAATTTATCGATCACTAAACAAATAATGAATTAACTAAAACCGTTGAAATAATCGATTAATAAATATTTCATACCAACAGCCCAACCAAAGCCTGTATGGTAGCATCAATTATATTCGTTTTGGACAAAAAGACTGATTTAATATCAGCTCCTCATGCTCTTGTTTACTTTGGAATCGTTATCTTTTTCGTTTACTTTAAGGTAATGATTTATAAACAATTAAATAATAATTATATCAATAGGTTGACCTCATTTTTAATGATTTTGGTTTATTGACATTTTTGATACAATTAAACATAAAACTATCATGTTGGATTTTTTTAAAGAACAATGAAAAAGAAACATGAGATGTTTTATGCTTGAGAATAAGAAGAATAATATGAACAAATATTTATCATATTGTATCTTGAGTCTCTAGTGAAGAGTCTTGAGTCTTGTGGAAAAAAGGAGGATAACTGTTGGAGATGATCATTAAAACTTGGGAGGTTTATGGCTTTCTTTCTGTTGAATTATTAGTCTCAAGTCAAATAAAAGTTGAAAACCTTTGGTTATTTTGGTTTAAATACTCTAGTTGTTGGTTTTTTAAATTATTTCGCAAACTATGCGAGATACGGAAAAAAGTTTTAAACAAAAGTTAAAGATTTTTTGATTTTACACAAAAAAGGTCTTTTGACTTTGTTCATTATCTCTCATAGTTTAGCTGTAAAATGACGGTAAAGTTTGAAAAATGTTAAGAATTCATTATTTCTATCTTTATCGTCATTTTACAGCTAAACTATGAGAAATAATGAATAAAATCAAAGGACCTTTTTTGTGTAAAATCAAAAAATCTTTAACTTTTGTTTAAAACTTTTTTCCGTATCTCGCATAGTTTGCGAAATAATTTAAAAAACAACTGGATTAGGAGTAATTTCTCGATGATTTTACTCTTTTCCCGGGGTAAAAGCATGTTATTTTCATTACAAATTATTTTTAAATAACTTTAATATCATTTCCTAACCACTATAAAATACATAGAACCGTCAAGGTCATAAGAAGTGAAGCCTACCCTCTGTATAATCATCAAACAATAAACCCAATAGTGGCTTCTAATTAATTTTATCCATTTTTTCTAGCTATCATCAATTCTACTTGGAATTCACGATCCTTTCGTACCATTTGAAAATCTTATTTGTGCTCTATTCTTCGGTGGAATCTGGGACTCATTGGCAAAACTTATGGGACGTGGACAGGCTAAAGATGAAAAGTCTGATGCTAAAAAAACTAATTAATTCATTTTAATTAGATTCTTTTTTTTAAACATTAAATTTAAAAAAAAAAAAAAAACAAAAAAACAATATCTCATCACTTCCTCCTCTATTGTGTCTTTATAGAGTTAATTCTAGTCAGCAAGATGAAATTTGAAAAAAAAAAAAAAATATAATATTAATAATTAAGTAATTAAATACTTAATTAATGATATAAGAATAAGAATTATACAATTTTGCCATTTTAAACATTTTTTATTACTAAAAAGAAAAAGAAAAAAAATCAAATGTTGTTGATATGAAAATTTTTCACAGTAATATTTTTATATCGCACGAGTGGGTTTTTATTCACTAGTCTGATCAATCAGGTTTGTTAATTAATTAAAAACATAATAAAACAGTAATTGTTAATTAAGCCTTGCAACATTGTGGATGATAATTATTGATAAATTGTTATTAATATCATGTGATTACAAAAAAGAAAAAAAAAAACAAACAAAAAGAATAAAAAATCAATACCAATAAGTCATTGAGCAATAGATAATGACAACGAAAATGAAAATAAAAATTATCATCATTTGTATTTAATTTTATAAGATAACTAATTAAGTTTGGGATAAATTAAATAATCAGACATTAATTAATTGATTGGAATATAAATAATTAATATTGACAAACTGCTTAATTAGTTAATGAATAAATTAATATATAAGAAATTATGAATTATTAATAGTATGATTGTTTAAAAACACTTGCCAAAGAATGAAGTGCAATATAAATTATCAATTGTGAACGAAAATATTTGATATTTATTAAAATGAATCAAATAATATTTGTGTCTTATTTATATTTATTATATTTTTCTTAACGTTAATTCCTTAATTAATTTAACAAAATTATAAATATATTAAAAATAAAAATTCTAGAGGTTTAATTATCATTTTATCAACTAAATATTGATTTTAAAAATTCTTTACGATTTTCACTAGAGTCATCAGTTTCGTGTACTCCATTTTTGTCCTTATTTTTCATTTTCTTCATTCTTATTTCCTTATCTGTGTCTCGTTGTTTCACTTCAGGCATAATAAATGTCGATGATTGCCCTTCTTTCTGTTTCTTCTCTAACTTCTTACTTCTATCAATATTGTAAGAGTAAAAATTTATTTCTCTCTTTGCTTGAGCTATTTCTGTTTTCAGTCTTTGTTTGTGAACTGCTTTTTCGTATGCTAAACGTTCGCTTAAATGAACCCATTTAAATCTGTAACACAGTTTTTTGTAATATTAAAGTTGAACTAAAGGTAAAATTACTTTAAAACCAGAATAAGGTCTTGACTTTATTCTTTTTAAAGAATAAAGTCAAGACCTTTTTTATGTAAAATTGCAAGACACTAAAACACTTACATGTGCATTTAGGATATTGACAAAGAAACCAATTCTTACCTTGGTAAATATTTGATATTCCAAATGGCATCATAGTTTTTACTACGTTTTCTAGTTGATACTTGACTATTATTCAAAGTTGCAGCAACATATTTTGCTACTCGTTTGCTTTCAAATTCAACCCAGCCTTCAGTAAAATCCCTACCTGGTTTTTTTTTCTTCAAATTTTTTTTATCTGCAAAATTATTACAGAAACAATTAATAATTCTAATCTGTCATCCTTATTAGAGAATTATTAAATATATTATTCTTAAATATTACCTGCAGCAAGTTGGAGATAAACACGTCCTACATCACCGAATTTTGAAAAAGTCTCTCTAATCATCGTTACATTCATATCTTTCGGTATTTTTGATAAATAAATAATCCCTCGTTTCTTTTTCTTCTTTTTCACATCATTTTCAGTATTTAATAAGTTCCCCAGTGGTTTATAATCAGAATTATCCGACTCTTCACTTTGGTTTTCACACTCCATTTTATTTGTTTCATCATCACTGTAATTAAATGATAGGTTAAGTTATAAATTAGACGTATTATTTATATTTTTTTTCATACCTTTCCATTATTTATAACAATAATAAGTATTATCGTTAAATAATTTTCTCCAAAAAGCAAGAAATAAATAAACACATGCACAACAATAACAAATCGTAGAGGTTATAACGCCGTCGGTAACCTAGACATACACGCTAACGACTCTAGTGGCCAATCGGGGAACTAAAAAATTCAAAAACTTGTTGATCATTGATAAGTCAACGGATTTGAAAAAAAAAACGGCTCATTCAAAGAGACACTCCAAAAAGAGAATGTGTGGTTATATTTAATAGAAAAAGCGTGTGCTCAGCATTCTCAGTATTTTCTCTGCATCAATACTGGTTTACATATTTAATTGCCGGCAAATAGTTATGTTAAAGTACGTATAATTATCTAAAATAATTAATTTCTAGTGTTATCTAAAATATTGCATTCTAATATAGATAAAACCGACAAGCCGCATGCATAATAGAAAACCTAGAAAACAGCAAAAAAAAAGGTCATTTAGTTGAACAAATAATATATTCAAGTTTGATTGTTGGAAGTAATTCAGGCATTGATAAATATCTAAGTTGATATAATTATTATCATAACTCTATTCTCATGCCATACTCCAAGGATTATATTCAAGACAAACTAACCAAAGAACTTGATCTAGAACATATTGTAAGTACTATTGTTTATAAATTTATCTATCAATTGTTGATTAAGGAAGTGAAGCATATTTTAAATATGATTATAATGTCTTTAAGACAAACAATTATATCATTTGAACATTAAAATTAATTTACCTTTGTGAAATAATTTTATTGAATTTCATAGATTCTGAGAAAAACACTCAAACTTGTAAGTATTTGATTATTTAATGCCCAATTGTTATTTAAAATTTCATTCAAAATTACATTAAAGTATTTTCTCATTAATAATGTCGTTGAAAAACAATTGACCGAATTGTTTCTTGCATCTAAAAATACGGATTCATTCTGTCAAGCTTTCTGAATGTTGGCATACAGATGAACTTGATGTCTATCATCAACAATTATGTCTTAAATATTTAAAGACTCTTCTTAATTTAATGTTTATTCAATATTTCCGATAAATAAATCAGTGAACATCAGTGTATATTCACTGATTGTTATTTATAAAATTATCATTATTTAAATTAGTGCTATTATTATCACTGAAATTAGTGAATATTCACGAATTCATTTGTAGAAGTAACTTCTTTTTTTTTTTTTTATCTTATCAACATTTAATTATCAAACACACTAGGACTTTTATTTTTTATTTTTTGAGATAAAAAAATTTTATATTTTTTTTACTGATTATTTTGAAGAATCTAATCATTATCATAGTTTGAAATTTTTTTGAAAGGTTATATAATTACTTTGAGTGAAAAGCATTGATTAAAATTAATGAGTAATTATATTTTTTGAGTTAAATAAAAATTAATTACAAAATTAACGAAAGAAAATTTGAAAAAAAAATGTGAGACAATTAGTGGCTTTTTAATTTAAAAAAATAAAAAAAAAATAACTGCTAAGTATTAATTTCTAAGAATCTATGAATTAAATAATTTTATTTCATTAAGGGAAATAAATACTGGGTATTGATTGAAAATTGCTGCATTTCCTAATTAATATTTTTATGATTAAAAATCAAAGTAAAATTAATCAATTAAATTGAAATAAAAGTGAGAAAAAAACAAGTAAAATTTCCGGTTTGATTACAGAAATTAATAACAAAGTAAAATATAATAATAAGAAAGTAAAAAATGGCCGACAAAATAATTAGATTATCTTTAATAATTGGGATGAGTGCCCTGTTAAGATATACCGTTACATTCCATCCGTACAGTGGAGAAAAAAAGCCATCTATGTTTGGAGACTACGAAGCTCAACGTCACTGGCAAGAGATAACCTATAATTTACCGGTCCATGAGTGGTATATCAATAGTACTTATAACGATCTTCAATACTGGGGATTGGATTATCCGCCATTGACAGCATATCACAGTTTGATAATGGGAAAAATAGCTCATTACATCAATCCTAAGTATGTCCAGTTACATGCGTCTAGAGGTTATGAATCGGTTAATCACAAACTATTCATGAGACTGACCGTTTTCGTCATCGATTTGTTGGTATACATCCCAGCAATTTGGTTCTACTTCTACTCTAGTGTCAAAAGTGAGGTTAAAAAAAAATGGCTGGTGCGTAATGATAACGATATTTTCGGCTACAACCGATTTGAATATTACCTTATCATCGCTCTAGTTTATCCAGGCGTTATTTTAATCGATCACGGACACTTTCAATACAATTGTGTCTCTCTAGGTCTCTTTGTGATATCGGTAACCTTTTTTGTCAAAAACCGATTTAAGTTGGGATCACTGTGGTTCGTTCTAGCCCTTAACTACAAACAGATGGAGCTTTATCACGCATTGCCGATTTTTTTCTACATTCTTGGGATATGCAGATCGGCAATAAATCGGCAGAAATCGTATTTATCGGCAGTTATGATTTTGCTAGAAGTTTCTCTAACGGTTATTATAACATTTATTATCATCTGGCTTCCATTTTTACGTAATTATAGCTTTGTTGATGTCTTTACAAGACTCTTTCCCATCTCCAGGGGTGTCTTTGAAGACAAAGTATCCAATGTCTGGTGTGCCATAAATATTGTTATCAAATTAAAAAGTCTGTTCGATAACCATCAACTGGCAGTGATCTGCCTAGCAGTGACAATCATCACTGTTACTCCATCATGCCTTGATATTTATTATCGACCTTCTAAAGATAAATTATTGTTATCTTTTGTCAATGTTGCTCTAGGATTTTACCTATTTTCATTCCAAGTTCATGAAAAAAGTATTCTACTTGTTGCCATTCCTGTTGTCCTTTGTCTCCACAAAGATGTCCTCCCCTGTTTCTGGTTCCTAATTGTTTCTGTCTTCAGTATGTTGCCTTTATTAGTCAAGGATGGACTGATCATAGCTGTTGTTGGATTAATGATGTTTTACATCACCATTGTGTTACTGATAACCGATAATTTATCATCAGAATTCGGCATAAAAAAACCGACAAATGAACCGATTGGCAAAAAATCTAAAAAGAAAAAATCTAGTATTCCAGTTAAACCTAAAGAGGATTTGAATCTTAGTTGGATTAATTATTCTAAAATGTATGGCTTTATTATATCAATGTTAGGAATGATTGTTCTGATGATCGGTATTTTATTTTGTAATCCACCCGATCGGTATCCCGATTTATTTCCCTTACTCATATCATTGTATTCTTGCGGCCATTTTTTACTATTTTTTGTATACTTTAATGTAAAACAAATTTTTCTAACAAAATGGAAACCAGTAAGAAATAAATCATTCAAAAATGAATAATTGTAATTAATGTGAATAAAAGATTTAATTTGTCATAAAAATTATTGGTTCTACTGTAGGAAGTTGTAGATCAGTCTGATGGTTGTGGTAATAAATTTGCAGTTTTGATTGTATCGAAAGAATTCGAAGGCAAAACTCTATTGCAACGGCACAGGTAATTTTATACATTTAATTAAAACATTTTTAAACATTTTGGTTTTTTTAAATCTTCTGTTGCACACGCGATTTATGAATGAACCATTTTTTTTATTGATCACCAATTGATTTCTAAAATTGTTATGAAGAGAATTAAAAGAACAGAAAACGAGAATTTACGTACTTGAGATAGAAATATTGAATTCTGTCCACGCATGCGCCGTGCAACTTGACTGATGCAATAACAGGTTACTTAAATCACTAGGCGCATAATTTACTATTATAACAGTTATATGAATAATTATACATTACTGAGATGAATAATTACGAAAACTATTAAAATTACTTGAATTTATAAGTGTATTAGTGTTAATTATAGCTGAGAAAATTAATAGACACTCGGACTGAAATGTCACGTTTTTCTCCCTAGTGAAAAAATATTCAATTTTATTGCTATGTAATCTTAAGACCTCTGAAATATGTGAGAATCATCATAGAAATTAATCTGCTAGAAATAGCTGTGCAACAAAAGGTTCATTCTTCAATGCCAATTTGTTTTGATTGTAAAATATTTTTCCAGGTTAGTTAATTCAATCTTAAAAGAAGAATTAAAAGAAATCCATGCATTTTCGCAATCAACATTGACACCAGAACAATGGAAAGTTGAATCTGAACATAAAAATAAAGCAACTCAGTGAATAACTGATGTAAAAAAAAAATAACTAATCTCAATATCAATATCAATTATTCCCAATTAATCCTAACATTAGTGAACAATTATTAAACCAAAATATTATAATGGAATTCAAAGTATCAGCACCTGGTAAGCTCATTTTATATGGAGAACATGCAGTAGTTTATCAAAAAACAGCTGTAGCTGGAGCTCTAGATTTACGCACAACATTGACCTTCAAAGAATTACCTCAAAGCGATTCAATGATTCACTTAGACTTACCTACAGTGCAATCAGATTTGTATATTCCACTTTTACAAATTCTTGAATATTTTTCAGTGAAAGAGTGTCCAAAAGCTATTGAAAATCAAGACCAATTTTATCAATATATCAAAGACTTTGTTGATACTCTAGAGAGTAAAAACAATCTTCAAAAATTAGCACTAGAAGCTGTGATGTACGTACTAATATCAATGAGTCAGAATGAAAACCTAGTGATTCAGCCATTTAAGATAACAATCACCACTGAATTAGCAGTGAGTGCTGGTCTAGGAAGTTCAGCATCATTTTCCGTTTGTATATCAGCAGCTTTTCTGAACTGGGCATATCACCAGAATGATAAAAAACTGGTTTTAGATGTTGATACTCTAACTATCATATCACAGTATGCTTTTAAATGTGAAAAAATTATGCATGGATCACCTTCAGGTGTTGATAACTCTGTATGTACTTACGGTTCTATTATTAAATTTAAAAACACGGAATTGACACCACTGATCGGAGTTAAAAGCATGAAAGTCTTGTTGGTTGATACAAAGGTTTCTAGAAGTACGAAAGTGTTGGTAGAAAAAGTAGCATCATTGAAACGAGAACTTCCTATGGTTTATGATCCGATTCTTGATGCTATGGACAGTATTGCTAACAATGCGCTATCAGTTATTGAACAAATACGTGATTTAGATACAGAAGAGTCGGAGGTAGCTGTACGAGGGTGCTATGAACGACTTATGACTTTGATAAATATTAATCAATCATTGCTGAGTGCTTGCCAAGTTTCTCATCCAGCACTAGATGATATCTGTGCTGAAGCTAGAAAACATGGTCTTGCTGCTAAGCTTACTGGTGCTGGAGGCGGTGGATATGCGTATGTTTTATTGTTGCCTGACACTTCTGATGACGTTGTTGATCATCTTGTGCACGTTCTTACGGAGCGTGGGTTTGGCGTCACTTTGACTTATCTAGGTGGCGCTGGAGTACATATTCATGGGTAATTCAAGTAGCTGGGCGGCGCTAGGGTGCAAATTTATGTGGAGGAGTTCTGTTAGATTAAATAAGGCGCACAAATGAAGTGCATTATTGTTGAAATATGGCTGACTGTGTTAAGATCATAAGGGTTTTAGATTGGTGCTGAATCATGGCGTCTAAATGCCGAATTTTTTTTTGAAGGATTTTTAATTTATATTGGGAATTAAACGTACTTGACGATGCTTTATAAGAATTTTAGATTTATTCCACTTTGTTATGATTGTTAATATTAATTTAATCAATTTTTTTATTGATTCCAATTATTTATTACAATATTTTATTTATTAATGACTTAATATATTTTTTTATTAATACATCAATCGGTTCTTATTTTTATCGATATTGGGAATGTTTTAAACAATTGCGGGAATATTGTTATTAACTAACTTAGCTAGAATTTTTGTGATGAATTTTAAAGCTTTGGTGATGTGATACGTCATTTGTTTTGCATAAATAAATAATATATATTTATTTTATAGTTGATATAAATAATTATGAGTTATAAATAATGTTAAATATGATGATTATTTTTCAATAAATAATTTACAATACGTGATTATTATTTTTTTTTAGTAATTTTTCATGTTTACTAATAACAAATTAATTATTTATTATTTACAATTAAAATTACTAATCTAAAAAGTTAATTTTTATCATTAAAAAAATGATGTATTTATCAACAATTTGGTTGGTTCAAAAAAAAAGGTTAAATTTTTGGAATTAGTTCAGTCAAGATGATTGTTAAATCAGAATTTAATAGCATGACGAGGAATTTTAGAAAGTATTAATGGGATTGTTAATAATTAATTAGTGATAGTAGTCTTTTCGAGCACGGGGTAAAATTACCGAAAAAATTACTCTAAAACTGGTTTTTTACGATTATTTTGCAAACTATGAGAAATATAGAAAAAAGTTTCGGATAAAAGTTGAAGATTTTTTGATTTTACACAAAAAAGGTCCTTATAGTCTGACCGTTATTTTTCATAGTTTAGCTGTAAGATGACGGTAAAGTTAAAAATAATCCATTTTCAACCTTTTTGTATCTTTATTGTTATTCTACAGCAAAACTATGAGAGATATAAAGTAAAGTCTAAGGACCTTTTTTGTGTAAAATTAAAAAATCTTCAATTTTTGTCTGAAACTTTTTTCCATATTTCCCATAGTTTTTGAAATAATCGCAAAAAACTGGGCTCAAAGTAACTTTTTTTTTATCTACCCTTTTTTTCCGTAATGGGGACACTTTTCTTATCATTACTTACTATATCCAATAACTCCAAGAATCTCCTGCCATGCTGAAAAATCCTGATTTCACAACTTTGCTGACAATACTACTATCATTCAATTATTATTCAATAGTATAAATTTTGTTATCTATTAAAAAATAGATAAATAAGTCATTTATTTGCTTTTTAATATTAAATAGGGCTGGTCGATACTCTACTTTGGTGATTTCTATTCCGAAGAATATGATCGGCATCAATACTAGAGTCATCAATTTCAATTTCATCAAAATTATTCACTGACTCACTGACAGGATGTTTCTCCTCCAATTTAGCTTCCGTAAGCCAATCGTATATTTCTTGACTGTACATTCTTCGTTGTAGCACTTCACGTGTTCGAGGTCGAGAGCCAATGTACGTCATCGTGTTCTAATAATAATTTTGTTAAATTACTCATATACTTTCTATTTTACAGTTATCATGTAATTTGTCTAAAGAATTTTAAGTAGAAGTAATCATCTCTTAATAATCATTAGAAAATAAATTTTTTAAATTTCATTTTCTATTTTATAATCAAAAAGAAAATCAAAAAAAAACTATCTATTAATTTACCGTTAAATTTTTATACACATAAAGAAAATATTTATTACTCACATGAATCATCAATGTTGGTCTCAATTGTTCCAATATCTGAAAATCTTGAATTATAGATTGTAATTCATCCCATTTTAGTTCAACTTCTTCATGTAGCATTTTTTCCTCTGAAACAAAAGACAAATTTCAATATAAACAAAATACGAAACAATGAAATTATTATTTTTTTATTAAAAATTCTCATAAAAATCTGAATTTCATTTTATAGTTATTTTAAATCAAGGAATTTAAAACTTAGAGACTGATCTAATGGTTATTAACAATCAATAACCAACAATACAATTATATAAATATAAGCAATTTATTATTAACAACTGCATTTTTTTTTAAAGATTTATTAATAAAAAAAAAAAGGCTTTTTGAAGTAATTATGAATGATAAGGAATATTTCAAAAACAGAGTCGTTGAATCACGTTATATGGCAATGTAGATTGTACAACATTCACTGAGATTAATATTTTTACTCTTTTATAATCGCTTTTTTATTATTTTTCATTTATTTAATTATATAATTACGATTCATGCTTATTTGTACACTGCCTGTACAGCTTCTTTATTCTAATAATTCAAATAATAATAATAATGATTATTAAATCTCTAATAAAAATATATCTTTCTCTCTCTATGAAAGCCATAATTGCAGAACCTAATATTGCAGCTCTGCTATTTTATACACTCCTTTTTCTCTCATGTAATATCAATGTTTAAATTAACTTTTAAATGACATTACTCACCACGAATTATTATATTTATAACTGTATGCTATTCTACATTTGCTAGATATTATTTTTGAATATTTGCATAACTAATAAAAGCTTCTTTTGCAGTTTAAAAGCTCAATAGAAAAGAAGTCACAATTGACATAAATAAATTAATCATAATATTATCAAATCAGTAGTGATAAATAATTAATTAGATTGATCTAAAAAAATGATTATTAAAAATAAACTTACCATCACGTTTTGATGTCGAACGTTTGTATTGTATCCTAAATCTAAAAGCTTCCAAAAAGCTTGAGACAACAATTGTTAAAACAATCATAGTAACTAGATAAAAAATCATAAAATAAAATCGAGTATAAAATCCAACTATCACAGCATATGCATTCATCAGTATAAACCAATTATTAACAACCGTTAATTCAAATAATGTCATGGCACTTGCCATTAAATTATCAAATGTATTCAAATAATAATATCCTAAGGCTGTACTGCCATTTACAGAGTATTTATAAAAATCTTCCACTGTTGTATTTCTGCAACAAATAAAAGTTTTTTACAATTTATTTATTAAATATTTTATGTAGATTAATTTTTTATTAAGTTTATTATTATATAAAGAGATACTTACATACAACAATTACGCATGTCATGTCCAGAAAACATTTCCATGCCGATAATAGCAAAGAAATAATACAAAATAAGCATCACAATGGCTGTAGAGCACATTAATGGTGATAGGATAACCAGAGTACCGAAAACATCTCGGTAACGTTTTTTAATTTTAAATATTCTGAGAAGTCGTAGTGGTCGGAATATGACAAAAAAATATGCTTTTGGGAATAATAATAAGCAACAGCCTGCTATTATTGATGTTACTGATGCTCCTAAATCAAAAAGATTCCAACCAGAGCTTAGGTATCTTCTCATTCCTAATCCGAGGACTTTGGTCAAAGCTTCAGTTACAAATACTGAAATAAATATTAGGAATTTAGCTATTAATATTTACTTATGTTGTGTATTTGTTTATTTTTTTTTTTATGATTAATACTTACAACCACCAAACACAAATGTGTCCCAATCAGCAGCAAACCTGTGTGCTGATTCAACTGGATTATTTGATGATTGAAACAATCTGACAACCATTGCTACGCCGTTTAAAAAAATTGTAACATCTGCAAAAAATTTTTTAATTGATTAATTTAAGAAATTAAAGTCTAATCCTTTTTAAGATGAATGTTGAGTTAAGCCCAGTTTTTTGCGATTATTTCAAAAACTATGGGAAATATGGAAAAAAGTTTCAGACAAAAATTGAAGATTTTTTAATTTTACACAAAAAAGGTCCTTAGACTTTACTTTATATCTCTCATAGTTTTGCTGTAGAATAACAATAAAGATACAAAAAGGTTGAAAATGGATTATTTTTAACTTTACCGTCATCTTACAGCTAAACTATGAAAAATAACGGTCAGACTATAAGGACCTTTTTTGTGTAAAATCAAAAAATCTTCAACTTTTATCCGAAACTTTTTTCTATATTTCTCATAGTTTGCAAAATAATCGTAAAAAACCAGTTTTAGAGTAATTTTTTCGGTAATTTTACACCTTGTTTAGAATTCAATTTTTTTTATATTTTAATTAATTTTTTTTTTTACAACCCCTGGAATATTTTCATTAATTCAACAAGAATCTCTTGTATTCAAAAGAGATAAAAAAATCCGGAAATTAGTCCAATTTTTCCTTTTTTATTTTTAGTTTTTATTTGCTTACTTTTTTAATAAGCAAAAAAAAAAAAAACCATAATGAATGAGTCATGAATAACTACGTACAGACAACAGTTTCGAAATACGGCCATGTAATTGCAGCATGTGCACCGGTGCATAACATCTGCAATGGAGGCCACGTTGTCCGATACCAAGGGATTCCTGAGTACTGTGGTTCCCATTCAAGTGTCGTAACATCGTAAACAGATAAAAATTCCTCACAACTTAATGCACCACTTCCTGACGCATTCATATGACGAAACATCAAAATAACATCTAGAGTACCTAAAGATAAATAATAATTAACAAAAATTCATTTTGAACTAAAATCATTTAAAACTTACTTTTCTTTGGAGCATAATAACGCATGAGTCCTTCAAACTGTTTAAATTTCATCTGATCAGGATTTTGTTTTGACACAAGAAGTTTAAAGGCATGCTGGCATGCCCGACGTTTATGTAGGAATAATTTTTTAAATTTATCACGTTCTGCTGATGTAAATGTCTCATTTACAACAGCCAACATAAGATTCATCATCACGTAAAGCATCATACATAAATAAGAAACGAAATAAATAGCATACCATTTGCTTCGTGAAAATGAGGGCATCATAACATCTGGAAAGCTAAAAAAGAAATAATTAGAAAACTCTAGAATTCTAAAAAAAAATTTTATGTAAATTTAAATGACTTGTTTTACTTACTTTGCGGTTGTAAGAAGCACAAAAAGGCTAACAAAGCTGTCTTGCAGCGTAGCAAAATTTCTATTAGTTTCCGAAAACATGAAGTAACCAAGGACCATGTAGACAATGATAAAAAACAGCAGAAGCCCTAGCATGTCCAAGATTGGTGGAAGAGTTTGTAGAATTTGTCTGATAAATCTTCTAACACCACCACAGTACTTGGTATCAACCAAGAAAATAGGTCTTAGTGCTCGGGTGACACGGAAATGTGAAGATTGTCTGATGACAACAATGATAGCTTCTAGGAACATAATAGCAAGGGTGATACATTTCAGCATTGTTCGTTTATGTTTTAAAATAGTTCCCCATCCAATCCATCGTAGTTTCAATGCCAACTCAATGCCAATTGTGATCAAAGCTAATAATTCTATTGATCCATGAGCCCAGACAGGTAGCTAGAACCAAAGCAGTTAGGGTTATCAAGGTATTTAGGGTTTTAATAGCACTTTTAAGGCAGGGAAGGTATCTTTTTCCTATCCCCAACCTTAAAGCACCTTAAAACATTTAATCTGAAGCTCCAATTCTAAATAATTACCACAATTTTAATAGCTAAGCTAATTTATTTTAATTCAATTAACGAATTACCTGGAAGAGAGGAATGGCTGGCTCTTCGACAAAAGCCAGTGCTAAAAGAACTAAGGAAGTTAAGAGATCAAGGCCATAATACCAAGCATTGTGGACTAGAAGATAAGCAGGTAGATCTTCAGGATGACGTGGATGGGAATCGAATTTCTCATTATTTCTTCCTTCCTGAAAAAACAATCTAACATTAATAAAAAAAGTAGTGATAATGTTCAGTGAATAATGGACTCAAAAAGAAAAATTAAAAAGAATAATAATTATTTTATGTTTGTTTTAATTGTTATTGAATAAGAAGGTCTGTTCACAATAGAACATTGTATATAGAACTAGAAAAATAAAGAATTGATTTAATTTTAAAATTTTAAATAAGCTTATAACAATGTTTTATTACTCTATTGTAAATAGAAGCACATCTATCTTAATATCAGACTTAATTTATCAAATAAATAATAACATAAATCAATAATTCTTGTAATTATGACATAATTATTATCAAACATCATAACGAAACGTGAATTTTTGATCTGATAACACTGTCTAATAAAAAATTTATTAACTCATAAATGTCATATAGAGTCTAGTGCCTCCTCAAAGCTCTTTCAATTGTAAATATTTTTATCATAATAATTACCCATAAAAATATCAATCTTTAGAATTTTTCTCAAGTCAACAATCTTATTTAAACTCTCCAATATTCCCTCCAAAATCCCAACTTTCTGAGTAAATCTAAATAGGCTCAAAGGAGGTCTAAAACACATCCGAAATGAAAAAAAAGCCTTATGTAGACCTGATTGAAGGCTAATCTTAAGTTACAGGCAAGTCAAAGGGTTTTTAGCTCGCTCTATTGTCCACAATTTGCATTTCAACAAGACGGCAGGTCTTACCCATGTCTAATACCTAGCAGCTTTTAGGATTTATGTGTTACAGGAGTCACGAGAATCAAGATATCCCCTGGGAGACATTAGTTTATTATCGCAATATATTCTTAAAAGATTAATAAACATAAGCATGTGCCATGTTGTTCAAACTATCAAACAAATAACCTGATCATTACATGAAATAAAGGAATGATGAATTTTGTTCATACTCCAACCAAATATTTTCTTAATTTTTATGCTGATTATTTTCATTGATAAATATTGCTCAATATTAAGCAATAAAAATGGTAAATAAACAATGGATTATATTTATTTTATTTATCAATCTTTTTTTGTTATCATTGACACTGACTATCATCCTTTTCTTTTATAAAAAATAAATCTAAAAAAGAGAGTAAATAATCTTGATAAGGTCTAAAACATCAAAAATAAATTATCTGAAAGCAAAGGAATAATAATAATAATTAAAAAGGAAATTATTATCCAAATGTCTTCACCTCTAAAAATATAGCAGCTTCATGATAATTCATCTCCCAATGCATATCAATATCCATTACCACTGTCTGCCTGGCAAAGGCAGCACTCTCAGTCAAATCATCAATCTCCACATCTCTAAGACTCCTTTGGTATGAATCTGGTGATGTTGTGTTATCCTTCTTCGGTGATGTTCTTGGGTAGTTGTCTAAGGAAGCGCAAGATAATATAGATCCATATTCTAAAAGAAAAAAAAGCCAGTGTGCGAAAATACTAAAGAGAATGAAACGTGCAACCAAGAGTAAGTGCAATAATAGAAGAATGGATTTTAGAAAAAAAAAATTAATAATAGCAGAGTAGTGGAAATAGAAAATAATTTATCATTAAAATTAACACTGATTAAAAGAAGCAAGGACGCAAAAAATGATAAACAAGGGATAGAAAGAATAAAAATAAAGATAGATAATGAAATTACTCATTGTAGATATTAGATAAAAAGGATTACAACATTAATTAAATAACGAAATGGTATAAAAATAAAGTAAATATAAGATTCAGTGATTAATAATGACTTAAATATCACATGTTGATTAATTGTTGTGTTAATGAATAATAATTTAATTGTTGTTTATTGATAAATAACTTACTAGGACTTGTTCCATGATTATCCTGGCCATGATTTGATGGCAGATCATCATCAAATCGTTGATAATTACTACCAGTAAATCCACTTTCATTAATTGAACTCATTTGAATGAATTTTTCAACTTATTTTCTACTACTTTGTTAAGTAGTTATTAGTTATTGTTTGTTTTCAGTTCATACTAGTTTGAGTTGGAACTGATTATGATTTAGTAAATCGGTTTATTAACTCACTGGACGACTCAACATCACCACCCACACACTCATATTAAAATAATATTCATGTACACTATGATGCATAGTTTGCTAAACATTTTTTTAAGGAATAAAAAAATTTTAGTCACACTTATAGACGCTGATGAATTCACACAGTTTGTGTGGGCGTACTATTCTCTGTCTGTGTGGATTTTTTACGTCAGTTTTTCACCTTTGTGTTGATAATGAAGGAACTTTGCTCATTGTTTACCGTGACGGTAGCTTTGTTTTATTTTTTTGTTTTAGTGGTAATTGCGCGCGGCGTTTAAATGTTTTGGAGGTTAGTTTGTTGATTGGAGTAAATGTTTACATATTTTGGCTTTTAAAATTTCTTTTTTTTTCTTTTAATTAATGTAATATAAATTCATGCATGGTTATTTTGAATAAAATATAATTTATAATAGAAATAATAATATTTAAATAATATTGGTTTTTTTAAATAAATATGGCGTGCTTTGGAAATATTCAATATAAAAATTTAAAACAAAAAATAATTATTTATAAAGACGTTATTGTTCGTGAATTAATGCAATTAAATAATAATATAAATTATAAAATATAGTTGTAATTGAAATTATGTTGCTAAGCAATGGGGTTTTGCAAAAATAGAATTTAATTCAGTAAAATACGACTGATTAACAAAAATAAAAGATAAGAATCACTTTGATCATCATGAATAATAGTATCTGTTGACATATTGCTGATATTGAATATCAATTGTTATCTAAAAATTCTAAAAGTAATAAAAAAGTTATTATTAAAACAATAATCATTGTTGAATTAATTGTTCCAATTTCATAATTAAATACAAGAATCTTTTCAAGTTAGATAAAGCTGTCAAATATTTTTTTAGAATTAATTATTTATACTATTTATGCAAAAGATTGTTTTTTATTTTTCTTTTTTTTTTTTTAATAAAAATATTACCTCATATTTTAAAGGTTAGGATGAGCTAGTGATGAATGATAAAAATCTCCAAACAAATATTTTAAAAAATAAATTTATTCAATCAGTGCTGTTTCGTGATGTTGACATTTAACAACAACATGAAATCATATCAGAAAAATTCACCAACAATTGAAATTCGTTGAAGGAAAGGCTGTGATTCACACGACAAGACTTGATAGTCTTCACTCATAGTTTCATTAATAGGATACAAATTTTGATTTTTCAATCTCTCGTGCAAAATATTAGGCAAAAATTCAAAATCATGAACATTTGTTGATTTTTCATATTGAGTATTATTATAATCATTACCAGAATCAACACCTTTATTAACATCTGGTCCTAAAACTCCACCTTCTTTCCTTTCAGTTTCATCAACACTCTCTTTCCTCATCTCCAAAGTGCTATTATCTATCATAATACTCTGATCACTATCCTTTTCATCATCACTTTTCTTTCCAGCATCATCATCACCATCATTTCCAACTCCTTGAGCTTCTTTCTGATCATTTACTACCTTTTTTTTACTTCCCCGAAAGATCTTGATTTTTTGTTTAATATCAGACCGATCTAGCAGCAAACTTTGTTGAGGTCTGCAACAACTAAGAGCTCCAGGATCAATAGGATGAGCTTCGGTGTTAAAAACATACCCTCCAGCATAAATAACACAATCAGTCCAATGTGTTTTGTGTATTTCACCAGCCTGTCCATTCCCATGAATAAAATTATCCGAATCAAAAAGCAGATACAAATACTTGGTCGTCTCCGCGAGGAAGAATGATTCCATTCTATCAGCTTTCCGATGATCCCTAACATCATTGATTGTCGCATACCCACAAGTGGTCTTAGCACTGTGCTGAAGACTACGAAGTATATCAACTCCAACTTGAATTAAATAAGGATCTTTGGTAGCTCTATAAAGATACATCACCGACTCAATGAGCTCCGGTCGCAATGGATACCCTTCTCTATTGGTCCCCGCTTCAGCTTGAGCGATGTTATAGAGCTCCGGAGTGAACCCAAATTGCTTCCAGACTCGGTGATAGTTATGAAGGAATTTCATGGCATCAGCAGTCTCACCAATAAGACTTAAAACACCTGGCCAATAAGCGTCTAATGACTGAAACACTGGTAGTGTAACTTGGCCCTCATTCATTGACACCCAAAGATGCCAATCCTCACGTCGGATGTACTTTTCAATGGCTCTCTTATGCTCGTGGAATATTCCAGCTAGCAGAGGACTTTGGAACAAAAGGGTTCCTTTAGCTAGATATTCAAAATAAGAGTCAACACCAGCACCAATCCCAGAATCTCTAGCGGTCCAATGACCAGTCAAAACATCAACATGATTCCCAACTAAACCGATTTTAGACTTGTAGTATTGGAGGGCTTTGATGGCGTTCATGGCCACCTCTTCATACACGGGATTCCCAGTAAGTCTTGACAGGGTACCAAACTCTAGAATAAATGTTCCTATACCTGCTGTACAAGTTATGCTGGTCTCTCCTGGGGGAACACCGTATTTTAAGTTTACTGTGCCGTAAGGCATACCTGTTGGTGTATCAAACGCCACTAAAAGGCGTTTCGCCATGTCTTCGGCGAGTCTAAGTAGTGGTCCATTACATGGCCAACCTGGAGGTAGATTCATTTTGGCTTTTTTCATTAATAAATGCGCACTTAATAATCCTCCGACTACTCTGATGTTTGTCTCGAAAACAGATACATTTATGTTGGCTTCGAAGTTCTCTCGAGCACTTATTATTTCAGCGACTCGACGGAATTCCGAGAAATTACCCATTACAGCTAATGTGTCTAGGGCGTCTATTAGAGTTAGGGAAAAACTTCCCCAGGTATCAAAACCATCACAACTTAGGGATCGTAGTTCATCATATGGATAAGCATATTTTAAATAACTTGAATAGGCATGATCAAACATCGATCTTACTTCTTCTCGGAGTACTATTAAGTCTTTTTTTTTATACTTCTCCTTTGATTGAGAAAATGATATTAAGAATAATAAAAATATTAACCTGTAGAACATCATGACCTAGAAAACATATTTTTATTATTTACCTGCCTATTGAATTTTTTTTATTTAATTAATTCATATTTTTTGTCAGATCAAATACTCACTGGTTATTAAATTTATACAGTTTTTCATCAATTGTTTATCCTGTAATACCAATAATTAAAATTTTTATCATTATTTGTTGAATGCATGTTATAGTGTATTTGTTGCACTATGTATGCTTAATTTAACCTTATTATTTAAAATACACGTCAATATTGTTGGCATAATAATTAAATCCAACGTGTCAAAATGTGTATACGTAATATATTTTCTTTATTTATTTATTTATTTAAAAAAAAATAAATGTTTAGATAGTATAACAAAAATATTACAAAACCGCCATCTTGTTAGTGTATGACTCTAGTGGTGAAAAGTGTAAACAATATGGCATTTACCGGTAAAAGAAATTAATCAACGATATTTTTTGTTTTAATTGTGATTAAAATTATAGAAATAACCAAAATTAATTATTATTTTAATTAAATGTGATATAATATAAAGAAAGATTGATGAATAGAAATAGTTTTTTGGTTAGGTTTGTGATTTAATTTTAAAAAATTTTATTTTCGCGCTAATTTAAAGATTTTAAGATGGACTTTTATGAACATTTATTCATCCTGAGATGAAAATAGGCCTTAAAAGTGACTCAAAATCAATACAACTTTCTGGATACACCGAGAACAAAGTGCCAGTGCATATTTTTGATAGAACCGTGTGTTTAATAGTTTGATAAATAAATAAAAAATAACTTGCAGATGAAAGCGTTTAAAAAAGTTAAAATTTCATCGAGAAATCGATTGAATTACAGTTAATTACATCAATTATTTGTGGAAAAATTCATCAAAGATAAAAGTTTATTTTTTTCTATTTCGCCAATAATCAAAAAGTGTTTAAAAGAAACTGCGTCAACAGAATAGGTAATAGTGATTAAGCAAAAAAACTAATCAATAAGATGATAAAAAAATAATATATAAAATAATCTAAATTGACATTAACAATGAAAATGATTGTATGATAACAAAAAAAAAAAAAAAGAAAGAAAATAATTAGTAATAAATTAAAATCAATGAATTGATTTAATTGGCACTTGCACACATTTTAAGTAGCTAAAAAAAAAAAAATTTTCATGCTTTTGTGTTCACCTTTAGACGACTTACCAAGCAACTAAACGCTTTTTGGCCTTCAAAAAAATAATTTCACTGGCCTACAACAGGTATCGCACATCACGACCTCTAGCTCTTTGTTCAGATGTCCAGATATTTTTTGTAAGAATTTTTATTTATTTATTTGCACATTTAAATGACTTTTAGATGTTTAAAATACTAAACAATGTTCTATATATATAACTTCACTAATATCATTTAATTGTAAATAATAATTATTCACTTATTATTTATCATTCTCTCTATCACATACTATTCAAGTATTTAAATGTAATTGTATTGGATTTTAGATAATCAGAAATAATTTATTTTATATTTCCACTTGTCAGTTAAAGAAAAACATATGTCTTTTTTTTTTAGTGACGTTACCGGCATGGCGTCAAGTTCCGTCAGCCAAGAGGATTTTGATAATGATTATGAGCTTACGTCACGAAGACCACGTATTAGGACTGCAAGAGCACGTGTTGCACCACCTAGAAGTGGAGATATTGGAACGATTAATTTTCAAAGTAATGTTTTATCAATCATTTATTGAATCCGGCATTAACTATAAAAAAGTTAACATTTAAATTATTCAAAACATTGTCTGCAAGATGGAGGAATATTTATTTTTCAATTATTAAGTAAAAGAATTTTTAAAAAATATCTTTTTGGCAGATTAAAGACACTTTATTGAAGACAATCGAGATCAAGTCATCTCAAAATAGTCAGAATGACATATTTTTTTTAATCTCTATTGGTTGGGTAAATGATCATGCAGGGTATAATGCCTGGTAAACAATCGATGCATAAGATATTATTAATTAAAAATGTCCAAGCTCATCAGTTACTAATTAATAATGCTTTAAATTATAAAAATATCGGTCTAGATGCGACCCCCAAGGTCTGTATGATTAATTTCTCAGTGGAAAGAATAAAAATAAATGTTCTTTTGATGATGATTATTATTATTGTTATTACTGTTTTACTGTAGTTAACAGTATCAGATAATTATTAACAATAAGCCTTTGTTATTAACAATTTTACCAATGCTATTCTCTCAATACTGACACTTCTTTAGAATTGAACAATAAATTATTGTTTTCTTTATTTTTTAAACTATCTTTTTTTATAAGATATCTTTTTATCATATTTAAATAAATCTTTCTAATATGCAAGAATTTTTTTATTATTAAGTCTTTGTTTCTTACCAAAGAATAATGGTCATTTATCGGTCATTTTACCCTGCCTAAATTTTTTTTAATGCACTTAGGGCAAGTAATAAATTCTATAATCGATGAAGACTTGGAAAAAAATTAGCTTTTTTGTTTTTAAATGTCGTTATTAAATATAGAGTTTAAGATGCTATGGGGAATTTTATTTTTTATGTTTATTTTAAATGTTAACGCGGGTTTTAGGTGTTTTAACAATATATTTGCACTTATTTCGAGAAGACTGAAGCCATTTTGGTAGATTGCTTGAAAGAATTTATTTTTAATTAAATAATGTTTTAAAATTATTTTAAATTGGAAATGTTCGATTATGAATCATAAATTATTTCTATGAGTAATCATTTTGCTATAAAATATTTTTTTTTTAAGAAAAATATAGAATATTATTTATTAACCTCTTTTTACATGTGACATGAATTTTTAATTATTGTTGCTTTATTAATTATATATACTAAATTAATTGAAAAGAGATGGAGTTAAAAATACATAAACTTTCCTATTTAAATTATCATTCATAAAATACTCATCGTTATGTAGGTTTTAAGGTTTGTTAAAAAGAGGTTATTATTGTCAATTAATGGAGTGTTTTGAAGTTTAAATCAATAAAAAGCTAATATAAGATACAAATAGATGGAAATAATTTTAAATTTGTTGGGAATTGGAGAAATAAATGATAAATTTATTCCTGGCGTCTATTCATGATGAGATCATACTCAAGACTAAGATCAAAGTAATATGAACTAAGGAATTTTTTGTGATTTACCATTAAAACTCTTCTAAATGATCACATTCACTTGCCAAGTATTTATTTATGATCAGTGATCTTAATAAGGACATTTTTTCCAACAGAAAACCCAGTTGATGCTGATGACGCCCAAGGCATCTGTGAACCAGGTTCCAACCCCGTCATTCCAGCGGAACATGAGAGCCAAACAAAGCCAATAATGAGAAAAGACAAGCGTGTAACAGGGCGGTAAGTGGTAACCCAAACCCTAAAGCCTAAAAGAACAACTATCCCATTTTGAAAGTACAGGTTAGAAAAAAAAAGACAGTTTTTTTGCTGTCAATAGTGATTAAAATATCGAAAGTAAAGAAATGTAGGCGAGATCCTGTTAGATTTTGTAATTAAAGTCGACTCTAGTTCTAGTGTTTTACTCTATTTGCACAGGCCAATTCATATAAACAAAGGAAAACAGCAACGAGACCGGCGGAAACTTCGTGAAAAAAGACGGAGCACTGGAGTGGTTCATTTGCCATCAACTGAGGTATTTTATTTACTTGATAAAATAATTATCTAATTGTTTTTAATAATAAATAACTAATAAAAATAATCTAATATTTTTGTTTACATTCAATTTGTAGATTCTAACCTTAATTAGTTGCACAGAAGTTGACATTTTTTGCATACTTTACCTCTAATTTAAATAATGATGCATGATTTAGATGTTTTTAGGTGATATTTATACTTTAGATAAATTGTTTGTTTGTTTTTTAATTAACATTTTAAATAATAATCTAACATGTTTCGTTAATTATTTGGATACCGTAGAGTACAGGAGGTAGTACTGGAGAAGATGAGGAAGAATTAGGGGGATCTTGTCTCGAAACAAAGCACAATACTCATCATAATGAGTTTCTAGATCATGAACTTATCGAAGTAAGTTTTTTTTGTAAAAAAAATTTTTTTTTTTTCGTTTGTTTCTCTCATCTTGGAATTTATTTCACATGTTGGTCTTTCAGGCGAGGAGATGACTTATTGCTGAATAGAAATCATTAAATCATTATTATACTTTTTTGTCAATTTTGTACAATTTATGTCGATTTAAGTGTCTCTAAATTTAAGTTTTCAGTGAATTTAGAAACAAATTTATATCTGTTGCAGGAACGGACTGCAAAGGTTTATACTCAGAGAAGGAATAAAAGGTAATTAATGCAGTTTTTTTTTTATTTTCTTTTCAATTAGATTTAATAGAGAGAAATGGAAATGAATTGTTCCTTGGTTTATTATTATTTTTTTTTTTTTAGTCATTCAGATTTAGAAGCTGATGATGAAGAGTTCGATTCGTTGAATCAATCAGACAGTGTTAATCAATCAGATCATGGTAATCACACAACACAGTTGAATTCAAGCTCCAATCGGGATCGAGTGCCAACTCCAACCAGTAATAATACCCAAGAAGTAAGCTATTTATTTTATTGATTTAATTAATGTTGTTATTCTGCTTCAGGTTTCAGTTTAATGAAATCAAGATTTTTCAGCATAGCTAAAAAATTCAGATAATGATTCTAGAGTTGTTAAAAGTAATTAATAATTATAAAAATAATTCTCCCACCCCGGACAGAGGAAAAAAGAAGGGATGATTTAATCAAAAAATTACTCCAAAACCAGTTTCTTGCGATTGTCTTATAAACTATGGGAAATACGGAAAAAAGAGTCGAACAAAAATTGAAGATCTTTTAATTTTACACAAAAAAAGTTCTTAGACTTTATCTCCTATCTCTCATAGTTTAGCTAAAAAATTGCGATAAAGATAGAAAAATGTTAGAAATTAGTTATTTCCAACTTTACCGTCATTTTACAGCTAAACTATGAGAGTTAGAGATTAAACGATAATGACCTTTTTTGTTAATCATCAAAAGATCTTTAATTTTTGTTCAACATTTTTTTTCGTATCTTTGATAGTTTACGAAATAATTATACCTGAATCATTATGGCAAGAGACAATTCTGGTATTGTTGAATAAAGAGTGTATATATAGATAGTGACATGTATAGCGAATAATGCAGTGTATTGAACACAGTGTTGCTTCAATTCAAGCTCTGACTCATCCTGAGATTTGTGATCATCATAGAAGGATGATATATTTCAGAATAGATATGATCACCCTATCGAATTAATCATTCATGCTATCTTGGGGGTTGAAAAATGATTGTCTGTGGCTTAAATCGATTATCTTCAGGTTTCTTTTCTATTTTCTAAATTTCTAGGGAACCCCCTAACTCTCCAAGTTTAGTTAGAAATCCTTTTTTCCAATCTTTCAGCAAAATAACTAAATTTAAATAATTAATTAATTAATAATTAGATTTACAAATAAATATTATTTATTTAAAATTAGAATGATAAATAAAATGATAATTATTTCAGTTGATTGAACGAGCTCAGGAGGAGAATCGAAGGCTTTTGGCTCTTCTAGAGGACCAGGATCACAAAATAATGGCATTAGAAGCTCAATTATTACAACAACAACGAGAAATGGCTATAGAACGTGATAGATTACGTGAAGAGAATGCAGCCTTAATTCGAGCAATGGCAGCATTAGCAAGCAATTAATAATATTGAAAATATTATATAAATAATTAACTCGTAACATTCACTTAAGAATGCTTTAAATTGTTAGATTAAAGTATTAAAAAAAAAAAAAAAAAAACGAAAACTCTTTGCTTCAAATATTAACATTTATTTTCTCCAATTTGTCGTTAAAACAAAAAAAAAAAAATTCCAAACTACGCACTAAAAAAAAGAGTTTTATTGTTGCGCTAGAGTAGAATTTGTTCCACGCGCAAATGAATTTTTTTTTTCAATATATTCAAGTTAATAATTATTACTACAAATATGTAGTATATTTATGTTATATATTATAATATTATCTTTTAATTATTTAAAAATATATTCATTGGAATGAATTTTAATAATTATTATCACAATTATATAATTGATAATACTTTAAAAAACCAACCCGGAGACTGAGTGATTAATTAAGTAATAAATATAATTGGAATAATAGTTTTTAAATAGAATTACCGAATAATTTAGAAGAAAAATTATAAAGAAAAGAAAAAAAAAATTAATAATAATGTTAATTTATAATTTACAATTTAATATGCACAACTGATTGTTACTCTTCATTTAGATTAGCTGATATTAATAATGATTTTAATAATTAATTGTTAAAAATTAATTAATATTAATAATAAATAATTGCTAAGTCTATAAATTATATAACAAAAATGCTGATTAAAAATAAATAAATCATTGAAAATTTTATATTAATTCACAAACAACTTCAAATAATCCTTAAAGTATTAAAATTTAATTAATTTTTTAGATTATTCCGAATCTAAAATTGATTGAATCTAAATAGATTTGATTTGATTAGAGTGGATTTAATTGGATCAGAATCGCAATGTTAATCTTAATATCTGATAAGATCTGTTCAGATGGAGCCAGATTTGATTCAATCGAATCCATTTCTAGATCTGAGCAGATTCGAGTTGATTAGATTGGATTAGATTCGATCTGATTTATGATTTTGTAATCTAACTAGATTTAATCGGACACAGAAAAAGTAAAAATGAAACAAAATCAGATCTGAAATATTCTTTTCCAAAAGAAAAACCGTTTTAATATATTTTAATAAATCTAATTAGATCTAACAAGATGGTAAAAAATATTTTTACTTAAAAAAAAAATACTTTTTGATGTTATTTATTAGATTTGCATGAATCCAATTAAATTTAATGATATTGAAAATATCCATGTTGGTGAAAAAACAAAATAAATCTATTCAGATCTATTTTTATAGATGCATTATTTTTCATCATCAAGATCAATAGAGATCTTTGTAGATATATATATTTATTTATAAAAATCATTGTATAGATCTCATAGATAGATTGATAAAAATCGAATCTGCTTTGTAGTGTGTCAGTTCAAAATAGATTTAAAATATAAAAAAAATGTAGATCGATTTTATTTTTTTCCAGGTTGACATTTAATGCAATCGACTGAAAATAAAACGTCGTTAGATCTGAATAGATCTGAGTAGATAGAGCTAGATCGAATCTTGACTAACGAAAGTCGATTACAGATCTATCTAGATGTGATTAAATCTTCCAGAATCCAATGGAATTCAAAATTAGATTAAATTCAACTCGAGATCACTGAATTTTTAAAATCTAAATCTAATCAAATCCAATCACGCGTCTTACAATTTAAGATAAATTAATTTAAATCTAATTAGATTTGATTAATTCCTAAATATTCCTATTTAAATAAATAAAAACTCCATTTATTTATATGATTCGTAATGAAATTTATTTATCTTTTTATACAACATATACAAGACAGTATTTTATACTTATATATTTTCTCTCTCTCTCTCTCTTTCTCTCTCTTGCAATACACTTAATTATTTAATTAGTTAATGATTACAACATTTAATCATCAATCAATTGATAATAATTAAGCAAAAAATGTATAATACTCTTACACGAATCTAAAATAATTTTCTTTTATAATAATTATTTAATAATTCTTTTTTTTTTTTTTTCCTTCACAATTTTACAAACTTTTATGTCTAATTAACTTCTATGCCCTGAATATTTATATATATATATATTTATTTTTTTTTTGAAAAGGCGACATACTTTGATATGTAATAAGTATTCGGATATATTGATTTCTTAATGTTTGTTTTTCATAAAATAAATGTATTTATTTATTTAGTTTTTTTTTTATTGATTATTTCATCTTATTAATGTAATTATTGTCAGTAATTCACTGAGGAACTGTATATATTTCGCTTAAGTTTATGTTTCTTATTATTTTTTCTTCTTTTCTTTATGTAGGCCACATTTTTCTTTATTTTGATATATAAATATTGATTATAGAATACGAGAAAAAAAAAAAAATTTGGTCTTACAAATTACTACAAATATTTTGTTTCTTAGAAACACCTTTCATTAACTCATCAAATAATTATACTAATAATTTTCACACACTATTATTTATTTTATTTATATTCGAACAAACCTTATTATCTTTTTTTTTTTCCTTTTAAACTCTTAATTTACTTACTTTTTTGGTACGTTTATTTAATTTCTTCAATCAAAGCTACCCCAAGTTAAAATACTGAATTCAAACTGATTTTTCATGTTGAATAATAAAAGTAAATTAAAAGTGTCATTAATAATTGAACTAATAAAAATTATTTTTAAATAAAATGTACTATACAATTATTTCATTATTGATCTTTTAATAATTGATATAACATGAAAAATCGTCTTAATATGATCAAAAAAAAAAAATAATCATGATAGTTTTTTGTTATAATTAAACATTACTCAAAAATAAAAGTAAACAGCGTATGTACATTCACAACTATTCCCAACAAACGACTAGATCACGATGATTTTGGATCATAAATGAGATCCTTAAATGCTAAAGAGGGAAGAGCTTAGATACTAAAATTCTAGTACTTAATAGTTTCATTAATAAATGATTCTTCGTGTTAAATAATGTTATATAAACCACCATGAGACATTGAAAATAATTTTAAATTAACTGAGAAAATGTACGAAACATTTTACTTAATTACCACCAGTCATGTTTTCTTTTTTTTTTCTTTTTTCTTTAGGTACATCAATCGCTCGTTTTGCATTTTATTTGTTAACTCATTATTATTATTCGTTGTTAAGTTTAATTAAATTAATCAGTTGATCAATTGGCTTTGATGACAATAATCATTTAAAATGCAACTTTTATTTGCAAAATGAATAAAATCAAATTATTTGTTTTGTTTTTTCCATCCAACAACACTATATTAAACTTATAAATCGTTAAAATTAAATTCAAGTCGCATATTTTAAATTATTCATTTTTTTTTATCTTTTATCTTTTAAAAACAAATTACCTAAGTACAACGTTTCTTAAAAACTCTCATTTATTCATTATATATTTTTATAGTCTTGTGCATTCGATTGATCCTCGTCTAAACCTCGCAGTCTTAATTTATGATTAATTTATACAAGATTTTATGCATCAGCCTTTTTATATATTGCGAGGTTCACTGACAAAGGCACATATCGAGTATAACGAGAGATTTTTTTTAAAATTTTTCATTAAAGACACCTTAGATATGTACTATTTGCATTGGTGATGATTTTTAAATCAATATTTATCGTTTCTTTTTTTTTCGTGATAAATTAATATTTACATGCATTCAAAATGAACGGCTTTTTTTTCTTTAGACACTACACCCAGACGTGACTTCTTCATTGTTCTGTTGCGGATGACTCCACAGACATGTATGGCAATTTTTCGGTTCCTCTTGTGACTCAACTTCATTGCTAGCTGCCTTTAAACCTTGCTCCAATTCCAACAATTGACCCATAAAGTTTAAATTCGGACTAATTATTGGACGTGCATTCTTGACAAGTTTGTAAGCATCCACCATCGACAACCCCTTGTGTCGCATTATATAAGCTATTGCTATTGTGGCGCTTCTTGATACTCCAGCTTGACAATGAACCAATACACTGCTTCCAGCTTTCCTTGCTTCTTCTGTAAAAACAATTAAATTAATTATTTTCTGTTTTCTTTGTGGTAAAGAAATAAATAATAAGAAATAATGGTGTTTAAATAAGCGGTTAAGTAACTTTATAACTGGGGAAGCTATCGTATCACCAGTGAGTCATGCCCGGATCCTATGTATATGATTACAAAATTCTCGAGTATTTATTGTTTATCTTAAAATTGTTTAAAGACCTTGCATAAATTCATTCCTTTTTCCTTTTAATACTTTAGAATATATTTAATAAATTAAACAGAAATAATTTTATCTAAAACACAAGATAATTTTTTGGTTATCTTTAAATGATTTATCAAAAAATGACTGATTCATAGGTTAGCGTCTTTTTGAATTAAATATTTTTTAATGCTTTTATTAATCGTACCAAAAAAAAACAACAACCTTATAGACTGTATAAAATAGTGTGCCAAGTATAAATGACAAGAACGATAATATTTGTTCATAAAATTTAAATTAATTTGGAAAATTACAAAAAGTCATAGGTTAGCGTCTTTTTTTAATAAACATTTTTTTTTAAAAGTCTTTTTGTTGATTAATAAAATAATTTTTTATCAATTTTATGATATTAATAGACTCTACTGATACCCTGATTGTTGAGTCACAAGCAATAAATAGTAAAAACAATAGGTTAAGTTGAAAAAAAATTCCATCAACTTTTAACATTCTTTTGTCATTCATCATTAACTGAATTAAAAAAGAAAAATAAAAAAAAAAAGGTAAAATTATAAAAGCACATCCTCATGTAAATGATCCATATCCTATTGTTCATAGTCATGAATGATCATCGTTATTTTCCGGTCTAATTCTCGTTTGCATTATGACGTAAAATGTAAGTTTTATCAACAGTGTAAGATAAATAGAGTGTTGTGTGTAAACGGTTGGATTCCACCAGTTGCACATTTGAGGAACTCCCTTACTTTTTTTTTTTTTCTTTCTTTCTTCCTTCATTGTATCTCTTTTACTCATAGGGTGTATTAACGTGTTGGAAAAAGAACACAAAATAAAATAGAAATAAAGGAAGGGCGCACATGAGAAAGAACCCCTCGTTCAGCTGCACTGTGAGTCATAGTTTTATGAATGGAAGCCTTTCGTCTTGTGCAGTCAATGGTCCACCGGATACGGCTGATTATGTCTCGTTTCCGTTATACCCAACTGCTAAGCATCACACATAATTGTCCGTTATCTTGTTCTATTTTTATAATATTCTATTTACCACGTTTGTTTTGGAATACAAAGACCTGAATTTCCAGCTATTTCACATCATTAAAATAGTCCCAGACCATTAGATATGCTCTCAATTATGAAAATATTTAAATTCAAACTCATTTAGACTAGACCATCAGCAAAATAAAAATTATGTCACTAGAGTTTAATGAACTTTATCAAAAATATAACGGTTTTCTAATAATAATCATCATCATCATCAATTGGTAATGCTTTAAATTTTATTATTTTTTGTTAAAAAAAAAAAAAGAAAACAGCTGGAAGTCTCTTTGTGTTGATCAGTTGATTTTATTGTATTTTTATGATGAATCCTGAGAAAAGACTTCCTAAAGTTGAAAAATTAGGATTTCACTTCTAGGAAACAAGGTAAAATCTTTCGAAAAAGCATGGAAAATCGACGAAAATGATTCAGAGGGACAGACTGTCTGCTGTATATAAGCTTTTTATATTTCCCCAGTGTTATTGCTGTGACTCATACCAAGCATACCAGATGCTTATAAGCAAGTGTATAGTATTACTATTTAAAACAAAACTATTCTAGTGATTACACAACCACTCTTTTAGTATTAAAATGCGAATTGAAAATGCTGAATAAATATTACTATTTTATAATTGACTAAGGAAATAAATGTTAATATTTTATCAAATATCCAGGCATGAACAAAGGTGATTTGTGACAATTTAAAAAAACTATATCAACTTCTAGATTGTTTTGATGAAGATCAGAAAATTAACTAATCAATAGCAACAAAATAGAAAGAGATTAATTAAATAAGATATTGATATACTAACCAATAAAATCGAAAGCTTCTTCAAAGTATTGTTTAAGATTCTGATGACCAGAATCTGTGGCAGGTATTTGTCTGTAAGTGATTCCTCTTGATTCGTGATAACCAGGTAACTGTGATGTGACATTGAGTACTCTAGTGGCACCAAGTGCTTGAAGTAATTGAAGATCAGCAGCATCTCTACCATTACCGAGATAGAGAAAAGGTAAAACCTTTGATGCTGGATGATTATCAATATCAGCTGGTTGTGGTGTTGGAGGTCCCATATGCATAACTGGACATCCTGGTCCAGGACTCATACATCCACTTGGAGAATTAAGTCCAGAGGTTGTTGACTCAGAATTACCACTTGGAAGTAATGTATCCTCACAAAGATCTCGGTGCCGCCTTTGAAATTCTTTGTGTCCTCCTGAAAGCATCAAACATCATCAATAAGTAATTCATTATTATTAATATGATAAAGAAATACATCTTCGATTATTTTGTAATAAATCAAGTGTGAATAAGCAAATGATAAATGATGTGAAATTGATGAAATTAAGGAAAGAGGAACAAAATGTAGACTAAAAGTGTCTCTTGACCTGTGGTCCCGGGCCCTGACTCTAGGTCTGAGCTTTCTCGTGATGACTCACACACTACGTCTCTTTCTTTTCCTCTCGCTCTTCATCCATCATTCTAACCACCAACGACCTTCTCTTATATTATATTATTTCTCATACATTTGACGTTTGTTTATCAATCACCTTTTTTTGTTCAACATTTTTTATATCAAATATAAGCTATTTTTCATGGTAATAAACATTATTTATATCATTTCTATTATATTTAACAACTCATTCGTGTGTCATCGATTCTTGTAAAGGCATTGATGACATCACAAATGTTTATCCTCTACTCTGAGTAATTTATTTATTAATAATTAATCAAATTTTAATTTCAATTAATAATTATATATTTATGTTATAATTGGATTTTATTAAACATACCCCAATGATCAAGATTCTCCACTGGTCCAAGTCTCAATACAAGACAAGGAGCTCCTTTTCTGAGTCTCATTTTGAATAAATATGTGTTGAAATGAATTTATTTAAGACAATTAAATCAAATATCACACAATTTTATTGTCATATATGAGAAAGTTATTTAGAAGACACACAAAATCAATAAATAATAAATAATTTTAGGTTATAAAAAAATTCTGTAAATAATGTTGAGAAATAAACTTGGTTATGTTTAAAATTTATTTATAAAATGATATATTAATTTATTTAAATATAAAATTAATCTTTATAACTTGAAAAACTAGTTGTGATCTAACACACTTGAAGTTTAACTGAACACTGAAGCATGCCAATGCTAAGAAAAACGAACTGAGTTCACACGAGACCCCGAATTCGATGACTCACCAACACGATTTGTGATTGGTTGAAGGTCCGAAGCTTCTACCGAGAACTTCCGAGAGACTTCGCGCGTCTTTCGAACGCCATACTTTATCCTTCTTTCACTTTTGCCATTCTCTCTCACACTTAGTTTTCATACTGGACTTATTTTTCGCATTTTATTGAAAGACGAGACACGCAACTACGCGACCTTGCCACGGAAGTCTACAAATGACGTTCTATATTAGAATGACAATCTTTACCGTACGTGGATTAAGGAATTAAAATATTTAATTGAATGTTGTTTTGTTTACATTTGTTTCTTTTTTTTTTAACAACCAATTTAATGCTGAGTATCTTTTTAGTACTGACATACCAACACGTGTGATGTTTTATGAATTTTGACTGATGTTTTACACGTTCTGAGTGATAAAATTGATATTTCTTACATTTTTTAACATTAAAAGAACATTTTTTATTAATAATTTTACTTAAAAGATGAAAAAAAAAAATAATGACATTGTTGAGGTTATTTTTTTGTATTATCAATAATTATGTGACTTTAATTGGAAAAAATTAATTTTTATTGGTAACAATTCATAGTGTATGTTTTTTTTTTGATATAAAACTAATTAAGAATGGTATTTAAAGGTAAATAAAATCAGTATATTTATGATATAATCATTAAAAAATTCATTTAAGGTCTTAAGTATTTCTTTTCAATAATCCAACAGGTGAGTAAAACAGTAAAAGACTTTATCAGATATGACTAAGGTATGACGCAGAGAAAAATGTCCAAAAATGGATCAACAAGAGACAATAGAAAATGATTCAACCTATTCGGCCAATGGGAATTCCTTCATCCATGAGTAATGGATTAAGAAGAAGAAAAAATGAGGATTATATTCATCAATTCAAGGACTTTTCTGGTTATTATAATGACCTGACAATCATCCATAAGTAAGTTTGCATCAATTTCTTTAGAATTTATCATCACAAATCCGCTAATGACGCATGTTTAATATTTTCAGACGTGGTCTTTGCCTGGAGCAAGGTTATTGCTCACGTCGATGGGTCATTCAGTACAATATTCATATAAAAGAGATAATAAATGATGTAATTAATTGGATTCTATTGAATTATCAGATGTATGGATTATATCGTAATAATTGGTAAAGAGATTATGCTATTAATTATACCTAATACTTAAAAATTGTGATTTTTCAATTTTAGGTTATAATAAATCATTTGAATCTTTAATTATTATTTAAGGTAAAGTATCTAATGTTTAAATTCTTTAAAAATATATCCTACACACGAATTAATTGTCGTGTTTTTAATATGCTACGTTTTTTACTAATAATCAAGATTATCCAAGTATTGGGTACTTAACCTTTTTTTATTTATGACCAACAAATTAGAGCAGCTTTGCTGCAAGAATTACATTGGAAATATATTAATAAAGTCTTCAAATTATTCTGGTTAATTGTCTCGTATTTATTCCTAAATAAAGCCATCCTTAACCATTTTTTCTAAAATTATTAATATTATTTATATAAAAAACAGTTTAATTTGGTTACAATAGGTTAGAACTGACCATCAATTAAATACTCGTCATGATAGATTTTAATTAATAAATTACTACAAAAAAGAGGTTATAATCGTCACCCAAAATGTGCTGAATCAATCAAACATTGAGAAGCTTGAATGAAGAAAAAGTTAAGATGGAGAAAAATATTGAGGTTATTGAATGAATATTGGCTTCAAGACATGAGTGTCAAAAAAAAATTGATATATCGATTATAATCGAATTAATTACTTAACAATGAAGTTGTGAACAATCAATATTGTGATCCAATACTAACAATATCATCAACACTAAAGTAATGAAACCTCCTTAGGACAAGGAATGAATCACAGTAATAATTAAATTGAATTTTGTTGATGATTAAATGTTATAATTTTATGACCTACAAAGTAGTTCATTAAAAGTATTTAAGTGTTGATAAATTCATGTTAATTAGTGATTTAAAATTAAAACAATAATAAAATAGATTTGAAGTATGAATCATCACCAGAAATTGATTTGATAATTTTGATATTTTATGTTTTAAATATCGTACAATAGTTTGTTATCATACTTTGTTACTAATCATTTTCTCATACTAGAGTTCACTAGGGTTTAAACATCATTGTAAATAATAGCATTGACTCATACCCTTTTTTTTGTTATTTTCCCCCTCATCATCCAAAAACACCCTCCATACTTTATTCTTCCATCATCGTCATCATGGTGGATGACGAATTGTGTCGTGCTTTGTAGACGTTTAATTGTACTCACAATAGGTTCTCATCATCATCAAATAATGTCTTGCATTGCTACTTTTCTATTGAAAATTGATGCAGTTCATTTTTTTATTTTATTTTATTTATTCAAGTAATTTTTTTTGCTAACCTAACCTATGCAATAAATCATTCAAAATTAAATAAAAGATGATTAATAATTAAATAATAGAAATTTTTCTATACTTTTTGTTTATTATTGCACACAATAGATGAATATAATTAAATTAACTCCTAATCATTGCATCAATTTTTGCTCCAACTCAAAGCAAGATGACAATCATAACCAATAAAAAAAAAATGTAATTATTTAAAACAATTTTCTGGTGTTATTAAATATTTTAAATGTATTCTATTAGTTAAATTTAATTTTATCAAAGATAAAAGAAAAAGTTTCCATGACAATGTCAAAAATAAATTCCAAATAAAAGCTTCTACTAAATGTATTTATCCAAGGTTAGACATTTCCACCCTTATGTTACGCACGTGGTGGGTGTTACCACGAATAGCAATGGACTCACGCAGAGAATGCCGAATGAGTCATCTTCTCAGGAGAGTATTATGAAAATTTCCTAATAATTATCCAAGTTATATCCAAAAATATAAACCAACAACAAAAACTAACCTATAAATAACAACAAATAACATGAAATAAATCACTTAAATTTTATTTCAGGAATATTAAACAGGATTTAGTGAATATAAATTACCATATTCTGATGAAAAATGAAAAGGTTAATAAACGACAAAGGAACAGAAAGTTGAAGGCAATTGAGTATAGACTTGAGGACGTCGGCAAGGCCGATGGCGTCGACGAATGACTGCGCCTTGAGGAATGTTGTCCAGGCAACATTAAAAATCAAAAGCCAGTTTTAACTTTAGTTCATAGCATAGATAGATCAAATAGATAAGGAAATAATTAACGATACAAGTTAGTATATCAACTTAAGTATACATATTGAAATACTTTTAACATTGATTTCTCCAATTCTATCAACAAACTTCATTGATAGGTTTAATATATTCAACAACATTCATTCTATTAACTTATAGAAAGCTGATATTTTCAAGTTTTGTTGATAAAATTCATTCATCAATGAAGAAACTTCAAATTAACCAAGAGAAAATTCTTCTTTTTTTTCAGTTGATTGATATTTGTAGAAGCCTAGAATATCTAGCTTTACTGCTCTGTACAGCATAATTATCACCAACTCTTGCTTAACTTGTTTTTATAGAAGAACTTGGAACAGGTATTTATTATTAAATCTACCACACCTTGCCTACATTATTTTATACTACTTAAGAACACAATTACTACACGTTCCGCTCCGATTCTCCAGCTTTCGCTGACAATCGTGAAAGGCATCGATCGTGAAATGATTTTTAAATTATTTTTTGTTGACATTCTTTATTATCTTGTGCTATCAAATTTTACTATTGAATTTCTTCAACGTTATTTTCAGGTTTAATTAGTAAGAAAAGAAGCAGAAAATAATGAAGAAAAATTGAAAAGAAATTTTTTTATGATCATTAGGGAATTAATAGTTGAGTTATGGATCTACTGAGGAAGCAAGTGAATCGTAAAAGAGATTGGCAATGAGTCAGGGAGAAAGTGAGTGAAGGTATTTGTTGCTTCTGTTTTATTAGCTTCTAGGAGTGTCTTTAAGTCTCCTAGCATGGTTTATTTTATTTTACATTCACTTATGTGTCCTTGCTTATGTCAAAACTTTCCAGGACGTTGGAGCAACAGTTTTTAGGTTCAACTAGGAAGCTTGGTGATTTAGAAAATCAGTTTGCAACAATATTTAATGAATAACTCGACGAAAAAAATTGGTAAAGAATGATTAAAATAAGAAGAAATGTTTTATATTAAGTCTGCCTTCCAATACATTGATACTCTTGGAAAATGGATAGATAAAAATGGCATTCATTTATTCAGTGAGTTATAATTTGACTGGAAAATGAGTTATTTCGGATCTGTTGACTGATTGAATCAGCAAAAATGATGAAGGATTATTTTAGAAACTCACGATGTCACTCATGTCGATATTTTGTTTATTTATCATCATCTAGCACACAGTGAGCATCAAGTGAAACAAGTCAATATATTTTTAAAATGAAAATAAAACCAAAAAGCATCGTTTCATCTTGACTTGTGTCAATATTCCAAGTGTCTAATTAACTCAATAGTTTATGATTCATCAATTGTTCTCACTTACTCAATAGAATAGATACTTTTTTGTTCAAAAACTGGTGACCAGGTCTTGATATCAGTCCAATAAGTATGAATACTTGACTGAATGTCTCTTCATAATATGTTTACTCAAATCTCCAACTGCTTCCACTTTTAGAACAATTCAATAAATATGAATAAATTGATGAAAACTTCCATTAGCTCATCTGATGAATTTGATTGCTCACCAGTTCAATCAGTACATCTGACAATCATTCCACTGCTTCAACCAGTAAAATCCAACTCACTTCCATTGGTATACTTGGAAATGTTTCAATTAGTAAAAATTCACTGAAAATTAGTCAATATTTACAACCTCATTCTTATCAATGCCTTGATAAAGCTTTGACAGTTTTCTAACCTCATTCTTGCTTCAAGCATACTCGTATATGAACGAAAGATGCCGAGATATTTGAGCAGTAAAGGTTAGTAATTATTTCTTTGTTGTGATATGAATATTTACCATCATAGAACACGTCATACACATGTTGGATGAGTGAATAAGCTCTTGAATTGAAATAAGGGACGGGGAGTTTCATCCCTAAAACTTTTCCTACGCTCTTTTGGAATCAAAGGGGACATGCGTTAGTCATTGATACACTTTAAACCAAACTGGTGACTCATATAATAATCGTAATCGACAAGCAATCCAGATGTGGTCTGCATATACATAATAGTTCAAGAAGGTCTGACAGAAAAAAGCTTTTCCATTTATTTTCAAAAGGGGAGATGACATTTTTTTTTTAATAATATAATAGAACGTACTAGGATAGATTTCATTTTCTGATCACGATCTTCCATGGTGACTAATATGTCTAAGAAAATTAATTAAACAAACTTGTGATTCACTTTCTAGAAAAACTATTGAATTTTATCCTTTGTTGTGTACACTGTTTATATGCTGGTAGGTGAAACACCTTTTCCATTTAATCATTAAATGTTTCTTTAATATCAGATTATAAAAGTTTTTGTTATGTAAACGATCATTATGACATCATTAGATACTTTGTTATGCATAAACTATACTTTGAAGAAGTTTTATTGCAACGGGCTGTTGATTATAATGAAAGATAAATTCAAAATGTCCTTTTTTTCTCTGATAATTAATTTTAATCAAATTTTTCTAACAATGATGAAGTTTTTTTTATAATATTATTAAAAAATTTAATTTACTGAGAAAAAAACTTAACCTTAAATTATAACCTTTTATCCGAAACGTTTTTTTATATTTTAAAGTTTATTTTTAAACAATGATAAAATAACCTCAAATAAATTTGTTGACAATTTTTATAAATTTAATATGTCGATTATAATATAGTAATTTTTTAAAATTCTTTCTTCAATAAATAATAAATTTCAAATTTTTTAAATTTTTTGCACTAAATGGTTGTTTGAAAAAATCTCAACAATCGCCATATTGTGTCCGCCATATTGGATTTTATTAAAACTGTCAACAAATTCATTAGATGTTATTTTATCACTGTTTAAAAATGAATTTTAAAGTATAAATAATCTTTTTTAATAGAAGGTTATAATTTAGAAGAATTAAAGTTATTTTTTTAAATAATCTAAGTATTCAGTTGGACAATAATAAGTGTATAAAAATGAGTTTATAGTGAGGTTAAAGAATGAACCGAATGACCCAAATGAATTGGAGTATTTTCTAACCAAAGTAATTAAAATTTCTACAACTTTATAAACAGTGTATTTAGATTATAAAATTATATTAAAAAAAATAATAGTTTTTATTCAACTAAATCAATTATTCTAACCTAAGTTTTGGTTAAACTCAATAAACAATTGTTACAAAATAACCTCAAATAAAACCAATTCATAAAAAATGTAACCAACAAAGGCTGAAACAATGAAAGTATTGAAGTGTAGCTTAACATTGACCTTTAAAAAAATGAATTAGAAACTATTTATAATGTGTTAGAGTTTAACAAGTCTTCTTGACTCGAAAAAAGAAAAATCAGTGACGAAATAGACTCCAAAAAGGTTAGAAAGTTAAAAGATGACGAAAAAGCAAGAATAATAAATCCAAAACAAAGAAATTGATTGCATGTATAATAATTTTCATAGTGAAAGTAATGAATGGTATGAGAATAACTTGAATGAATAGGTCTTCGATGTCTATGAAGTATCAAGCGGGCGGACGTAATATCATTTGCATGAATTAAACGCAGTCGACCTTTGGATTGTTATAAGTAGGCTGTGGCACGCGTTGAAGAGAAGACTTATGGTGTTAACAGTGCAGAACGATCAAGACAGTCCCTATGATACATTTATTTGGCCTCGTTAACGTCATCCATTTTTTTTACTCTCTCCTAACTCTTTTTTATTACCAATAAAAACTCAACTATCATCAACATGTTGGATTAAAATCCACTCCAAGAAGATACGACACCAATTTTTTTTATTTAAACCAAATTCCACCATTATTTTACTCTCCAAACAGAAGTGAGTCATTTAAAAGGAATTTTAACCTAAAAAAATTGCCAAGCAATTTACCAAAATGTGCTAATGATTATTGATGGGGATGAGGGAGGGATTAGATGAGTCATTTTACATTATTTCCTGTTATCAAGTAAACAGGTGGTTAGATTATCAGGAAAAACATCAATGATTTATGGCTTTTAAAAGTGTCTGAATGATGAATAAGCAAAAAGTGAATTACAATCAATGCACTTATCCTAGAATTTCACCAAAACTATCAGGTAGAAACAGACAAAAATGTGTGTCCCAGACAAGCTTTTCAATTTTTAGAAGTGACTCATATATTCTGGCGACACTGCCAGACATAACTAAATCCCTAAATCCAAACCTTAAATGATTCTTGACAATGCTTGCCAACTGTTCAACATTACTTTGAAGATTGCATTGAAAAATACCAATCTAGACGATTAAACTTATTACGTAACTTACATTAGTATATAACTAATCGTAAGTTTATCTTGTATATTAATATCTGCGTAGTAGAATAAAATATTTTGCTCATCAATAAAATTAGATTTGTTTTGATTTGACAGTTAGAAATGATAATTGAATTGACAAGAATTAGGTTATGGTGATGATTTAATGATGAACAACAACAAAAGAAAAACCTCCCTTGGGATTTGATGTTTTAAAAAATTGGAAAATAATAATTAATGATAGATATTACACATAAGGAATCAACGATGATGATGATGATGATATAAAAAAAGAAAAAAATTGTATGTGCGCAAATTCAACTGGGCTATTCACGTCGTCATCTCAACAATGAGTCATTCCTATGAATAGAGTTTCCCTCCCCAGATATCCCCCCTCTGCTTCTTATCTCTCTCATTCTCTCTCTCTCTTTTACAAACTCTACTGACTTGATCATCACTCTACTCTCTGACTGCTATATGCCTTCTATTTCTCCATCATTCTCTCCCACTTTACATTCACTCCCACCTTCTTTATGTCCTTCATCGTACGCTTCTGTTCCGGACCACCCAATCTAGTGTCATTGATATAAAAATTAATTTTTTTGCATCTTTTCTAACCTAACTTTAATATTAATTTTTTTCTTCTTTTTTTCATTTACAGAATAATTAAAGTTTCTTATGATTGTTTATCATGGATTTAATGTTTATAAACTATTTGATGATAATTATCTAATCTATATTCGCTGATTAGATTAAGAAATAAATAACGAGATAAAAAGATGCGTTTTTTGAAAGGAAAAATGACTTAAAGAGAATAGTATTTATTTGAAAGATGTAAAATGGAGTAAATTTCCACAGTCAAAAAGTGGGAGAAGGATAGGAAGAAGAAGAAGAAGAAGTGTGAAACGGGAATGTTGAACATCATTGCTATTTCTAAATGACATTCATGTCAGCAGTTATAAATGATTCTAAGTAATTTTCATATTTTACTTTATGATTAATAGCATTTCTTTTACGTATTAAAGACATTGAATATTGTCATTTTGAGAAGAGAATTAAAAATTTAAAAAACTTACCAAGAAGTAAAGCTGGCTCTTTATCATCTTCAACAAGTGCCGTAAGAACAAGAAAAAGTGGATGTTGTGTTGGTAAGTGTTCTAGATCAGTAGTACAATCATCATAAAGAACAACTTCCGTGTAGTTTTTACGTTTCAAGATATCTTTTCCTTCCCTGGCGGTAACGAGATCAGCAAGTTTAGCTTTTCCAAGTGCAAGACGTCGTCGATTAAAACGATCAGAACAATTGACATTAATAGCGCCACGTATATGATTAACATTGTAAACAATAAAAGGCCGGCAGTCTAGTAGGACTAAGCTATCAGGTTGCTGACGAATGCGATGGGCCAATTGATCCGGGTCAATAGTCCGTGAGTGATTTAAAATAAGTTGACGTTGGAGACCGGAAGTCTCAGAATTTGGACTGGCAGGCAGACTAGTGGTCTCCAGTTTGCTTCGTTTTGGAGAACCACAAGATAAAGCACCGGTAATGACACCACGAAGATGCTGGATATGATGGAGATGATGATGAAATGATTCAGACAATGTATCATCACCTAGATCTATTGAATTTGTACTACCACCACTTGCACTAGTGGATGATGTATCTTGGGCACTACTTTCGGTGCTAGTGGAAATTGATGATAACGTTGGTGATGTTGGTGTTGGTATAAAAAATCGATGATGATCTGATGGTGGGCCTGGTTCACTTAAACTGCGGTTTAATGCTAACTTCAAATTGTCACGCGGCCGCGCCGCCGCGACAGGTTCACAACAAATCAGGGTCGACATCGGTGTGATGTCTGCTCGAGATATATTCAGACGAGACGCCGTGGCCGCTTGTGCTGACGACACTGAAAGTACACAAAAATATGTAAATAAAAGAATGTTCAGGTTGTTGATGGGTGATGAAAAAAATAGGGAATTTTTAGACTTTTTTATCCTAATTAGGTATTTATTTTTATAGGGAAATTTTCCTTGATTGATATAAGCTGACTGATTGTATATTTAATAAAATCTAAAGAGTGGACTATTTCCTTTAATTAATTGTGTTGTATAATCGGCTTTACAATTGCAACAAAAGAGAACTGTTCACGTGATACAACGTCAAACAGCAAATTTAAATTATTATTGACTTCATCTACTCTATTGTTAACCAACTATTTCAAGGCAATGAGTGTTATCATAACTAAGAGATGATATTTTTTCATCATTATGCGAGGAAATTAATTTGGTGATTTTTTATTTTAAAAAAAAAAAAGTCTTTTGTTTATTGTATTATAAGAGTATTTGGAGAGAAACTAGTGTAAAATTCTTATTTTAGTGATTTTTTCTAGAGATTTTTTTTTGTAATAAAAATGCAAAAAAACCTCAAAAAACTTAGGGAAATAAAAATGTTGGGGGAAATTTTCCACTGCTTTAAAATTTAAAGAATTTTTTTTTATCAAATCTAGTACTAAATAGTTATTTTAGTGACTTTTTCTGAAGACTCAATATTTTACTTAGTAATAAAATTGGAAGTATCCCTAGACCGTCTAGTAGAATAGAATAGAAATTTTCTAATGCATTTTATTTTATGTAAAACTTAAAAAAAAAAAAAATAGAACTATTCTAACAAAATTTAATGTAAAATAATTCTATTGATGTTTTTTTCTAGGGGAAATTTTTTGTAGAAGTAACAAAAGTAACATCCCTAAAAAATGTAGTAAAATAGAAACATTCCGGTCAATTTTCAAAAAGAATGATGGTTTTTTTTGTTGGGTCTAAAATTAAAAAATAGGGTTTTATTCGACAAAATCTAGTGTATTATAATTTTTTTCAGTATTTTTTTTCTAGTAACAAAGATAGAAATATCTCTATAAAATAATTTTTTTAGTAATTTTTTCTAGGGAATTTTTTTAATTCTAGTTTTAAAATAAAACTAGGGATATCTCAATAAAAACCTGATAAAATTTACAACAATTCTAGCCTAATTTATAACAATTTAAATTCATCATCAAACTCTACCAAAAGTACTTCAACTCTAATCACAATAAATAAAATATTTCTAATGATATTTTATCAAATTTTATGACTACTAATACTTATAAATAGTCTCGAAATTACATTAAAAACTGATTATTTAAAAATCTGATAATCAAGATATATTTTTTTTTATCTTGACTTTTCTTGTCATGATATTTAATCATAAGTTAAATATTGCGATACTCTTGTTATTTCTATTAAACAACAAGTAAATAAATTACAACGACTGATTGAAGTAGCTCGTATCGTAGCTGATGACGAATAAGCGCTGTGTATTATTCCAGGACCCAGAATGAGTCAGACCCTAATATTAGAAGGTGAGGCTGTCGTTATAAAGTATGGCATATAGAAGCAGCAGTTGTGGGTTGATTTTTTTTATTCTTTCGTTTTCACTCTCATTTACAAAACCACATTGAACGTCACTACACAGCTTCAAAAGCTGCTACACAATATATACTTTAAAACTTCTTCTTCTTCTACATCATCTTCGTCTTTTTATTTTTTTTCTCGCGGGTTCGTTGTTTCGAATGAGTAAACGCCGAGGAATTCGACTGGCTCGGGTTTTCAGACAGGTGTAGTACTAGCACCTGCTTCTTTCTCTTCAATACTTGTCGAGCAACTTATTCACGTAACCATCTTTGGGATTTCATTATTTACAATGTTTTAACAGCAGTTGAAAAATCCATACCAATAAGAAAAATATCCTTTATTTATTTTAACCTCAAAACTTTTATCAATTGAACTTACCCAACTATGTTATATCTGCTATCCAATTGGTGATATGACTTTTGGGTCTGGTACTCCAATAAATTGAGGCTCCAACTACCTCATCAATGATATCAATAAAATATGCCAATAGGTCTTTTAGACCTGACAAAACTCCGAAATTTTATTTTCATCATTTTTGTATTATTTTTAAATTATTATCACACTCCCGCCAAAAATTTTATCCCGCCTTTTTTCCTTTCTTTTCTTTAGAAGATAAAATAAAAAAAACCGGAAATCTACGCGTGGACGTGAAGTAACTGATTTGTTAATCAACAGAAAACCGTTCTCTACCACTGTCGAGCAGTGACTGAGTTTCATCTATTGCTCATTGGGTCTCTTACTGTGTGTGCTCAGGCAAAAGTAAAGATGGAGAACAACTAGACGCAGATGGAGACACCATTTACCTGTGTGAGTTGGTTTTATAAACGTGATCACGTGGAGTTTACGACATTTGTTAAGTATATTCGTGTTTAAACTGACGTTCGTAAGTATGTGTATGTGTGTGTGTGTTCAATATACTTCCTCTTGGTGTTTTACTAACACAGTCATGTTTTCTAGAATCCCAAAGCGGCCGATGAGTCATCCTAACTTGTGAACGCTATCGTCTTTTTGCCAAGTATTATGTGTGTATATGTTGGTGGATGATGGTGGGGATGAAAATTATTTCTTTTTCAGATAACGAATTCCATACGAGGACGTTGGAGTTCATGAATCTTGGAAGAAAATAAAATTATTATGGTTATGTTTGGCCTATGAAATTTTGAATGGAGATATTTTTTTCCTTTAAAAATTAGAAAGTATGAAAGAATTGATGAAATAAAATAATAAATAATATTTTTAAGTATCCAAAAATAATACAATGATTCAAAAAAAAAATAATATCGAAAAATAAATAAATAGTAATGAAGAATAAATTAATTAACCTCACTTTTTTTTCTTAAAAGAAAAATTAAAAGAGAGAAAAAATGATAATTTACCAATGAAGTATTGAATAAATTAATTAATTATATTTCTTCAAGGTAAATTGTTTATTGGATGGAATATTTTTTGTATTTATTGAGTTTAAATAGTGAGAAAAAAAAAAATGAAATCAATCTGAAAAGTTCCCGTTTATCTGATGACGTAGTTCAAGAGCAACTCATCGATTATTTATATAATTTTTTGTTAATTTTATATATAATTCAGTGAATAGATGATTGAAAAAAGAACCTGATGGGACTTGAAATTGATTAAAGTGTTGTTGACGAATACGTGATAACAAAACGTGCGTATTGAATGTTAGGAAAACGTCAGATCTGATAAACAATATGATAAAAGTGTGACATGATGACGTCAAGAAAAGAGGAAAAAGTTGATATATATATAAAATTTGATGTATTTTGTAAAAACCTATTTTTCTAATCAAATTGATATGTGTGAAGGAAATGTGTACTGAATCAGCAGAAATGAAACCTCAAGTAATGTAATATTGAGGAAAGTTTGTAATTAATTGTTAAATTTCATTTCTTTCTTCATTAATATTTCGATTTTTTGAGGCATCGTTGGATACCTAAACCTTTTTTCTGATTACTGAAGAGAAAAATAAAAGAGGAACCATGAAGATGGAAAAGATATCTACAGTTAGAAAAATATCTAGTTAGAAAACTATCAACTATCTGTAATTGATGTTTTTTTGAAGGTCAATAACATGTGATGACACAGCTATTTGAATCCTTTTCAAGATAACAATAAATATTAATTGAAGATGTTTTGCTATTGATGATAAGAGTATGATGGAGAAATTGTTGGTTAAATTTTGTATCTAAAGCAAATGATATATGGGCACGACTACGGTTTCCGTGGCGCCACGAAATGATAATGAATTTCGATAGAACAGTCCAAAATAAGACGAAAATGAAGAATAAAATTTTTTCATATCTCACTTAGTTTTCGAGATATTGATACTTTAAATTTTGGGTTTATATGGGCTTATACATGGGCATAATTTTGGACTACAGAATTAGAGGGTTCTCTCCGGTGGCGGCCTTCGGCCGCACCGTTTAATGAAAAAAAATCACCCTGCAAGTACATTGTACCAAGTTACAACAATTTTGCGAGGCAAAAAAAAATCGCGGCGCCACGGAAACCGTAGTCTCCCCGATATATGACTGATTCCAAGATTTTAGAAATTAAATATAAAAAAAGGAATGATTTTTTTCCTGGTATGTTTCAGTTCATGATGGTCTTCGGCGTAGAGCTTACCATCCTGAATGTGTGTTGCGCTCTGGTGACGTTGGTAATTGGTGCAATAGTTGGTCTAGGTATTCTTTTGTATCTATTTGTCTACTTCACTACCGGCGTGTGTAAAAGCCAGAAGAGGATGGAGGGAAAAACAGTGATAGTGACCGGGTGCATATCAGGAATTGGGAAAGAAACAGCTCGAGACTTAGCCAAAAGAGGCGCCCGGGTTATTATGGCATGCCGCAATGTCGAAGCTGCCAATAAGTTGAAAGGTAATGATAGATTTGATTGACGATGCTCTGCTGTTAGTGATGATATGAGGATAAATAAATTTCCATTTTTGATACAATTCTATCAACAGTGATGTTGTGACATCAAGACAATTTGAGATCTTCTCAACGATTTATTACAAGAGAAAGATCCATTTTAAAATCAAGTTTTTTCACGACGATAGACGTATGAGGTCTTAACTGAAGAACAATATATACCATTGAGAATAGTTGTAGAGTAGATAAAAAATTTTTGAAAGTTTTTTTCCAGAAAAATAAATACTGAGTTTGGAATTAGAGTTGTTATATCTGGTGTTTAATGATTATTTATCAGAAATATTTTGTTTTAGAATTGATAAAATATCGAAATAGTTGGTCCTAGGTGGATGATAAAGTGACGCAACGTGAACAAAATGATGATTAAAGATATAAAAGTTATTAAAATGACATCATTTTCTTAGATTTTAAGAATGATTCAATATATATGAATCATTTCTGAAATACTCTGATAGAAATTCTTTCTATTTTATTATCATAATAATAATATTAATTGATAATGGCTTCAAAACACTGCAGTAAAAAAACTTTCTTCAATAAACAACACTCTTAACAAACCGAAAAAAATGGATTATATTTAAAATAGCTTCAAGAAATTGAGTTCATATCAGAGTCAAAAAGTTTGTGCTATTCTCGTACTAAATTCTTTTTTTACTTCGATTTTATTCTTATCTAAAGCATCAATATCTAAAAAAAACTCTTCACTATTTCATAAGTTTCAAATCTGAACAAAATAAATCAATTTCCAAATCTTTTCAGGGACTCTTCAAGATGATTCATAATACTTTTGGAGCAATGATCCATAAGGAAAGCCTTTTACAGTATTTCTTACTGCTTACAATACGATTCAAATGTGACCATAATCTTGCATAGGTTTATTGTCTCACATTGAGCAACATTTAGTGTTATTCAATCACCTAACCTTCTTCAAACCAAGCGTTCTGCATGCTTATCATTGATGTATTCAATTTATTATTCAATATTAAGCAACATCAAGAGTAAATTCTATCAACTTTATATTCAATATCTAGCCAGTGGGATAGTATCGATTGGAATATTTACCCGAATTTGAATATATTTAGAATAACACTAGGATAAGTGATGGTAAATAATTTTTAGCTAATCTTTTTTAGATTTTCTTCGAAAAAAATTCATGTTTATTCTCCTGTATGGAGAATATTTTATAGTAATTTTTACTTGTTAATTTCCAGTAAAAGTTACTAGAAAAAAAAATTAAAAATTACTAGGTTTTTTTTTTGGTGAAAATAGTTGAATAACTTCGTAAAAAGTACTGTTATAGTTGGTAAATATTGCAAAAAAAAAGAATAGTTAAAAGTCCTATTTTTATTGGTAAAAAGTTTTAGAATGATTTTTAGGATAATTAGTAGTAAAAAGGTCCTGATTGGTTAAAATTGCCAAAATAGGAATATTTACGATTTTTCTAGTAATTTTTACCAATCAAAATAGGGCTTTTAAATTTTTTCAGCTATTTTTACTAACAAAAACTTCTAGTAATTTTTGTTAGCTAGTAATTTTTACGAGAAATCGACCAGTAAAAATTACTATAAAATTTTTTCTATACAGTAGTTGATCTTAATTAATTAAAAATCTCATAATGTCCTTGAAAATTAAATTATATCCTGATTTATATTAAAAAACCTTTCGTAACAGTATCCAACAATCAGAAGGATTAAAAATAAGGTAACACTTTAAAACGAATACTTGCATTTTCCTTTTTTCTTTTATTCCAATTCATAACGTTTTTTTTTCTTTTCTTTTCTCTAAATAAAAACGAAAGCTGGTTATATTTACCTTTAAACCGTTGGAAATTCAACCGTTTGATCCTAGGAAGGGTTGATGAGCATGTTCGTGTCAAAGAAGGCATAACTGGTTCTTTAATATCTTCAGTAGCAGCAGTTGTAAAGAAATTTTTTGGCGGTGCTTCTAGACTTATTTGAAAGCTTGATGGTCGTTTGCGAGCTTTTTTCACGCCTTCACTTGGACTGTCACAATTTTCTGTTATGACTGAAAGAAGAAAAAAGAAAAAGTAATACAATTAGATAAAATATCAGAAAAGGAGAGAAAATAAACATTAAATAGAGCACTCATTTCATCATCATGTAAAAAATAACTGAGTCATTACAAACGATCGTGATTTATCATTGTTCAAGTATTTATGTTACAACATATCGAATCATTTACTAAACAATTAAAATTCGAGAACTGATTTAAAATTATTTAAAGGAAATGACTAATTCAAAAGCACCTTTTGTTAATGAAGATTGTTGGTTTAATTGTTTATAAGGTATTTAATTATTTAAGTAGGTCACTAGAAATAAATATAAATTAATAATTGTCATGGTATTGCACTTGATATAATTGTTTAATTATTATTTTAGATACTGACCAGAAATATCTGCTGATGGCTTTGGTGAAAGAATCGTTGATCTTGCGTGGTTCACAGCAGACTGAACGTCCGTGCGTCGAGCATGTGATATCTTTGCACTCATCTTTGTATTTGGCGTTGAAATAAAAGCCGATCCTGAGTCACGAACTCGGAAATTAACTGAGAAAACGAAGGTCAGGGCATTGAAGGCTTAATGCTGTCTGCAAAAATACAAAGTACAGATATAAATAAAAAATGCTTATTTTTTAAAATTTATTTTTATTAATAGTTATAAACTGTTAGAGTTTAGTCTTCATATTGGACAATTTCCCTTTGATAAGTTTTTTTTTTTTTTTTAATTTTTTCCAATGAAAATTATAGTGTGCTGTTTAGTGTCGAGATAAATTGGTGGAGATAATGAATGTAAAATTACTTGGAGCAATATTTATAAGTTTGATAATTTATTTTTAATATTATTGGATGAATCTTGAAAGAAGCTTTTATAATGTAAGGTAATAATGATGATAATAATAATAATTATGTGTTGATAAAGTTTGGCTTCTTTTGTCTTCTAGTTCTAAGCAACCTGACGACATATGACCTATTGATTTTGGTTGTCAATCACTGATAATCATCTAATATAATTAATTCTCCCTAAATTATATTTTCAAATAAATTATTTTATTGAAGAATTCTTTTTTTTTAATCAATCACTTGATTTTCAAAGGAAATTATTGTAATTAGAAAGCTTAATTAAAGTAATTTAAAATTAATTGTGAATTTATTAATTTATTTTTAACAAAATTTATTATTATTAATAGAAAAAAAATTTAGTAGAATTATTGCACCCTTCTTTCAGGTCCTAAAGTGACGTATTTCAACCCGTATAAGACGGATACATGCGCAGACGAATTTTGTTTTTCACAATGAGTGAGGAAATGTCACTTTTCCAATCTCGAATCAGACAGAACTTTAATTCTGGACGATAATATGATAAAAAAATAGTATATTGGCTATGAAAACAGAGTAAAATATATTTATATAGGTGTTTGCCACCCTCTCCTTCGGCTCAGAATACAGGTTAAATATCATACTTTGCTCCTTTGATTAATAATGTACTATTAATAGGTTATGTTCATACTTTATTCCCTTTTATTTAATTAAATCTTGAGTTTTCCATCACTTAAGGGTACTCTATTCCATACCTGGTATTTTAAATTACTAATAAATTTATAATAATTTTATAGTTAGTAAAAAAAAAATGTAAAAATTATCATGTTTGTCATAACAATATAAGAAACGTCAGCTTTTATTCAACAACAGACGATAAAAATTACTATTAGTCCAGCACGTTGACTTCTTGAGTCATACTAGTACGCAAGTCCTTGAGAAAAAAGCAGGAACTGTTAGTAAATCCAAGGCAAACGACAATATTCATTTACCATGGCTCCTTTTGTCTTACATTGTCATTTACTAATCGCCTTATTTGTATAAATTATTTTTTCTTAACTTTTACTTCCATCCAAATTACTTATTCATTTAATATCATGAGATGTACATATTATAACAAAAGAGCTCTTGAACTGTCCTTGAATGTAAATAGTTTTTGAAATTAATTCATCAGCAGTAAATTTCAACGAAACATTTAAATAAGTTTGAAAGTAATGTTAGACAAGTCACGGAAGAGTACAGAATATTTTTTACTTTTTTATAAATAACGATTTTGATGGTAATAAATAAAAGGCGAATAGTAAATTTAGTTATCTGTATCACATAAAATGCATTGAAAGTATAACTATAGTTTACTTTGAGCTTTATCGTGACTTATTTCCACCCACCAACTCACCCCTGGCATCCTCAGAACATATAAATACCACCACGATCGTTATTGTATTGATTATATATACATGTATGTATTATTTATGTATGAGCTCATTTCTTCACTTTTATCATGAACCAATTATCTGATATCCTAGAAGTCGTCATTGTACGTTTTTAGATCTAGGGAATAAAAATAAAACTGTCAAAGCTTTATCAAGGCATTGATAACAATGAGGTTGTAAATATTGACTAATTTTCAGTGAATTTTTACTAATTGAAACATTTCCAAGTATACCAATGGAAGTGAGTTGGATTTTACTGGTTGAAGCAGTGGAATGATTGTCAGATGTACTGATTGAACTGGTGAGCAATCAAATTCATCAGATGAGCTAATGGAAGTTTTCATCAATTTATTCATATTTATTGAATTGTTCTAAAAGTGGAAGCAGTTGGAGATTTGAGTAAACATATTATGAAGAGACATTCAGTCAAGTATTCATACTTATTGGACTGATATCAAGACCTGGTCACCAGTCTTTGAACAAAAAAGTATCTATTCTATTGAGTAAGTGAGAACAATTGATGAATCATAAACTATTGAGTTAATTAGACACTTGGAATATTGACACAAGTCAAGATGAAACGATGCTTTTTGGTTTTATTTTCATTTTAAAAATATATCGACTTGTTTCACTTGATGCTCACTGTGTGCTGGATGATGATAAATAAACAAAATATCGACATGAGTGACATCGTGAGTCTCTAAAATAATCCTTCATCATTTTTGCTGATTCAATCAGTCAACAGATCCGAAATAACTCATTTTCCAGTCAAATTATAACTCACTGAATAAAGGAATGCCATTTTTATCTATCCATTTTCTAAGGGTATCAATGTATTGGAGGGCAGACTCAAATATTAGAGACTAAGAAATCAGTTAAATTTATATGAAAGGGCGACAAGATAGGGAATAATTAGCGTAATATGGGGAGTGTGTTACTTGAGTAATTAAATCACATGGGTCCTCGAGAGCAGTCGTTTTGCAACACCCCAAGAAGGGTTACAACCCTCAATACTTTTCTAGCTTTTTTGTGCTCTTTAATTCTCTTGACACTCAAAACCATGTCGATTTGATCAATTGCTAATTATAAATCATAATAAATGCCTATGTCTCCATTTATAACACCATTTAACCTTCAAAAAAATAATTATAAGATATTTAACCTTCATAACCTAGCCAACTTAATATTAAACAAATTAAAATACTTTAAATTACAGACAATTAAATAATGTATAATAATAAAAACAAATTATCTTTATTCTAAAAAATGTTTAGTTGATAAAAATACTTACGTTTATGGTGGCAAGAAAGCTCAGCAGCACCAACGAAAAGGCAAACACCAAAAGCTGAACGAATACTGAAGCTCGTCGTCATTCGAAAGGGTGAGGAATACCAACGATGGCATCACCGTGTCCCAGGCAACGCAGTCTCACTAAGTTGATCGTCACAACCGTACTATCTTCCACCCCTAGATCTTCCTCCACCCCTCTCTCCTATCAGATATACTACGTATATTCCATCAATTTTCGTTCTGCGCGAGCGCATTCGATTAACTTCCGTGTGTTGATGATGCTGTTTTTTTTTGTTTTTACGTCATTCATACACCAATCGATATGAAATGCAAGAAAGTCACTTGGTTATAAAAATAATATATAAACCATCAATTATGTCTACTGTTTGAGATAAAAGTGGACATTTTGGTTATTTTTAATCGATATATATTCTAGGCCAATAAGTATCGATTGTCAACAAACGATAAAGTCCTCCTATTTGTTAAGGTTAATTAATTATTTATACAAATTTCCCTAGAGAGGTTATCTAATAATTGTTGGGGTGTTTTATTATTGGATATTTTTAAGCTACATTTATGTCATTGATATGCAACAATCGATTACTTTTTGAGAAGATGTCATATGAAAAGTAATCGATACGATTCTGCGCGATCAGTTGTCTTGCAGGAGAGGTATTTTTCTTGGTCCAGTTGAGCTTTCAGCATCCATTGAAATGTGTTGATATTACGAGAAGCTAATATTTATTTATTTATTTATGGTTACTATTAACAAACAATGGAATACGTAATTTGATTTAATGTTAATGAAAAACAAACAAAAAAAAATGATTGTGTGGTGCTGATAAAAAACAAAATCCAACAACTTGAGCATAAATACCTGCAAAATGGGCACTAGATCAGCTGGCTGTAAGTAAACATTCCTTTCTTATACACGTGGTATTTATTTTCATGATAATAAATGATGTTTTGATGATTGTTGTTCTAGATACATTGAAATTAACGAATTTGCATGATTATTATCAACGGCTTCTACATGGGACTCAACCAGTTCCATCAGGATTTGACATGGCAAATACGATCAAGTATTTTTCTCAAGCATTACTTTGTGAGTTTATTCATATAAAAGTCAATGATAATTATTTTTTATTAATTAATCTTGGATGTGAATGATTTTTTTTTGTTTTTTGGTTAGCTTTGTTGAAAGAAGTGAGAGATTCGCCATTGGAAATGATCAAATCTCAACAATTCGATGCAGACCGCATGGCTCTGTACCCTAATTTGGATTACAAACAGTTATATAACGCGTTGAGTCAATTACTGGATGTGGTTTCACTTGTACACATTGGATTAGCTGGTAAGTATCATTCTAAATTAATTTTAAATAAGAAATGGTAAGTAAAGATATCTTTTTTTCTAGCATTTGGACAAGCACTGCTGCAATGTCTAGCGTGCCTGATGCCATTCTTGGATCATGACCTCTTAGATAATGTGGCATACTTAACGGCCAGTTCAATCTCCATTCTTCCACCAGAACTTCATCAGGAAGTCGTTAATCATCTTTGCTTTTACATTCTTCCATTTACAATAAGTAAGTTGAGGATTTTTTGGTGGAATTAGACACTCAGTGTGTCATTTTAATATCATTTTCATCAATATTATTTTATTTTTTTTTATTCTTATGGCGACCCAGAATTAAAGCTGGGTTGTACTAACCTCAAATCACTTGAAATTGTTTTCGGCACATTATAAAATATGTATTCGTTCTTAGCACGTGAAAATTGCTTATATATACACAAAAAAGTAGCACACAGGGTGGAAAATGAAGTTTCATAGTACAAGTGCAGTAGGTATTGCATAATAAATCATTTTTCACTGGCCAGCTGATGACAAGTACATCCGCCATGACACCTCAAAACTTTATGAGTGCTTTTTTTTTTTTTTAAACCAATATAAATTAATTATATCAACAATATTTATGGTTTTTATCCTGGAATATGAATCTAGCTTTCAATTAAAAGCTTAATTGAGAAAAAACATTCTTTTTTGACTACGTAATAAGCTTTAAATACACTTTAAGATGTGTAATTTTAGGTTAGTTGAACTCTCTTATTTTTTGGCACCCCGTAGCGGCTAAAATATCGAAGATACATAAAAATCTTTGAGAACTTTTTTTATAGAAAATTTAATTCTCTACAACTTTTATTTCAACCTTTTTTTGATTTTTTTCGCTTTTTTCAAGATATTATCAATTTTTTGCAAACTTTGTCTAGCTTAATGGAAAAAAGTCTGTATAAATACTCGGTAAAATTACCGAAAATTTAATTTCTCCAGTGAATACATTCTAGAATTATATAGTAGATATAAAAGATAAAATTTTTTTCATTTTAGCAAGAAAAACTCTTGAAGAAACAGAAAACCATGCAAGCCAATCAATTTCTGCTGTTATAATGATGATTTTTCAATACTCCACCAACCCTGCTCATCACTGTCAACTTCTTGAGTGTCTAATGGCTCTAAAAACAGGAGTAGTTAAAGATATACTTTGTGTAGTGGCTTATGGAACAGCTCCAGCACGTGCAAGTGCTGCAAAACTGCTGTTTTACTACTGGCCTACTTTTAATCAGAACTTGTTCGATCGTCGTGCTGTTCTAATGAAATTTGCAAGTAATTACTTCACCTTTTATCCATTTATTTGGTTTAAAAAAAAAACAACTAATCGTTCGAAATAACAAAACCAATAAGTATTCCAACAATAATCTTTAACAAATATTTATTATCTTGATATTTCTTTTTGTAATTCTATTTTATAATTTAATAAATATCATTTCAGATGATTTAGCACCTTTCGTGTGTAAAAGAGACTCCTGTCCGAATGCTGGTAATGCTGAAGCTGGAAAGGTCTGTTATGATCATCGAATTTCAATTAAATTCGCCGCAGATTCTCCACCACCACTGTATTTGTGTATTGAATGTGCTAATGAGATTCATAGAGAACATCCTAATCAGATGTTTTACGATATCCTTCATCCTATGCAACAGGTGTCAATGGTTTGTGAAAATAAGGTAAGTTAGGATTAAAAACAAATATTATTAAAGATTATTTTCAGTGTTATCAAATTTATGGCTACGGATTTTTACTTTTTTTGTGTAAAATTCTTGCCAATACAACTTTTGTCCGAAATATTTTTCCATATCTCCCATAGTTCTCAAAAAAAAAAGAGAAAATATTGGATAAAATGCTATAAAAGCAGCGTTTAAAGAGTGATTTCAATCCTTGCTTGGTGTTGGAGCACATTTATTCCTAATGGAATGTTATTTCACATCCCCTGAAAATGTTCTTGAAAGTTTTATCTGCTTAAAGATCTTCAAGTTTCAGCAGGATTATGACTGGGCTATAAAAAGTGTAGTTTTGTTCATTCAAAACACACTGTTGGATATGAGTATTAAAACTTAATTAAGAAAAAAGACATTATCATTAATGAGTGTAAAGTATTATACGCTGTACAATGTATAGGTTAAGTAATAAGCAGTATGATTTGCAGTATTTAGTCTCCAAGGTTTCAAATGAAAAATTAGAACCGTGAGTCATACCAGTTACATCCAGTCTCTTTAATTATATCTAATCTTTATAAATTTATGACAGTATTCCAAACATAATTTACATTTAATACTCTTTTTGAACTTAACCTTAATTTTAATACAAGTAATTATTTTTGTTAATATTATGACCTTTTTTTATTCATTTCTTATTTTTTGATTCAAGAATTGCAGATCAACTGACAAAGCAGCCATTAGCGTTTGTTTTTCAATAGAATGTGCCAGCTATAATGGCAACCATCCAATCCGGTATTGTCAACAATGTCACAACATTAGACACAACAATCGTCGTGGTGGTGATCATGTCTACCACATGGCATTGCCACATTTCTCTGAAATGGATCCGCAAAGTCAAGCTTACCTTGTTCAAGCAATTGTCAGGTAATATGTCGATTTAGTTTTGATCAAGAAGTTTAACAAAATCGACATAACCTAAAAAAAATTATGTTAATTTTATTTTATTCGTTAAATCATAAACAAGTCATTTTACCTTTAGTCTTTTGAAGGAAGCTGAACCTCTAAGTTTAGATAGCAATAGAGATACATCAGAGAGTTCTAACAAAAGTGGAATGGGTGGTGTTATGAGTGGTGGCGGTGGTGGTGGAAGATCAGGATTTAGCGATCCATCGACTTTGGAAGAACGACAATTACTTGGTCGATATGGAGTTTGGCTACTTGTTGGTTTATGTACACCTAATGAAGATACACCCGTTGAAATACTTGGGCGTTTATTATCAATGCTATTTCATTGGTTTCATGTCACCGCGTACTCTTTCGATGGTACTAAAAAAAGTCTTATGCACCTTATCTTTTCTGTTGGTAATTTAAACACTATTATTCTACTTGAAGTAGAAGTAGAAGCGTAGCCTAGCAGCGATCGTAGGCGATTTCTAACTTTTATTTAAGTGTTTACAGTAAAAGTACAGATTAAATAGTTATTCCATCATTTTTAAATCTGCGCATGCGCGATTGCCTAGTAAATCTTCGACCAGCGATTACGCATGCGCAGAAACATGTAGAGACCCTTGATTGAGCATTTAATATAACTTAACAAGTTTTATTGTCTCATAGAAGTTTTTTTACAATGTTTTAAAAAGCTTCGAAAGCTTGAGAATTATTTTTACAATTTATTTAACAATAATATAAAAAAAAGATGCTAATCAGCGTGCCTTCCTTTCATAAGGTGATCAATCTAGGGTAAAAATGGTGGAATAAAAATTATATCTTTGTGTGTTTCTATTAATGTGTTATCAGAACAATCTTTCTGCATTAAAATTAAGTGAAAAAAAAACCTCTAAGTGGACGAAAAGTGACTCCATCAAAAAAATTTTGATTATAACATTTAAATTTTGTGGAATTCATGCGCAGTCGAAATTCAAAATTTACGAGTGCGCATGGACAGTTAGTATTTAAGCATTTGGGCATGCGCAGTTGCTATTTTACAATCAACAATGTATTCACATATCTACAAAACTAATTAAAATGTAAAATTGATGACTTTTTATTCTATGTGATTGTATTTTCGGTCATACGGAGGTTTTAACTATTTGAATTATAAAAATTACGGCTAAATTGTTGTTAAAAGACGCCTGCATCGCAAATAATTGGTTAAGTATTTTTATCTTAGTGCTTTTTCGATGCCTAGAATATAAAAATGTATTATCTGTGCAGCTTGTAAACGTGTATCTTTTCAAACAATCTTCTATTACTAACTTTTGATTTTTTTGTGTAATATTTTCTAAAAGTAATCAATTTATTCTCTTTTCGTATTTTTCTATGCATCGATGTGTTAGCGAATTTTACTATAAAATAAATACATCAAACAATTTGTTGCATTTTCTATTTACAAGAATGATTGTAGAATTAATTATTGCAATTTTAATTAATTGTTTGTATTTTTTTTTTAGGTCAAGCAGAAAGCACATTGGAGAAATTGAAAACAGAGTATGTGTGTGGTTGGCTATCAGAGATCATGAAAACTCATTATCAAGTATTTATTTCATGCCTCCTACCTCATCCAGCTGATTATGTTCGAGTTGGTGGTCATTGGTATGATGTTGACATTAAAAAAAAATCACACTGGCTTTGATATAGCTTTTAAACTAAGATTTAAATGCTAAGAGAACATTTCGAGGAATGTTGAAACCAATTGTCATTTTCAATAAGATTGATGTAATATACAATGGACCCTCAATAAGTGTATACAATTACAGCTGAGGTACTTGTAGATTCTTGGAAATGTACAGCCTATTGGAAATCCCCACTCTTGAGACTTGAGTCCCAAGAACTTTAAATGGACAAGTCTTTTTTCCTATTTCCTATTAATTCAAACATTATATTTTTATTGCTATAAGATCATGAGAACAAGGATTGAGTTGGTTCATGCGAATGATCACGTCTCTCTGATGAAAAATCACGTGATCTCCATCAATATAAATACACAAAGATTTGCTTTCATTGTTAATAACGAAAAATGTAAACCCAAGTGGTAGTTTTTCACAGTTTTCTTGGAAACCATAAAAGATACGGAAAAAAGGGTCAAACAAAGTTTGTAGTGGACAAAATTTTACACAAAAAAGGTCATTACACTTAGCTCTTTATCTCTTATAGTTGAGCTGCAAAATGACATTGATGTTAATGATTTTGCTACAATAAAAAATCTTGGTTTGAAAACTATATTGATTGTTCCTAATAGTTACAAATCGATAATATTTATGAAATTCAATTATTGTGTAGGGAAACATTGGCACCAAGGACATCACATTTAAAAGACGGCCTCAATAGACTTTTCTGTCTAGTTCCTTATGAAGTGATCACTTCAGAAGTGTGGGATTATGTTATGCCACATTGGATGGAAGCTATGGTGAATGATGTACCTGAGAATGAACTTCATGAACTAAAAATGATCCTGTGGTACATATTTTACTTTTATAATTTTGTTCTAAAATCATTTAACATCAGTGTAATAATTACTGTTGTGATTTCAGCAAAATTTTGGATCCAGAAATGAGTCCATTGGGTTTCAATGCTAAAAAAATGTATAACTTCGTTGCAAAGCGATTTATCAACACTAGTGCTAAGGTTCAAGAGCAAGCTCTCAATTGGTTACAAACTCTTACCATGTTAGAGATCACTATTCCATTAAGTCAGTTGTTCTCCATGTTCAGTGATGGTGTGGCGGTGATGAGCACCACTAATTCTGCTGATTTTGATGAAAAGGCCTACAAGTCGAACCGAAATACTGGAGATAAAGGATCTGGAGCGATATGTAATTGAATTTAATAGAGTCTGCCATGTTTTTTTATTTTCTTTTATTTAAAATTAACCAAAAAATTCTTCTAGCATGGCATCTTTGCTTTATAACAAAGGTGTTCAAGGGTTTGAAAGCAAACCAAAAGCTTTATTTGAGCAATAGATCTTTTTATTTATATACAATGATAGAAATAATAATCATTTGTAAATTAATTGATCTAATTTAAATTCTTTTGACATCATTTTATTTTTAATTAATCATTTAGCGATGTTTCAGTGAAGCTTATCACTATTATTTACATAAGAATTGATTTTTTTATCACCAATCCGTAGGTCCAGTGGTAGAAAATGACTCCGGACAATCATCTCCACTATCAGACGACATCGCACCGATACCAAGACACATGGAATTCACGACCAACGCTGAACTAAATCTTTCCTGTTGCATTTTGATGTTGGATATACTACTGAAGCAGGTAAACTCTTGGTTTCTTTAATCCAAAAAATTTGTTTCACCATCAATATTGATGGAATAATTTTTCTTTTAATCAAAGATGGAGCTCCAGGATATTGAAAAACACACGGGAATTAATACTTGGGTATGCAAAGATGCTTGCAACTTGATGAAATCCATAGTAGCAGCAAACTGGAATGATTGTCATATCTGTAAAGACGATCAGGAGTGTTCCTACTGCGAATCGAGGGTCATTTGGCATCAATTATGTTTCCAGTTGATTATTTATTTATGTCCTGAACAACCGGCTCATCCTCCAGATGTAAGAACATTCTTTCATGGACTTTCAATTTCAAAAGCATATTGATTGCACATTTATCATCATTTTTAATCATTTTAAACCACCTCTGGTTTCAGTTAACCATTGGTTCTTTTCATAAAGTTGCTCTTGATAATAGGAAATAATTTAAAAATAATTATTTCTCGCTTTATTTTAACTTTTTATCAATAACTGTGTATTTCAGGTAATCGTTGATGAATCTGTTGATGATCATGGCCGCAAAAGTCCTCCAGAATCATCAAAAAAATCAGAATCAAAGCCAGATGTTGTTATAAACATGCCTGTCCCTGATTTACATTCAGTTGGAGGTGTTTTAGTTCATATGCCTCATGTAAGTATTGATACTTAATAATTAGTTACTGCTTATTAATTAAATAATACCTCATGTTAATGATGTTTTTTGGCTCTACACAATTGTACACAAACATGGTTCACATTTATTGTCTTTGATGTGTTCACATTGATGTTCAGTGTTATTCTAGCAATAAGATTTAACATCAGTTTCATCCACAATGCGGTGATATACGGTAGGATTGATGTATTTGTGATTCATTGTTTTTATTTTGAATGTTGAAACTAGTTCTTCGAACAGATTATGACAGCAACTGTAGAAACAGTGTCGGAGCAATTGGATCTTGCTGCTATATTACCTACTGAAAAGATCATGTCAGCTGTCGCACGAGCTGTTACACTATCAGAAAGTGATGTTGGTGAGTCAAATTTCTCTTCTCTTCTACATTTTAATTTATTTATCATCTTTTAAATCAGATAATTAAATTAAATGATTCTTTATTGCAACAGCAACGGCAACAGTGAGTATTGCTAAACCTAATATCATTGGAGAAAATGATCAACCTCTTAGTCCAAGTCCTGAAAATGATGCCGATGATTTTTGGCACACGACAATGGGAAAATTCCGCTTCAATATTGATGAACTTCCTGAACAACTTCAATATATTCATAAATTACTCAAAGAAATTATGACTGTCGACAAGCCTGATATTCTTTATTACATGCTGCAGAGTTTAAATATTTTATGTCTTCATGGTGATGCTTTCACTTTAGCAGTTAAAGATCATCAAGGATTTTTTATCTGGTGTCAAGAAAATTTACTTATTAAAAAGTAAGTGTCATTATTAATAACTTGTTTATCCATGTCTGACTCAATGTTTATTTATACTACTTCCTTCAAATGAATTATTAACTTTAGAATGATTGAATAAATATCGAATTATTTGACATTATTTTTATATGTAATCTAGTTTATGGGAGCTATTGAATTCAGAACATTCACACATCGCTCAAGTAACTGTTCCTCTTCTTCTTCATTGCATCACCTTACCCTGTGGAACAGACACCTTCTGGAGATTAGTTCAGGAAGAATTTCATAATTCTGATTGGCGTGTTAGATTTGTAGCAGTAGAAAGAGTCACACTGATAGCAAGATTTATGGATTCAACACCACTGAGAAATGTTTTGTCATTACAAGCAGCATTGGCAAATGCTTTCTGCTACATCATCAGCAGTATGGATGATAGCAATGTCTATGTAGCACAAAGAGCTACGTTGAATCTTGGAACTATTCATGATACAGCGATAAGAGTAAATTTAATCCTTTTGTTTTATATATATATTTATTATAAATAAATTATATATTAAATTTATTCCTTTATTTATTTGCAGTCTTTAATTATGTGCTTGGAAACTCAATTCGATTCTGTAATCGTCGATCGTCCAATGGTTCTCCAATCGCTTTATCAACTCCATAACAGCCTTAGTGATCGAAAGATTCTTACTTGGGACTTTTTTCTCAACCGCTTTGATGCTTTGTTCCTAGAAGCTCAAATTAATTTGGAAAAAACTGGAGATATTTCATGCCTTCGAGGTAATTATCAATCCTCATATATTTCTTCTTTCTTTTAAACATCTGTTTAATTAATAAATTTTTACAACCTTGTAGATCTTCGTAACACTGATATGAATACTGACGCTTTCATGAAAAAGCTTCACCGTGCACAGGAAGCTCTTTCAGCACAATCTGATGGCAGTGGTACTAGTTCAGTGAAGACTCTCAGTGCTTCATTTGGCACTAAATGGCCTTATAAAAGAACCATGTCGGCACCAGCATCAATGATCCCACGTCAGGATACTAAACAAGGTATGAGCAAAGTAGTATAAGTCAATAAATAGTCAGGCATTATTAATTTATCCTCAATATTGACACTTATTTTGTTATTATTAGATTTTTTTTTTATTTTAAGTAATATACATTATGATTGTTTATTATTTATTTTGTGTTATAGAGAAAGAAAAAATTTATAGTCGACAGTATTCAGCGCCAATTCTCAAGCGAAAAAGCTCCAAATTTGGACTGGGTCAGTTGTTGGGGTCCACCCCACCTAATAACAGTTTGCAAGGTAGTGTAGCGATGTAATGCTTGCTTAGATGATTGATGGACATGATGTATATCCTCCAATAAATGTGCCTTTTTTGTTAAAATGTTTAAAAAATTACCAACCTAAGCATCAGTTTATTGATAAGTCTTGGATATTATACGTATTCCAAATATATTAAGGTAAGTTTTAATATTTGAAATGAAGAACAAAAATGATTAATCATCAGTAATTAATCGAATTACTGTTAATTAGTTTCTAAACAAAATCACTAACACTTTTGCATGAGCTTGAATATTTTATGCATGAAATAAACCCAGCAGTTTTAGTGAAAGTGAATGCTTTGGTGTTGAAACTCTTGGATTATTTTTAACTTTTACGTCATTTTATAGATGGAAATGTTCATTCACTTACGATGGTGGAAGAGGGAGGAGCGTATCCAGGTCTTACACATAAAATTGTAGAGCTTGAAGAGGCTGATAAGGAAACGATGCATCTACTAGTGTTTTTATTTATCCAGTTTTTATCTCGACAAGATCAAGTAAGCTTGTTATCCTTTATTTAATACCTAAGTTTGATACTATTGGAGAAACTGCTTCCAGGCCTACCCTACAGATGAAAAGCCGCTTTCCAAAACCCAAGGAATTGTCTTAAGACATGTGTACCTACTTCTGGGTTACAATCAGACTGAAAGGTCATTTCATCTGTCACCTCAACGTCTAAGGTTCATTGAGACTTAGATATTATCATTCTTCATTTGCTTATAGATGTTTAGATAAAATTAATTGATTGCTTTTAGAGTTTCATCAGTATTCAATGTTTTTATATCCAACTTGCCTCAATTGCTCGACCAAAACCACGTGATGGGCTGGGTCATGATGCCACCAGTTTTGTCTATTCTCCAATACTGTCCTTATCCACCTCAAAAGCTTCCCATGATGGACAATCAGTCACCGAATTATAGCCTTTGGTATCTTGAACCAAACATTCGGAGATCTTGGCTTATGTCATTGCTCGTGGTTCTCTATAAAGTAAGTCTAATTTACTGAATTGGTTATCACTAGTTTAATATATTTGACTGTTTGTAGTATCAATATGGACAACAACCTTGGTGTACTCAACTCCAGGCATTGATCAAAATAGTCCTGAATACTCTAGATGCTCAGCATCATCAATGCAAGCGGATTCCACCAACTGTTGTCATGGCACCACCGTCTTCTAGATCTCGAGGTATGTTTCAGGAGAATAATAGGTTATTAACTATCACTTATAATTAGCATCCTTCAATTACTCTACCTAATTAAATGTGTTATGTAGATATTTCCCAGCCATCTCTTGGTGATCATGAGCTAATGACAAACTTCCCTGGAGAAATAGACATCGAAAGTCCTCCAATGAGATCCCAAATGATCAACATTCATCAAAAAGGCACTGGACCTTTCGTAAGTACATCCCACACGATGGAAACTCATTGGGAAGAAAGTGGACCAATTTATCATCATAATAAATTTACAAGGTTATTATTTGCTTAGTTTGTTGATATGATTTTGTTTGTTGTGGATATTTTTATTTTATTTATGCTTTGAATTGTAACCTTTCGTTACAATTGTTTGCTATGACAAATGCTTGTCACAAAGTTATTCAATGAATATGGACATCCTGGAGTCCGAATTGTCAGCAATACCTGAAAGTCCAATATCCGATACAACTTTGCACGATAGTAGTGGCGGATCACTTGGAGAATTGGAGGATAGTTCGGCATTGGCTGGAAGAAGTGCTTCTATGATGATGATGATGACTAGGACATCGATCCCTGGTGGCTTCTTGTCGAAAAGTGATCATCCCAAAGCCGAAAGTAGCTCCAATCGGCCTATTTGGTTTTTGGGAAGTGAAGATGATTCACATCAAGTAAGTTACGATAATTATTTATCAATATTCTTCATAGTATCATTGGTATCTTGTTGTTTTGCTATAGGATGCTTCTAGCACGACGCAAAAGAAGTGGAGCGTTCATGAAGGCATGAAGATGATGGTTGCTAATACTTTCTTTTCTGGGCAACCAGATTTGATGACAAAACAAGTAACATCGAAACTTCAATCATCAGTGATACCTGAGAAGCCTTTGGAGATTAAAGCAACAAAGGCTGTTACTCCAACCACATCAACAGCTCCTATAGCACAGCCGCCAATTCTGAAGTGAGTTTAAATTAACTTTCTATGTTTTCATTGATTATAAAAAAAGAAAGCTTCACATGGGACTATAAATGCTGATGATTTGATTATATTTAGGCCTGAAAAGTCAACAAAAGACCGAACATCAACACTCAGCTTTCACCTGGATCATCTGGAATCATCAAGTTCTAAACAACTAGGCCGACAGAAGCATGTTGAATCAGCTCCACCAACAATATCATCACCACTATCACCATCTCAGCTACTTCCTATTATGAGCGATGACTCTAGCTCTCCAGCAGTCAGTAGCATATCATCTCAGATGACTAGCACAGAAAACGGGCAATGTTCCAGCAACTGTACTGGATCCAACAACTCGAATATTCCAACACTATCAGCACCAACGATGGAACGATTACTTCCCATTGGTCGATCAGTACTTCCTCGATCAGCACAACGTATCAAAGGTGATGATGCTTATGCTTCACCTGAATCTCCACTTTCCCGAATGGATGTGTTGCCTATCAACTCGTCATTTGAGCAAGACAGTGAGACTTGTGTGTCTAGTGATGTTACCAGTCCTCGTAGCATGAGTCAACTTGAATTTCCGATGCTCGAAAGGCTGTTGCCTATCGGAATCCAAAATCAAAGTGTAGTAGGGTTAGTTGAGAAGGTGCGGGAAGCTCTAGGTGTGACTGATATTGAGGATTCGACTGAAGCTACTAGTGTTGTTGATCTTAAAGAGTTGAAGACAATGAATAATAGAGACATTTGTAAAGCAGATATCGAAAAACAAGGCAGCCTAGATTCTATAGCACTTCCTGGTGTTCTAGCACCAAGCACAGATATACCATCAAGTAGATCACCAAGTCCTAGACGATTAATTAAACAAGTAGCATTGGAATCACCGCCACCAATAGAGACTGATGAATTTTCATACCAAGCTCTCGAGCATGAAAGAAAAGCTAAATTAAGAGATTACGGGAGGTTAAAGGACAAAGAAAGACGTGAACGACGAGGGTATATTGGTTCGAATATCAATTACAATCATCATCATGTCATTGGGCATACCAAAAGAATGGACTCCTGGACGGCAATGCAAAGTCAAAGCAACACAGATGTATCAATGCAACAAGCTTGCCATGCAGATTTTTCTTTGAAACAAAGCTTATTCAGGATTGGAGATGATTGTATCTATGATCGTTGCTCAGAATGTGGGACAATAAAGGAAGAATATTCCGATGAAGAGCTAGGTCTTTGTATAATTATTCTAGGGACTTTTATACATCGAGAGCCAGCGCTAGCTGCACCCTTATTACCAGAAATTCTCGGAATTGTCACTAAGTAAGTGATTTAAATTATTTCAGTCAAAAATTAGCACGTGAATATTTATTTTTAGAATAATTCTTGACTGTATTACTTTCAGGGTTGCTCTTAATGCAATGTATCCTTGGCAAAGTGAAACCAACATGCATCTTCCTGGTGGTGCTGTGAGTGTTGCTCACCAATTTCTCCGATGTGTTTTACACCAACTAGCACCCAACGGCATTTTTGTACAAATGTTTCAGACTCACATCAACGGTATATCAGTTTGAAATAAGATGTTAAAAAATAATAACTACTGCTAAAATTGTTATTAAAATGATCTTTTTTTTATTTTAGAGCTTACGAGGAAGCAATTTTTCAAAAGCGTTGCTCAAGCCTTGGTTGATTTTAACGAACTAAATCCTATAGCACCTCTTCAGATGCTTTTGGAAACTTTGAACGGCAAGAAATCCCTACCGGTTGATCATCTACCAATAATTCTACATAACATCGCATGCTACTTGGATTGTTTACCGTTGGAGGCTGGATTGGGTCCAGGGGCTACAACTTGGAGTGGACTGTTGACCCAATTTGATGGATTCTTTCGAAGACTTATTCTCTTGCTTTCATCTATCGATGACACAACACCACTGTTGAGGATAATGATATCAATATTGAAGGTTCCTGGTATTCAACAATCAAAGGTAAATGTAATTAACACTTCCATGCCAGACAGAAACTAGATTGATAAAAGTATTAAACATAAAATCTACTTTGCATAACAATTCGTTGATTTAAATAATTTATTTCAGAGTATTTTGGATCCATTCTCCAAAGTCCTTAGCTACGCAATTCAAAATTCAAATCTTAAATATTCCTATCTGACTGACTTGTGCTACCTTTGTCATCGAGGTTACCTGAGAGAGCGAGATAAACATTTCTTGGGTAGAACTGTTGTGTTTGAACTGGTCCAAGCGATGAAATTCAAAACAACCATTCCTGATAATAATTTCATACTACTGCTTCAGTTTGTCTTGCAAGACATTGGTGGAACCTTGCCGAGTACTGTCACCATAGACAATATACACAATTCCGAAATGTCTTCAGTTTATAATACCAATTCTTCAGAGTCTCTGAGAAATCAGATCTCCGATATCCTAGACTTTCTAGCTGATTTCCATACCCTGAGCAAAATAAAGAGCTACAGCAAAGGCATGCAAGCAGGTTTAAATGAAGATACTTTAGGAGGGATTATAAAATGTGGCTTTGCACAATATTTAGCATTGGAAATAACCCGAGGGAATAATAGAGAAAATCGTGCTGTTGCTAGATATCTTCCTTGGCTGTCTAGTGCACCATCGATGCTTCCTCAAGGAGCTCGTGAATATGTGGAATGTATTGGACATATTAGACTATTGTCTTGGATCCTACTAGGTTCACTGACCCACTCTGCGATGAACTTGGGCGTCAATGCCGCCCATACACATGCACCACCCGTTCCAGTTGCTCAACCAATTCCTCAAGAAGTTTCATGCCATGTTGCTGATCATATCCAGGTCATCTTTTCGGGATTTCCGGAACAATCTAAGGCTTCAGTTCTTCATATGTCTTCCCTATTTCATGCATTCATTCTATGCCAGGTTAGCTTAATCATTGTAATTATTTAATTTATATTGATGACCAACTCAACCAGACATCAACCTTTACATCAACGTAAAGATTAGTCCTAATGCTTTGTACACCTTTATTACTTGCTCAAATAAAGTAATTCGAGGCTGCTGTGTTAATTTTGTTTCTTTGCGACAGCTTTGGACGATTTACCTGGAAGAGTTGTCTAAAAACAACCCCTCAAACCTTGAGAGCTACAATGTTACCATGAACATTTTGGTAGAATTCTGGGCAAAAGTGACACCGTCTATCTTACAACTGGTTTCAACATCTAGAGCTTTAGCTGAAATGGTTAATTTACATTTTTTAAGTCTTCTAGAAGCTCTACTTGAAGTACAATCCGTTGTCTTGAGTAAACTTCTTCCTTTGTGGAGTCCAATCCTGTTTTCTCATCACATTCAGGTCAGTCATTTTCAAATAATACCATTTGATGATAAGACCTTTTTTTAATTACAGACTTTGAACATTTCATCTTCTTTGGTACAGCTTTCAGGTCATTTACAAATGAGATTACAGAATTGCAGAAATTTTCCACCACCAAGAATGGCTGATCAGTATATATCTAGTCGTCGAGAATCAAATGCAGTTCTATTGCGATGGCTGCATAGATTACAATTTAAGATGGGACAAATTGAAATGCAATCATCAACAGTTACCACCCAATTTTATTCAATATAAAATGATTGTAGAGCATGTGATTACCTGGTTACTGGATTTTAAACTTCTCTATCTACCTTTGATGGTATTTGATGCCATTTAAAGATCATTGGTGGTACAAGTTGCAGTATTTCACAATGATAGAAAGAGAAAAGAAGATGGTAATACTAGGAATTATTGTTAATACTGAATGTCAATAGTGCATTGTATGCATCTTTATTCAAAATGGAGCTTGTAAGGAGGAACCGGAAACTTCCTAGAAGACACTGACTGTAATGGGACATTCAGAATGTCATATGTTTTCAAATGAACCTTATTGGTCCAGAATCAAAAGGAATGATATAATGTTTGTGTTATAAAAGAAATAAATTATTGTTAAGTTTTGTCACAAAAAAGAAAATGATGAAAAAAAAATTAAAACTGAGTAAACTATAAATAAATTTTGTTTGTCTTTTTTTTTATCTCAATCTTCATTTTGTGCTTTTAGACTTGACAGAAGCGTAAAAACTGTTCTCGTTTCATTTTCATTCCACAGTAGTTTATTTACTCGGGTGATTCAGATAAATTTATTATATATTTTAAATATTTTTTATCATATTTATCTTATTGAAATCTATTTTTTATTCCAAATATTGCATTGTTGGTTTCAAAAAACAACTTGACTTTACTCAGAGACAAAAAAAAAACATGACTGAGTGTTATGCTACACAATAACCTCTCAATTTAAACATTTATTTATAAAAATAAATCTTCATAAATAAATTAATGATTGTTCTGCCATTATTGTTTATAATCCTTATGTTATTTATTTAATTATTTTTATTTAAATACCGAAAAAAAAAGGTCTAGATGAAAATGAAGTCAAAATATATCCACGCATTTTTATTCACATGACGCCATCTGTCTACAACAATAGAAATGTAGCTTTAAAAATCCTAGGGAATTTTCTTCTCCACTAAATTTTATTCATGTTGGCATCATTTGCACCTGAGTTCGGTCGTCTCTCATGGCATTCATAATTTCTTCCTTCACAGCAGTATATTTGAGGTTACAATTGAGTGCCATTGAGTGTCATTGCTAAATGAGGATGTGATCAAGCAATTTTTTTCCATCAACAATAATTATTGCAATATCGTTATCACTACCAATAGGTTAGTAATTACATATACCATAAAAATTTCAATGCCAATGTTTTTATATGACTACAATACCTTAGTGATAATAACCAGATGTAAATATTTAACTAATCCAAGTCATAACTTGTCTTTCATTTTGATTAAAACTCGAATAAATTCATTCAGTTATCATTATTTATATTATTCAATAATTTTACACAAAAATTCTGTTTATATTTTTAGTTACTTTTGTTAACAATGAATCAGCAATGCATTAAATATTCATTGAATGATAAATATAACGTCGTAATATAACCTTTCAAAAAATTGACTTTCCATTTACAGATTTATTATAACGTAGTTTATTATTATTTTACCTAATTGATTATATTTATGTATCAACTATTTTAACCTTATAGATTATTTTTACTTCATTATTATTATTTTTATTGATTTTATCAAATACACTAGTAGGCTAATCACCTAGTAATCATTAACGACTTCATTATTTACTTCAAAAATACTTCATTTTTCGAAGCATAAAATAAAACTGTTGGTAACTTTTAAGAGGTTATTGTCATATTGATAACATTTCTGCAATATTCATATACACTGATAAGCAATAACAAATATAATAAAATAAACAATTGGCATTTATTATAGATAATTAGCTTAAAATAATGAAATAATTAATATGATTGTTTTGATGCTAGATTTTAGGTCGTGTTCACAATTGGTGATGAAGCAGTCAAATCAATTTTGTTTACCAAGAGCTTAAGAAAAAGTAGATAAAACATTTCAAGCTATTGATAAGCAACATAATAATTATCAGGAATTGGAAGTCATTAAGAAGCTACGAAAAATGGATTTGATAGCCAGAGATAGATTGATGGATTTTGCCAACATTGTGATGAGAGTTCCACCTTTGTTTATTATTGATGAGTTACTGCGAATAGGTGTGGGTGTTGCTGAAGAGAATATTGTGCTAAATGAGACGCATATTTTGAAATATGTAGGGTTTCAGAATTCAATAGTGGGATCACTAGCATCAATGGCATCAGAACCATCAGTGATATCATCATTGAACATCAATTCATTCTTCTATCAAGCTTATGTTTTGATAATCATGAAATTTCTTGCTTGTTGTCTAGGTAAATATTTATTAAAAAATATTTTTATAAGGTAGATATTCTGCTGAAGTATTATTAATTTGAAGGTTCAAGTCTCGGGTGACCTTGACCTTGCAATATGTTGTAGAGTTTGTTATTCTGATCAAATATATGTACATGTGTGTAGAGTATTTCTCTAACAATTTTTTTAGAACTGTATTATAACTGTAGAGGGAATAGAGTTAATTTTTTTGCTCTTATGAGCAAAGAAGATCTGATGACGTCTAGGAATGAAGATAATTGCAATGAAACTTTTACGGTTTTACTGCGTGAAGTGATGGCGAATGGTACATGCAATAGCTCTCAGATGAACACTCCAAAATGGAATTGACGGTTTCTTTGGAAAAAATTCAGATGGTTGATGAATACATGGAGAATACTCTGACACTATTTTTGGTCCATTCTAACATCTACTTGTTCAACTGAATAATCTTAAAGTTTATTTTTCCGAAAGTTATGGGCCAGCACACTTGTATCCGATAAACAGCAGCATATAAAGTCGAGCCCGGGCAACCAATTCTTCCGAATTTAAAAAGAAAATGCATACTCAACAATAAAGCCCATATAGGACCAACCATTTCGATATTTTATCAATTCTAAAACAAAATATTTCTGATCAATAATCATTAAACACTAACTTTAAGCAGAATGACTACCTTGAAAACCCTTGGATCTATTTCTAAAATTAATCATCATCATTTTTCCAGGTATCATCGTATCTCTCTACATCTTCATGCTCTGGACAGAACACTTATTAGTCGTCTACATGTACCTGATATCAGTAGGCACGATATTCGTGTCCTATTGGTCTAATGTCACCATGATCCAAGCAATTATAAGTTACGCTAATTCAACTAATTCATCATCAAGTGTATTAGATGACATAATGGATCTAAAATTCACCCATCTATTTGTTGATGGCCCTGGTGTAACTATGGTCCAGAACACAATTCTCCAAATGATTCTAGCATGCGTCTTTTGCTGTACACACTTAGCTCCCCGTTTTCCAGCAATGGATGAATTGTTGCTTCTCAACTTCTTGATACCTTCTTGGATAGTTTTTTGTCTACAAGTATTTGAATTGCCGGTAAGTAAAAAAAAAACAAAAGGAAAAATCAAACAATACTGGTCAATAGTTGCCTTAGAGATGTTTTCATTGAATATATTAAGGTTGCTTACCTTGAAAGTTGGTATTTCATTCAAAAGTTAGTAGAAAATGGGGTCGAAATAATTTTTATAATTCTCAGTTATGATGTTAATTACCTAGAAAAGTTGATCTAGAACTATTGACTAATATTTTAAACATATAATACAAGTTGGAATAAAATTTAACGAAATGTTTTTTAATCCAGATAAACTTGTTGTATCACTCGCCAGTGATTGCGACACTGCTTCCATTGCTGCTCTGCAAATTTGTACTCTGGTATAACAGTATCAACATGTTGAATGTCATATATGCTGGTTATGAAGATGCAAAAAATTTTATCTGTAATTATGGTCTATCAGCATTAGCAGAATTTGAATGGACACGTCTAAATGTTCCGAATGTATTGCGAACATTTTGGATGTTACGTGTTGGGGAACAAGTAATCCAAATTCTTGGTAGATATTATGGAAATGAGACATTTTGTTTTTATAAAATGATACGTACATTGCTGGTGAATGGTTGTGAAACCTTGACCGCCTTATTAGGAATGACTTCAATTATTTCATCAATATGCCATTATATTGGTTGCTTTTTCCGTTGGGTTCTTCTAACAGAAGCTGATGATGAAAAAAGCATCGGAACTGTGTCTGCTATTTTATTTTATATCCTAGCACTTCAAACAGGTTTAACAAGCCTAGATCGTGATAAAAGATTGACTAGACTCTTTAAGAATTTCTGTCTTCTATCAACAGCTGTACTTCACTTTATTCATAACATTGTTAATCCAGTCTTGATGTCATTAAGTGCGTCACACAATCCAGCATTACAACGTCATCTACGTGCACTAGCAGTTTGTGTATTCCTGATAGTCTTCCCTGTGTCATTGCTGGTCTTCCTATGGTCCAACTTCACCATGAGCACTTGGCTCTTGGCCGTGTCAATCTTCAGCATCGAAGTCATTGTCAAAGTAATGGTATCACTGGCTGTTTACTCGCTATTCCTGTTTGATGCTTACCGTAGCACATTTTGGGAACCATTGGACGACTGTTTATACATCATTAGATCATTTGGCAATACTGTAGAATTCACCTTTGGTGTTATTCTCTTCTTCAACGGCATTTGGATCCTAGTCTTCGAATCAGGTGGTGCTATACGTGCTGTTATGATGGCAATTCATGCTTACTTCAACATCTGGCATGAAGCTAAAGCTGGTTGGAGTGTTTTTATGAAACGTAGAACAGCTGTGAATAAAATTAATTCACTTCCAGAAGCTAATGAAGAACAATTAAAATGTTTAGATGATGTTTGTGCTATTTGCTATCAAGAAATGAAAACAGCTAAAAAAACAAGATGCAATCATTTCTTCCATGGTGTTTGTTTACGTAAATGGTTATATGTTCAAGACAGGTGTCCATTGTGTCATGATATTTTATATAAAGTTGAATCAAATGAAAAGAAAAATGATACAGAAGTGTTAGATGATAGGAGACATAATGTTGATGAAAGAAATGATGATGGTAATTTAAACGTACTTAGGACTGGACATAATATTAATCAACAAGGACATACAGTTAATGATAGGTGAAGATTTTAATGATTAGAATTTAATAATTATCTGACAATGTGATAAAAATGGCTTTTTCTTATTATCATTTGGATTATTTATTATTAAATCACAAGAGATCAATTTTTATTTTCTTATTTTTGATTTTTGATGAACATTCTATCAAAAACAGTCGACATTTTGAATCATATAACGTATATATCGATATGTATCGATAATATAGTTTGATATATTCGATATAATGATTATTTATTGCAATATATAAGCAAACATTAGTCATTTATCGATTAAATAGGCCAATTAATCCATTCAATATATCACAAGGTATTCGAATATTTTTATTTATTCAATTTTCTTGGTTAGAAATACGTAAAAAATGCTGTAGAATAGATTAAAAGTGAATTATTTCAATATTTTAATTGATTATGTGAATCAATTCGTTATAATTAAGAAGATTCTTCCATCATAACAACTTGAAAAATGTTAATTTATTCATTTATAATGATATTTTATGATTTTTCAAGGAATTATTTACAAAATTTCAATTCTCATAATATGTGAGGTTAATTAAAGAACCTTTTAAAGCACAAATAGATGTAAATTTTTTCCAATAATAATAAGTAATAAATAGAAGTCTTGAAATTTTGGAAATAATAAAAATTTGAGGTTAGTTATGATTATTAATGTAATTAATGTCGAATATTGGAGAATCTTTTTAAGTATTTTTCTGACTTTTGTTTATTTTATTATTGTATTGATGCTGTATAATACATTTCGTACAAGTTCTTTTAAATTTGGTAAATGAAGTGAGGTTATTTTACATTTTTTGATGGATTGGAAATTTAAAGACTGTTTATACTAAAAAATTACACACATTAGAGTGTTTATAAATTATCAATTAATTCATAATTGTATAATTAATACTCAGAAGAATTGATAATCGAATTTAATTCCTTTTTTAAATATCTCTAACTTGAAAATTTCATCAAATTTTGCAAGAGTCATTTTCGCTTTAAAATTGATAAAAATGTTTGTAAAAAAAATGTGTGACGACCCAGAAGATCCATACGAGCAACTTCTTAGAGAAGAGTAACAAAATATTGATAAAATATTAAATTATCGTCGAAAAAAAAATATTCATGAACAAACAGCTGGACTGATTTTGCATAAAATTTAAATAGGTTTCAGTTACACTCTAAATCCAAGTGTGTTATTCTTGTAGACACTTTTAACACACTAAAAATCTTCAATATTAAGTACCACAAACAAAGTACAGATTTTTTACACACTATAAAACGTTTAAAAATGTCTATAAATCATGTATAGTTCATTTATAGACATTTTACGGTGGACACACTTTAAGCGTGTTATTTTAAGACATTGGTGAAATCTGGATGGAACATAATTATACATCCAGTACCGGAAATTAATGCTGTGTTATGGAGTATGTGCCAAAATTTGAAATTTGCAAAATTGGGTTCATTACAATAACTTTCCCACTGTCAATAAAAATCATTGACTATAAATAATTAATTAACCAATTAAATGAGGCAGTTGTCAATGGGCTGAAGAAAAATCTTACTTCATTTACCAAGATTAAAATTACAACAAATAATACAGCTTCTATAATAATGAATGAATTATTACAAATATATTGTGAATATTGTTATTTATATCATTTTTTTTTTTTATTAAATTAGATAAATAATAGAGAAAGATAAAAATTCTATATTTAATATTGGATAAATATTAATTATTAACTGAAATAATTGATGTCGAAAGAAAAAGCCGCCTCATTTTTAATTATAAGTGAAAATCGAGCTTCAATCGCTTTTTACGCTCTGGTCGTTTCTTTTACCACTGTATGTTTATGAATAAAATTAGAACAATAAAGATACTTATTTAATATACCATTTAAATACATTGTTTAATTATTTCAACATTCTTTATATTTGTTTTTTTTTGCAATAAAATTTCCTGTTTTGGTAAAATATTTTCTTCCTTATTTGTTTAGGTGATTTAAATAATTAACAATTATTGTTGTAATTTTAATTTTGTTTTTTTTTTGTTTTTTTGCTGATTAAAAATGGTTTTTCTTTAGATAGATCGTTAAATTGTAGTTAAGTTTTATATTTAAATTATTGCTTTACAGTTAACTCCATTGAATGGATCTTCAATGCCTGAGCTATCAAGGCCATGGTTACGCTCAAGGAATTTCTCTATCAGAGAGAGTTTGGAAGTGGGGATCAATGTCTGACGAGTACCGCAAAGTCCAGTTCGTCTTGAGTAATATTCGAGAACGGATGGAAAGTTGATGGTCCATTTAAAGAATTTTTGATAAATATTTTAACCAGAAGTTTTTAAAATCAATTTGTAAGTATTTAAATTATTTTATTATCATTTTTAATTCAATAATCATCACAGTTTTGATGGTAAATTTGATTTTAAAAAGCAGAGAAAATTAGATTTAATATTTAATTATTTAAAAAGCGAATTTTTTTATTAAACTATAAAGGTTAAGAATAATTGTTGGCAATCGGTGAAAAAGAGGACTTTGTATATGTTTTTACTTATTTCACAATTACAAGTTACTTTGTTTTATTGTAAATTACCCATCACCGATGATGAAACTTTGTTGTTTACCTTGGATGGATAATTATTGTTCAACTTTGTATCCAAAGCAAATGATATATGACTGATTCCAAGATTTTAGAAATTAAATATAGAAAAAGGAATGATTTTTTTCCTGGTATGTTTCAGTTCATGATGGTCTTCGGCGTAGAGCTTACCATCCTGAATGTGTGTTGCGCTCTGGTGACGTTGGTAATTGGTGCAATAGTTGGTCTAGGTATTCTTTTGTATCTATTTGTCTACTTCACTACCGGCGTGTGTAAAAGCCAGAAGAGGATGGAGGGAAAAACAGTGATAGTGACCGGATGCACATCAGGAATTGGGAAAGAAACAGCTCGAGACTTGGCCAAAAGAGGCGCCCGGGTTATTATGGCATGCCGCAATGTCGAAGCTGCCAATAAGTTGAAAGGTAATGATAGATTTGATTGACAATGCTCTGCTGTTAGTGATGATATGAGGATAAATAAATTTCCATTTTTGATACAATTCTATCAACAGTGATGTTGTGACATCAAGACAATTTGAGATCTTCTCAACGATTTATTACAAGAGAAAGATCCATTTTAAAATCAAGTTTTTTCACGACGATAGACGTATGAGGTCTTAACTGAAGAACAATATATACCATTGAGAATAGTTGTAGAGTAGATAAAAAATTTTTGAAAGTTTTTTTCCAGAAAAATGAATACTGAGTTTGGAATTAGAGTTGTTATATCTGGTGTTTAATGATTATTGATCAGAAATATTTTGTTTTAGAATTGATAAAATATCGAAATGGTTGGTCCTATATGGGCTTTATTGTTGAGTATGCATTTTCTTTTTAAATTCGGAAGAATTGGTTGCCCGGGCTCGACTTTATATGCTGCTGTTTATCGGATACAAGTGTGCTGGCCCATAACTTTCGGAAAAATAAACTTTAAGATTATTCAGTTGAACAAGTAGATGTTAGAATGGACCAAAAATAGTGTCAGAGTATTCTCCATGTATTCATCAACCATCTGAATTTTTTCCAAAGAAACCGTCAATTCCATTTTGGAGTGTTCATCTGAGAGCTATTGCATGTACCATTCGCCATCACTTCACGCAGTAAAACCGTAAAAGTTTCATTGCAATTATCTTCATTCCTAGACGTCATCAGATCTTCTTTGCTCATAAGAGCAAAAAAATTAACTCTATTCCCTCTACAGTTATAATACAGTTCTAAAAAAATTGTTAGAGAAATACTCTACACACATGTACATATATTTGATCAGAATAACAAACTCTACAACATATTGCAAGGTCAAGGTCACCCGAGACTTGAACCTTCAAATTAATAATACTTCAGCAGAATATCTACCTTATAAAAATACTTAACAATTCATTGCAAATCATTTTTCTGCACGTGCTCTGTCACAATCCATCCTAGTGCAACGACTTTTAAGCTCATGAATACTCTCAATATGCTTATCAAATCCGGTTTCAATAATCAAACAACCTGGTGACTTAATCAAGCTAATTATCATCTTCCTTTTGCTAGACGAGTTCGTGAAAGAGTCCGGAAACAACAACATTGTCGTGAGAAAATTGGACCTGGCGTCTTTCAAATCCATCAGAGAGTTTGCAGCACAAATTAATAAAGAGGAACAACGGTTAGATGTCCTGATCCATAATGCCGGAACTGCTGAACTTTGGAGAAAAGCCGTTACTGAAGATGGATTAGAAATGACCATGGGTACCAACATGTACGGTCCATTCTTGCTCACGCATCTTCTGATCGGTAAGTAGATACTTAACGACTTGAAAGTGACTCATTGACACCTATTTGCATAATCTGCAATTTGAGGTCAAAGAGTAAAGATGATTTCAATTTGAATAGAAAGCTATGATTAATGGAATATTTAGCAACTTGGAAAAGTAATGTATTTCAATGTGCATGGTAGATTATCTTTTGAAGAATAAAAAAGAATTGGTAAGTTGGTAGAACTGATGTTCTTGAAAAAGATTATTTGGCTAACGGTTTGGGATTCCCATTAAGCATAGCCATTACTCTTGGAAGGTGAAAAGCTCATTTATTGAAGAAGTTACGTATCTTAATGACGTGTGAGTCCATTAAGCATACCCGAGAAAAAATAGCAATGTTGTGTCTTCATATAATACTTTGTATATAACCTCAAAGTCCAACATTATATTAAAAGAGGTGCGAGACTTTTCTTCATGGCGATGACTCTGAAGGGCTATTTATCTTCATAAAATTTAGATCTCGTCATTAATTCACAAAGATAACAAATGTATCTTATAAAATATTAATTGTTTTTGCGTCAATCATACAAAATGTTTGCATTTTCTATTCCAATTAGCGGTTAGAAAGTGATGTTTTCTGATATATAGAAAAGAAAGTTATTGTACGCATGCGTGCAAGACAAATTAATTGTTTTCTGCTTAAGATAAATGGTACTTTCATAATTTTTATATTAGGAAATAAATTTAAACTTCCTTGTTGACTTTCCAGGATATCGAAGATAATTAAAAGTGATCAAAGTATTTAAATTAAAGAAAAAGGTTACACTAATGTAAGGAATAAGGTTCTAAGTATTGAATATTGATCGGCAACAAGGCAGGGTTATGAATCATTTTTTCTTCGGCATGCAAGGTGTGTGATGCTACAATTCAGGAATGAGTCCTGGTACGATCAAGGGAGTTGAATGGTGTGGTAACCTTCTATCTCTCGTCCATGAAGAAGGTTCCAGTTTCTACCTGGAGAGCATGCTTTTGAAGATATAAAGACTGGAATTCTTGCCTCTAAGAAATTTCTAGAACAGTTCAAGACATTCAAGAATATTCTAGATCATTGTTTTATAGTTGATCTTTTATTCCAACTACCACACAATCTCATATCAACTCCCTCAGTGAAACCAGGTATCCCTGCTAGTTTTTGAACAAAACTTACCAATAAATCATGTAATAGCAGATGTTTGGAGCCAGCAAGTGAATAACAGAGCCAACTTATGATAACAAACCTAAGATAATTTTTTATCATTTTAGATAAAATGAATTTCACTGAAATAATTGGCAAGATTAATAAAGTTAGCTCTGTACAATAGATAGAGAGAATAACTGTTCTATCATTTTATATGCAATAAATTGATTCTTATCAACATGATATATTAATGACACTTATTATATTATTCAACAGTTATCATTATATTTTTCCAAGTTAATGCACAGATAAAAATTATTACATTGTACAGTCTCTGAATTATGAAATTTCATGGTGATGTATTAGAGTGATGACAGAAGGTTAAAAGAAATTGCTCATCCATTTGAATAGTTCTCCAACATTCAGGTTCATGAGTAGTAATAAATATCCCGTTAAAGTAGGTGCTTTGATTTTTATTGCTTATTATAAACATTCAACTTACCTTATAAATATTTATTGTCGTATTCTATGTGCCCTACATAGAGTTTAAGCATAACGATTGGATCCATCCCAAGCACTGGTCAAAGTCGAATTTACTACTAGTTTGCTATTCTTAGAATGCAAATGATAAAAATTTCAATGTTTCCAACTATGGACCTTGACTGTTTCAGTGTCATGATGAGAACGGTAATTTTTATGTAGACTTTCTATTAAAGGATATAAGAATATTCTCTCTGTATCCAAAGTTCATCAACCCTTTTCTAGGTAGCGGTATCATATGTGCTGCTGAATGAATCATTTTATTTAAAGCTGGAATATTGATGATACTTTTATGTTCTGCTAATTGCCACTAGTGAAAAATAGAAGCAATACAATTATTATTTCTTGTAAGAAAGTTATTTAAGGTTAAAAACAGATAAAAATAGCTTATTTCAAAAGCTAGCAACAAATATGGCAAAGTTGCTGATGTGGAGTTCCAGGATTATATTCATTCTACAGCTTTTTAATTTCTTTATTATTCCAGATCTACTCAAGCGATCTGCACCATCACGAATCGTCGTAGTGGCTTCAGAGTTCTATCATCTTGGTTCACTGAACCTCAACAATCCCAATCCCATCAACTCTCTACCAGGATACCTTTACTATGTTTCCAAGTATGCTAATATTGTCCACACCCTGGAATTAGCAAGAAGATTGGAAGGAACTAATGTTACTGCTAATTGTCTACATCCTGGAGTCATTGACAGTGGTATTTGGAAGAGTGTTCCTATTCCATTGTCATGGGGTTTGAAGCTGTTGATGGCAATGTTTGCTAAAACACCAGAACAAGGTGCTCAAACTACTCTGCATGTTGCTGTTTCTGAAGAAGTTGAAGGAGTCACTGGAAAATATTTCCTGGATTGCAGAGTAAGTTTAATTATTTTATATAATGGAGGAGGTTATCAAGAACTTAACCTCTCGTCACTAGCGTTATGAGTGAAGTACGATTAGCAGTGTTGCCATTTTAACTATTCCTATTTGAACCTGACTAAACTGCTGTCCGTTGATTTTGCAACGCCGCACATAGTTTAACATGGTGGCGCTGCAGTCACCACCAAATAAATGACGCATCATAGCTTCAAATTTATTTGAATATAATATGATGAAATAAATATGTATTGACAGTAATTATTAACAATAATTTTTGATGTAATTTTATAGCCATATGGACTCACAAGAGGCGTCAAAGATCCATCAAAAGGCAAAAAGTATTGGGAAATCTGCGAAGAACTTGTCAAACTACAACCGACAGATCCAAAGATCTAAATCAAAATAATGACCATCTTCATTACTTGTCTGTGAATGATTTAATCCATTAATATGATTTTATCCTCATGCACCTCAATTATACATAGACTTGAATTAAATATATATATATATATATTTATACAGAAATCAATTCAATCTGAAACATGGTTTTATAGAAATAAATTCATATTTATTTAAATTTCCAATTTAAAAAACCATAACCGAAAGCGAAATCTTATGGTACGTACGAGTTTTTGTTTATGACATTTTTTACCTTTTAATTCAGGTAAATCTGAAGTGTGTTATTTTAGTATGTTCAATGTTTAATTGCTATACACAAACTATAGAACCTTGTGGTTATTTTATACACACTTTAGAGTGTGTTGAAAAGTTTGCATAACTACTTGGCTTCAAAAAACATAAGAGGGACGCCAAGGTAGAGGGCGCCACTTTAAGATGATCGAGTTGGATGAAACTAATCCGGAAATGTAGCCGTAGGAATGTTAGTGCCGAAATTAGGGCTTTAAATTTAAGGGGATGTTTGCAAAAAAATTGCGAACAAGTGCAAAAATGACTTTTTATTAAATATCTCGAGAACGGCTGGAAATATAAAAAAAAGTTTCGAGTAAAAGTTGTAGAAAATTTAATTCTCTTTTTCATATCTCTGATCGTTTTTCTGTTGAATGCGTTAAAAAGGTATACAGAGTATTAACTTATTTGAAAAATCATTTATTATTTTAAAAATTTGTAAATCTTTTGGGTAGCCCTGGTTAATTAGTCTGCCACTGTATTTTTAATTATTCTTTACATTAATTAACTTTGCAAACAAATTTAATGATTATTAATTTTTTTTTCATGTTATTAAAATGATTGATTTGATATTGAATTTTTTTTAATTGTAAAAAAACTTTTAAAGTCGGCATAAAAATCTTCTGAAAGACTACAAGTTATCTAAATGCAATAAACAATATTAATTAGTATATCATAAATATGGATTTATAAATGTTTATACATTTTTCGTCAACAAAAACTTGTACGTATCATAAATTTCCGATGATCAATGAATATTAAAAATAATAAAAAATGTTAATAATATCTTATAAATGTTACGTAGCTATAAAAATTATACCTTTTTTTCTACTGGAAATTGACCTTCTAATTTTATCCGAAGGAGTGGAAGACTAAAGATGGCGCTGAAATGAATGATTAGCTTCTCCTTAAAGATATAAGTTTTACTTTCACAATTACGGTATTAGTTTACTTTTACTCTCAACGCAGTTTAAAGCTAAATAGTGAGTGTTATTGATCTCTAATTCATTCAATAGCAAGAATTTATAGTTCTTTGTTGTCATTCATTACTTTATAATCCTTCATTTCTTTTTAATTATCTCTTATGTAGCACAATTGAAAATTTTTCTTTATTCATTTATTTTGTTTTAACACTTGTTAAATACTTGTTATCAATAAATATTTTCTGTACAATATTTTTTTTTTTCTCATCATTAATAATTAATTACGTAATTTTTAAGTAACAAATTTAATGTATTAATTGATAAAAAAAATTAGGTATAATATCAGAACCATGGAAATTGGTATTTTCAATGTCACCGATGTCTTGAAAACACTACTAGGAATATTACTGATAATAATAATAATACTGAAATTGTTTGCACATTTCACGATGGGTGTTTGTAAAAGTAAAAAAAAAATGACTGGAAAAACAGTGCTTTTAACTGGGTGTGTGACAGGAATTGGTAAAGAAATAGCTCGAGATTTAGCTGGCCGTGGTGCACGACTCATCATGGCTGATGTTAATTATGAAGGTGCTTTAAAAGTCAAAGGTAATGCGGAGAAAATATTTTTAAATAATTTAAAAAAAAAATAAAGTTTCTGTGTACATTAGTCAAGTGGAAACAAAGTTTCTAAGATAAAAAATATAGGAGTAATGAACTGCGCATGTGCAGTCCAAAAATTTCAAGTGTCAAAAAACGATCGCGCAAGCGCAGTCGAAATTTTTCTAACTAAAATATAATTAAATCTACCTGATTAGGATTTAATTCAGATGAATAATATTCCACGTAATATGTTGACGCATGCGCTGTAGCCTTTTAAAGTTATGTGCGTGCATGCATATAAAATTCTATCATCTCATTTTTTTGATAGAGATCTACAAAGAGCAATTATATAAAATTTTAAAATATAGTCTTATAAAATTATATCCCACTATATTTGATCGAGCGCACAATGATGTGTGTGGCTAGAACGCATGCGTCTACACATTACTTTCAAGACCTTTTTTTACCGTTGACCTCAGTTCTTCCAGTTTTGAATATAAATTATGCTAATAATTGACTGAGCAATTTTTTTTCAGAACAAATATCAGCAGAGTCTGGTAACAAAAATATAGTAGTAAAATATGTGGACATGTCATCCTTCAAATCAATTCGCTCATTTGCTGAGGAAATCAACAAGGAAGAGACGCAGCTAGACGTTTTAATCCATAATGCAGGAACTGTTACAGTATTTGATAGAAAATTATCTGAAGATGGAATTGAATATACAATGGCTGTGAATTTTTATGGACCTTTTTTACTCACTCATTTATTGATAGGTAATTAAAAAGATCTTTTTTATGCTACAAGCTCTAAAACAAAGTGCAAGTAAGTAGTGATGACGTCTAGCTGAGCTGATGGTGAGGAAAGGAAAATTTATGGCCCAAGGTTATGAAGCATCCTTAATATTTAAAATAATTCCGATGTATTCCAATGTAACACATTTGCATAAGAACGCAAAAAAACGATGTCGACATAGCCGCCTTCATGAATAAACCTCTCGATTATTGGAGATCTTTAGAAAAATCATGTCCTGTTTTGTTTCCCCGGTCCGAGAATCGAACCCACGACCTGCGACTCGCCAAGCTAGTACGTTGTCCATTCAATCACTGAGTCGGTTTAATTTACTTTTACTGTAAAATGGAGACAGAGGGTTGAAATTCCTTCTTTAGATTCTCAATTCCAGTGCAGCCTTCGGTTACACTATTTTATAAAAATTAATTATGCAAGTATGATCAACCAGTTTGGTAATTTTCGGTTATAAATAATTAAACATTGTAAAGAAATCTTAAAAATACTGAGATAAGTTAACTTATCGACTTCATGTTTAATGATTTAGATTTGCTAAAACGGTCAGCGCCATCAAGAATAGTGATAACAGCGTCGCTCTTCCATCATTTGGGGTGGCTTGATTTAAATGATCCATGTCCTAAGGATATCTGGTTCCCGGCATGGGCTTACATGAATTCCAAATTGGCTTCTGTGATTTGGACTCTAGAGTTGGCTAAAAGATTAAAAGGAACTGGTGTGACAGTTAATTGTTTACATCCTGGATTAGTTGACACTCCTATTTGGCATCATTGTCCAACAGCGCTGTTGTTGATCATCAATGCAATCTTGAGCCTTTATGCTAAAACTCCTCAACAAGGTGCACAAACAACAATACATTTAGCCGTTGCTGAAGAGCTTAAAGATGTTAGTGGAAAATATTTTATGGATTGCAAAGTAAGTTGATGATTGATAAAAAATTTTCGTCGTACCCGTGTGGAAAGTTCACTTTTCCATTAGAAAGAGGTTGAATTTTCCACACGGGTATGACAAAATAGTACATTTCACGCCTAGGGAGGAAAAGTAGACTTTAATCACGTGTTTACCATCCTTGCCTTCGGCTCAGGGTGTAATTTTACACGTAGTTTGAGATTGTCTACTTTTCCTCCCTAGGTGTGAAATGTACTAATTTTTGTTTATCAATATTCAATATGAGCTGAAATGAGTTTGTTTTTTTTTCTTTCTTTCAGGAATATGGTCTGCTGACAAAGAAAGTGACAGATCCATCCAAAGGCAAAAAATTCTGGGAAATCTGTGAAAAAATAACTCAACTGCAACCATCAGATCCAAAAATATCTAGTCAATCTTAAGTGTGATTTTTATTATAAATTGGAACTAAGGCTATATAATTTGTAGTACTATTAATATTTTAGGCAAATAATTTTTATGTCTCAACACTTTGATACTGTGAACTGAAGTGACATTATATATTTAATTAAATAGTCCATTTGGATTGGTTATTAAATGTTTGTTGATGTAAATCAACTGTCTGAATGATAAGATAAATTTATTGTAAATAAATTGAGTTATTTAATAGTTTTAAGAATTTCAAATCAATTTCTTTGACATAAATTTAAATAAAAGAAGAAAGGAAAAAAAAATTGTGAAAGAATATTTTACAATAGATTCATACTGTTGATAATTCAATCCAATAATCCATGACATAAGATAAAGTTTCTCTTAATAATAAAGTTTCTGAATTATTTAATTTCCTGGTAATCTATTAAATTGATTCCTCGAAAATCAAAGAAATTACCTATCTATTAGAATAGTTTTCATAAATTTTATTTTAAAAGTAATATCATTAGCTAAAATTTTTGATTAATTCAATTTGATATGTTTAAACATTTTTTACTAGTGTTCACGTCTAAATCACATTTCAAAAATTGCTTTACCGACTAATGGTAATATGGAGTAATATTCTGTTTTATCGGTTGATGATAAAATCTATTAGTGATAAATTGAGCATGTTATTTTTTATAAACAATGAATAGGAACTCTTCGTATTTTCAAAAATTCTTTATCTATTTAGGTTTCAAAAGAATTTTGTAATAAAACGGCAAAAGAATAACATAAATTTGTCTCCTTTACTTTAATACCTAGCTTTGAACTCAACACTCTAAATCATCTCTTTAATGAAGTTCAATATTTAGCTATGTTTCTTCAACAAACAGAAGAAATTAACATAAATAAATTAAACAACATTATAAGGTCGACAGATTTTTTATTTCTTTCATTGATTTTGATTATACTTTCGATAAATAAGTCGCTTCATATTGACTCTATCAAGAAGACGGAATTAATAATAAAGATTATCTTTTGAACCCTCAAGATAAAAATGCCCTCTATTAATACTTTGTATCCAACAAATGTGCATAATTGAATCAGTATTTATATGAATGACTGTGCGCTAAATTGTTCAAATAATGTTTTATAAATTGTAAAACTTATCTGACTGGTGAATTATAAGTAGTAGGGATACAAGACCTAACATGCATTTAATGTCCTGCAAAGACCATAAAGCAGTTATTTATTGGATGTAGTGTTGGATAGTCCAGGAGATTCAAAACCTCGGAAAGGATCCAGTTCTGATCAAGCTCCAATTAATCGTAAGTATACTCCAAGTACTTTCAATGTTTAGAATAGGTATCATCATGATCATCAACATAAAATATCATTTTCAGATCAACTAGACTCCAATCAATATCTAGATAATCCAGCAACATGGCTGAAATTGGTGCTGCTGAAGTCTCTGGTGGTGATCTAACCATCTACTACCTGATACCAGTCTTCATTTTTGGAACACTATTGGCCCTCTACGTGTTAGTTAGACTATTCAATTTCGTTACCTTAGGCATCTGCACCAGCACCAAAAGGCTCGATGGCAAGACAGTAATTCTAACCGGATGCACATCAGGAATTGGGAAAGAAACAGCACGAGATTTGGCCAAAAGAGGAGCCCGACTTATAATGGCATGCCGCAATGTCGAAGCTGCTACAAAGTTGAAAGGTAAAGATGGATTTATTTAAAGACACTCAACAAATCACTGCAATTCATTGTTTTGCGTGTGGTCTGTTACAATCCACACTGGTGCAACGACTCATCAACTCATGAATATTCCAAGTGTGCTTATAAAGTCTGGTATCAATAATCAAACAACTTGATGATTTAATCAAGCTAATTATCATCTTCTTTTTGCTAGACGAGTTCGTGGAAGAGTCCGGAAACAATGATATTGTCGTGAGAAAGTTAGACCTGGCATCTTTTAAATCTATCAGAGAGTTTGCTGAGCAAATTATTAAAGAAGAACAGAGGTTGGATGTTTTGATTCATAATGCGGGTATTGCTCATGTCTGGACGAGAAAACTGACTGAAGATGGGCTTGAATTGTCCATGGGAACCAACATGTATGGTCCTTTTCTCCTAACTAATCTACTTATTGGTAAGTTGTTGATTTTTTTAATATCCATGTCAGTTCGAAGATATGTTATCTTTTTTGGATGTTCCAAGTGCTGATGAAGTTTTTTAATGTTTTAGATCTGTTGAAGAAATCAGCTCCATCAAGAATAGTTCTAGTGGGTTCAGAATCCTATCTCCTAGGATGGTTAGACTTGGACAACCCGAACCCAACGAATCTCTACATTCCAGGCTGGTCTTATTTCATCTCCAAGTATGCATTGATAGTATTCATGTTGGAACTAGCACGCAGACTGGAAGGAACCAAAGTTACAGTCAACTCTCTTCATCCTGGTGCCATTTTTACAGAAATTTGGTATCGATCTGGACGTCTGACTGCCATGTTTTTCTACATCTTCATCAAACCGCTGTGCAAAAGTGTCGTTGAAGGAATCCAAACTACTATTTATCTTGCAGTGTCGGAGGAAGTTGAAGGAGTTTCCGGGAAACATTTCTTAGACTGTAGGGTAAGTCTCTAATTTATTTTTTGCTAAACTTTAGATAATTTATTTAATACTGACATTTTATTTTAATCAAGAAATTTAAAAGATTAAAATCAAAATGAAAAGACGACTTTATTTTATGAACGAAAAAAAGTGATAAAAAAAAAATTAACATAAATGTTGCAAGCAAATTACTTGAATGATAGCTTGCAATTTAAATTGATGGTAATTTCAACGTTTTTGTGTACTAAGTAGCAACACTGTTGCAATTATTTCAAACCATCATAACGAAATAAACTGCAGTGACGATGCAGAGAAACTTTTTTTAATATTGAAGTTCATGAAAATGATTACTTCTGTTGATAATAAATAGATAAAATAAGTTAGATATGTAATTTTAGAAATACTATTTAGTTATTAAACTTGATACTTAATAAATGGGTTTAAAATTACGGTCATTCTTTAGAAAAAAAAGAAACAAATAAAATCAATGTCATCTTGTACAAACTAAAGAACTATTCGATGATTATTGAATGCAGTAATTAATGAGTAATTATGTTTCAGAAACGAAAATTGTACCGAGGAGTTACCGATCGATTGAAGGGGATAAAATACTGGCAAATCTGTAAAAACTTAACGAAAATGCAACCATCCGATCCTCAAATTTGACGTAAAGAAGAAGCTTTACGATTATTATGTTTAATTATTATTGATAATAAATTATTACTTATTATTATTAAGTGATGGACAGGGATACTGGCCATTATACTACCGAAGAATTAAATTAAATATCACTTTTAATTTATTGTGTAAAAAAAAATATTGTAAGATATTTAAATTTGTATGCTCGACAGTCAACTGATTAGCTTTTCATCAAGTTATATTTAATTTGAAACAAAAACTAGAGTTGACAAGGTATATTATTTATTCACTATCTTCTAACATCTTTGTTTATAAACAATGTGCCAAGCATAAAATGCCCCCAACAAGTGGGGATCAAAAAATTATATTTTGGCAAGGCTTTGAGTCCTGATGAGATTCACTATTTCTTGTTTGCTCTGAATAAATTTTTACAACAGTCCTACAGAATTAATTTTAGAAACCTATTTTACCAACAGCTCTGTCGATAAGCCAACTGTACACAAAAGTTCGTTCTTGACTGCGGTTGGTAATAGAGCAAATTGTTTTACCGATTAAATATTTAAAAAATTGCGTAAGTCGTTCTTTTCGATCTGACATTCAATTGTTTCTTTCATTTCTAAAATATTTTATTCATTAATATTATTCGTCGATGTTATCCTCGCACATTTTACCATCTAAAATGTATTTATTATTATGCAATATGCTAATGTAATTCAAATAAGTTTTTCATCATTCCATTACTCATATTAATTTAATTCAATCGCATATTTTTGAAAAAATGTATTTACATTTATACGTGTCTCTATTGTCATATTTTAGCATATTTACTTACATAAAAATTTGATGGACTGAGTAGATGTATTTTTAAAAGAAACATGGAATATATGGGCAGAATGTTTAGAGTAATGGAATTGAATGCATAAAAATATTCGCAAATGTGTTACGTTAAATGAAGTGATGAAGACGCAAAGCATTAATATGCTAAGTTAATAAAGTTGAATAGAATATTAAATAATTATCTAAAAATAATTGATGAATGATCTGATATTAGTGCGGCTGGTGTGAAAAATAAAAATATCTTACTAAACAATAATTAGTCAGATGCTGAATTTAATTAAGCATAAATTTAAATATATACCATTTAATTATCACTTGTCTATAAATATTGAAATAGAGTTTTTTTTCATGGTAACAGTCAATCACCCTAGTTTAATAATTGTTTACACATTTTTTTTCGACTTATTAATGTCACGTTTAATTGAGATGATAATGACTGTAAAAATGTACAGACAAGAATGAAAGTATTTGTTGTAGATAAAATGTTAAATGATCCAATGAAAAGGTCAATCTACGTGACATAGTGACATGTACGGATGTTTACATTATACTGCTTTTATTTTCATAATTTTACACACTTTGAACTCGAATTTTTTTTGTTCGGACTGTAAAGAAGGGGTACCAACACACAAAAACAAAGCAATCTTGAGGTCCAGTTTTTTACAATTTTCTCATAAACTATAAGAGATACGGAAAAAAGTTTCAAACAAAAATTGTAGAGAATAAAATTTTCTATAAAAAAGGTCCTTTGACATTAGCCTCTAACTCACATAGTTTAGCTACAAAATGGCGTTAAAGATGAAACAGATGTACAAACATGCTTTCTGTTATTTTTAATTTCAAAATGGATATTATTTTAAATTAATTTAGGCTAAATATTCTATCTCTTCAATTACACTTACTAATTATACTGTCTAATAATAGTTAATTATTTGAAGTGACCTCTGTGGTCAACTTTAATTCCAATCACTATAAATAATCGAAATATTTAAATTCAATTAACAAAAAAAAAGTTAATAATAAAACAAGAAAAAAAAGGATTCTATAAATGTTATATCATTAAGCATTGTTTAAAAAAATATTAAAAAAGTTTATTACCATTGTATAAATATTTCATTTAAAAATTAGTCATCTTTATATGTATACATCTGTATGTTATCAATGCACGTGTATGTATGATGCTAAGTGTCAAATGCATGTGCTGATAAAAAAGTATCAACGACTGTACGGTAAATGAGAAGAACAAATAAAGGATATAAAATAAGTCTTACTTCACGTGCTTGTTCGTCATCACTTGTCATTCAATGCATAAATTGTACAGTTGCAGCATTCTCTTTAATTGTCTTATCTAATTATCCAAATATTTCACACTTTATGTACACACTTTTCGATGTTTACTCATTTTTTTAATAATTGAAGAAAAAAAAAAAAAGAGATATAAGTAAATATTTTTCTTTTATAATAAATCATTTTTTTTTTTTTTTTACAACTGTAATGATATTTATATGGGATTTGTTTAATTAACAATTAACATTAAATTATTAACAACTGTTAGCACCTTATCATATATAATTCTCATTACCTTCAGACTACTTATCGATATCATCGTAAAATACTGCAATTTGTATAATAATTCTTATTTTATTATTATCATATTGATTAATGCGAATTTAAGCTGATAATAGAATATTGTTAAATACTTATATCGACACTCGTTGATATTAATAATCGATCATTAATTTATTAATTGACTCATTAGTTCATTATTAAATTAATCCTTATAATATAAAATTAATTATTATAAACAATAAAATTATTGAATAATTATTTTTTAGAAATATTAAATGAAATTTCTATTTGCTCCATCATTCGAAAACAAAGAAAAAAAAAAAGAATTGAACAAAAATTATCCTGAAATAAAGAAATCATTAGGAAATAAAAGGTAAATAAATCATATTTATTGAGGGAATTTTAAATACCAAAAATAAAGACCATGAAATTGCAGTACAGTAGGATAATTTTGGTTTACAAATAATAATGACCAGTTACTACCAAAAGGACAAAGACTGTAAGAGGTCAGGTACTAACCTTCCTAAGATCAATGGTCATTACGACCCTTATTCCTCTGAGCACATAAGTTAAAATGAAGTCTAAGTACTTCGGGGAATATTTAATCGTAGGGTATAGTAACAAAGGTAAGAAATATTTCAGGTAAATGAGTATTTACTTATATACAATACAATTATTATTCATAAAAGAAATATAATTCTTTTCAATTTCGTCCTCTTTTCAATTTCAAAAATCAATTTTACTCGAATCACATCAGAAATATATTCAAAAAGGCCCAATATGCCTTTAAATAAGGCCCAAAAAATTTTAGGCCCAACTCAATATGTGCCTAATCAAGGCCCAGAAAGATTCACGAAAATTTTTTTTGGGTTACAAAAATATTTGGGCCTTAATCAGGTATGTTTGGGCCTGGTTAATATACTTCTGGGCTTGAATTGAATTTTTTATGGGCCTTGAGAAATATATTGTAGGTGTTAAGAAGGCTATATTTAGGCACGCCCAAAAGTAGATTGTTTTTGCTCGAGATGTTTATCATAAAATGTTGCAATATTTGTGCAATGTTTGTGTGCGAAAATTAATTTATTAGAATCATGAGTCGTCTTTTGCAAACCTAATGAGTATTAAATTATATCTCAAGGAATTTAATTATTATTAATAAAAGAAAAATTTTTATAGAAATCTGAGAAGGATAATTTTTACTTTTCTCCATATTTAAAATTCGTTTCTTTTATTGTGTTAATATTTATTAAATTAAATATTGTATTTTTTATGGTTTAAAAATTTTTATTTTTATTAAAATGTATTATTTCAAAATTAACTAATTTTTTCTCACCATTTCAATGCTTAAAAATCCAAATTTTTTCTATTTTTTTTTATTTTTAAAAAAGAACTTTTTTGCCTCCATTTTCTTTACAATCTTTTAGTGTAACATAACCCCAAAAATTAATCTCTTTATCTATCAATAAGTATAATAAACAATTCATCGCTTATCATTATATATTATTATCCTTAAATCATCCTTCTGATGTATTTATAAAATAATACGAAGTCACTTGATGTTGTTTGTATTATGACAAGGTGATATGTATTTTCGGCAACTTATATTTTTAGCTTTTCTTCATTTTGTTTACTTTCTTTTTCTCGCTGGATAATAATGCATTAATGCTTTTGCGCTGCTGGATTTATTTTTAGGAATTTTAAATTCATTTAAAATTACACATTAACGTGAGAAAATGTCATTAACACTGTTTTTTTTTCGAGGTTATATCAAACATTATTTATAAGACAATTAGAATGTTTATAATAATATCATTATAACTCCAGGTCATATGTTTTAAAAAAAATTATTGAATTAAAATAAACTGTTACAATTAATTTTACATCGTAATTATTTAATTAGGGGGTTTTAATGACAGTTTTTTGTTTATATCTCTGAAGAAATACATTTTATTGTCACATTATGTTTGAAAAAAATTTTAGGAATAAAATATAAATTTGTTTAAATAAAAAAAAATATATATTAAAACCATTTAAATATTTTCGTTAATTAAATTTGAATATTTCATTCATTTATATTAACAAAAAATTATTTTTAATCATCAATTAATTATTAACAACGATCCAAATGATAACCATACCAATTTTGAACTTAACATTATTTTAATAAGTTACTTATTTAATTCTTTAAAACATCAAATAAATACAATTCCTCATTACCATACTATCATCGTCATACTCAATCACCTTAAAACAATTGAAAAAATAAAAACTTACACACCTCAAACAATTGATCATCATATTTACTCCAGCTCCTCCTCACCATTTTTACCTCCAATAATAAATAAAATAAAATAATCCTCCGTCTTTTTATTTCCCTGAATTTTTCAGGCATGAAAAGAGTAAAAAAAGGAGACTGTTGATCTGAAAATAGAAAAGAAAAAAAAAATTATGAGAAGAAAGAATATTTAAAAAGTTGATTAACAAATAAGTAAAAGAGTGTGTAATGTTGACGACACGCCACTGGAATAATGGAGTCATGTGATGGGGACGACGCAAGTGGACGCATCATACTACTATACATCAGTGTGATTTGAAATAATAATAATAATATAAACTGAGTGTACATCATGCTATGTGCGAGTGTGTATATGGTATGGGTACCGGGTTGGATAGTAAGGGAAACCGGTCGGTTGGTTTATTGGTTGGTTGGTGTGTTCTACATATACTCGATTCTCTCAAGACTCAGTTATTCTTCGTCAGTTCTTCGGCACACTTGTCCGCGATCTCAACACTCAGTATTTACAATAACACGGTTCAGTTGACATCGTCGAGTCTTGTTTATACTGTCGATAATTCTACGAAAACGTCAAACATTCGTAGTTAAGAAGTGTTTTTAATTTTCAGTATTGTAAAGAAAGAATATCTGTTGTTTAATAAAGTTTTGTTTTTTGGTCTTGTGCGATTATATGATAATTTGTGAGGAGAATATTTAATGGTTGAGATCCAGGAAAATTGAAGTTACGTTGAATTTTACATACAACTGTTTCATTAAATTCGTCAAAACGAGCGGGAGCGGACTGTACTCGGATCGTAATTTTGCGGACCTCAATTTTTTCGTGTAACGTTTTAGGTTTTTTGTACCACCCGCGATGGCACGCTGGGATGAATGGGATTATACACGCAATGGTCAGTAGAAACTTTTTTATCATCTGAGTAATTAATTATTATATTTTTAGCACAGACTCTACACCTCTTTTTTAATCTTTCTAACAACATCATTCACTCGTCGTTTTGTTTATTTTATTTACCCAGAAAGTGTTGTTCCTTTTTTTCTTTAAACGAGAAGAATTTTTTCTTTATTGTAAAAATGAAGAATGACATCAGAGATAAAAAAGAAAATTATCATTGGATTAAAATTTTTGTAATATTATGAAAAATAATGCAATTTTAATAAATTAACGCACATTTTGTAGTTCATTGTCTCTATTTTTATGATTGGTTCGTGGAAAATAGTTTTTATGGACAAATTTGTTCCGTAGAAATTGCAAAAAGAATGCACAGTTGTGTTTCGAGTTGATCATTTGAGATAGAATTGTTTGAACCAGAGTATTATTTAGTATTATTTACCATCAGTAAATTTCTGTAATAAAACCGATTTTTTTTTAATTTGGCAACAATGTATTGCTGTGATGTGAAATTTTCTTGTAACAAACTCAACAGTTTACTGTGTTATGGAGTTGTTGAATTTACTGCAATGGACCATCACAAAACAACACAAGCAGTTTTACCATAAATGGCTGTGCAGTATTTTTTGTATAATTTCAATATGGTCGTCATCAATGTTGTGCAGACTCGGTAATTTTGTATGTAATCGGTTCATCGTAAGAAATACTTATTCCCAAGTTTATAGAAATTAAATTTAAAATAATAACTCCAAAGATTGATTAAATAGATATTTTTAGAATAAATGTATGACCGCCATTAAGAATTTCTGAGGTAAAAATTACGGTTAAATATAAGAGGGTAATATCAAAAATATGCAACTACTTTTGCATGTAATGTCAGTCATATTTCAATATCATTGAATAAATCATATTTTACCTGTTCATGTATTGGAAACTTCTGGGGTAAAATTACTTTATTGTTGTTGGTAAATTATAGGTAAATTTAAAGTAGTAATTTACCATCATAAATTTTACTCCATTGTACAAACTTAGGGCAAAATTTATTTAGTAATATACATAAAGTGTAATTAAATTAATTATGTGGAAAGAATTATTTTATTCGAGGTAAAAAGTAGTGTAAAAATGTAACCTCAAATAACCTATTTCTAGATCATACTTTACCCTATTGGTACAATTGATTGGTTTTAAATGGGGTAAAAATTGAAAGATTTTTCTTTTTATTAATTCAAATCCTTTCTATTCTCCACCATTAATCATTAATAAATTTTTTACTTAATGAAAAATGTTTAATTTTTTTCTTGATGATATTAAATTGAATTATTAATACTTCTATGTCACGTAAATAAAAAATAAAAGTAACGAAATGAATTAAATTACTTTGTCTACGGGAAAACAAAGGGAAATATAATAAAAATAAATACCTTTTATTAAAATGAATATTTTATTTTCTAATATATCTAGATAAGTAAACATTGATAATAAATGAACTATAAGTTAATGATATAGGGTTAAAAGTTGAACATGTAAATTAGATTGAAATAAAATTGATCGGAGTAAGGAGTATTTTCTTTGTCATTGTTTTATCAAACTATCGACTGTCGAGTCTTATATCCTACATTACTATTACACGACTTTATTTTTTTTTTTATCCTCCATCGTGATATAAATTATAAAACACAATGAAGTTACTTTCAAGTTACACTCAATTTTACATTAAATATTCAGAACTAAATCACCAAGTATTGATTTAATTATTTTTTCAAACTTATAATTATAATTATATTTATTAACATTTAATTATTTGTAGAAAAAAATTATTTTTCTTTTATTTTTAAATTTCATTTTTACTCTTGTTACTTTATAAATAATTACATACATCTATCATAATTATGTATTGAGGCTACTTGCCATGCAATGACAACGATATCATCATTACTTAGAATTGACCAATTTTCTATCACTAGATATTACTGAATTAAAAAAAAAAAAAAGAAAAAAAAATTACATGCTCGGTTTTTTTTTTTCATCGATAAACCTACATATACCCTCTAGATGACATTACAATACAAAAAAGACACAGTAATTGTGGTTTAGACAAAATAAAAATGGCTTTTTTTTCTCAGAAATTTCGCTCTAGATGATTAATTCTTCGAATTATAGGCTTGAAAATGGGCATGCGATGAAAGAAGGTTGAATTCGTTGATTTCTAAGAAATTATGTTAAATCGGAATGTTTACAATTCTTATTTCTTGTATTCTAAGTTAAACAGAAATCAATATACTATAGATTGATTGTATAATTTATTCATTGTTTTTACGTTTGCAACTAGCACGAAAGTTGTAAAGAGAAATCGAGTAAAGAAAAGGAGGGGAGGGAGGGGAGAAAAATACCAAAAAAAATTTTACCTGCAATTTTCAACAAGAAAATTTCTTTTTTATCGATACTATTTTTGTAAGGCTTGGAAAATAATAAAGCATTTATTACTCTTGGGGTAAATTTTTTTTTTTTAGGTTAAAAATTATTGAGTTAAAATTAAATTGATTGAGTGTATAAAAAGTGTGTGAAAAAAGTATTCAGTGATTATAAGGTTGATTAGTACGAATAGATACAAGTGGAAAAATGCATCATGTGACGGTAAAAAGTAGAAAGTTGATGGTAATAATAATAATAATAATAACAGTTGGAGTGAAGAAGATAATAATAATAGTATAAAAATTGCATATAGAAAGGTTGCCGGAAATAAGATGAATGCTTTTATCGTATTGATTCACGACTGTTGACTGGTCAATTTTGTTTATAATTAATTCATTGATTGAATAAAATATTAGAAGCTTCATAAAAATTTAATTGATTTCGTGAGTATATTCTTTTTTTTTTATTAAAAATGTCATGAAATGATTAAATTGAATGCATTTTACAAATTAAAAGTCGATTAATGAGTCTGTTAATAAATAATACGAAATATTCAGTTAATGGAACGTTACTTCTTGCATTAATTATTCAATTGTAATCTTAATTGATGATCAATTTTAGTTGATATTAATGAATTTTAGTTTAATAGCGAAATAAAAAAATGGGGCTCAACAATCTTCGAAGTGCCCACACGATAAACATTTTATTATAGGATTACTATTAATGGTATGAGTGTAATATTTATTAATTGTTTAAAACAAATTTTTATTGTTGTAAACAATATGCTATTGTCGAAAGACATGTACAGTCGTTTATAACAATAATTCATTGATAATGGCTAAATTTATTAATGACATTCATCATTCATTCAGTAGAAACAATTTTAAATTGTTTATAACAATTTTCATAAACAATAACATTTTGATAAGAACTCGATAATGAAATTTTTTTTAAATAAATAAATTATAAAATAATGGCGAAATGAATAAAAAATACTGATGACAAATAAATTTTTACCGAAACGGTAATATAAATAGTTGGCCAATAAAAATTCTATCCAAATTCTAAAAGGGTAAAAATTTTCCTTGTATTTATTTTACCTTAATCTACACCGGAAGGTAGTAAAAAATCAAAATTATCCTATACAGAGAGAAGAATTGAGTAAGAATGATATATTACAGAGGAGGAAAATTTTACTACTTTGCGGGGTAAATTTTACTTTTTTTTGTAAAGTATACTAGAATAATTATTTTACTGCACAGAAGAGTAATTTTTACTCATTCTCTTCTGTGTATATTGAAAAGTGAAATAAGCATTACACTAGGGGTAAAATTTTACCCCCATTCATAAATCTAGATTTTAAAGTTTATTGAGTCACAGTCAATCAAAATTGTGTATTTTACCTAATTTTTTGGCCTTCATTTCGGAGTAAATTTTTACCCCAAACTGCTTGAGTAGATAATACAATTTTAAAAGGATCTCTGGAATGATTCATCTGAATGTAACCAATTTTTTATCATCAGTAAAAAGGTCACTGTTTCCTTTTATGTAATTCATGTCTTCTAGTATATTTATGCACTATATTATTATTGTTATGTTAACTATTACACCATCACTTATCATAATCAGATCATAAAATATAACCTAATTTTATTTACTTATCTTTGCAACCTCAGATCCGTAATAACTATTTATTTACCGTGGATGATGAATCATGGATATGAAATTGTTTAAAATATCACGTACTTTTTTTCAAGACAATTTATACCAAGGACTTAAATGCAATAGCAGCAAAACTATTTATAGAAAAAAAATGACCAGAAGTAATCAATCTTGAATGAGATATTAAAAAGAAAAAGTAAACAAAAAAAATTAGATCAACATATTTGGAACAGTGATGGTCTTAATATAATGATATGTACTGTTGAAAATTAATGACAAGACTTACCTGAATTTTATTGTCGTGAATTCTATTGATAGTTACCAGACAAACATACTTATTAATGCAACTCATTTTGCTTCATAATAATCTGCACCATCGTAATCATCACTGTAGTATCAATACCTTCAAGACAAATATTGAATGTTTTCAAACAAAATAAATATACGCTGACATCAAAAAGATTTTATCGATTAGATGATCGATAAAGTAGAATAAATAAACAACCATCTTTATTGACACTATTATTTTTATCTTTATACATTTAATATTTTAAACTTTGAATTGAAATAAATAGAAATATTTCTTTGATCAACATTTCTGCACGGCGTGAGAAAAGTGGTACTTTTCCATCTCCTAATTAAGAGTGGTATTATATTTTAAACAGTCAATGAAATCAGTTTAAATCAAATGATTGCCTCAATTTTACTCACAGTTAAAGTTGGTTAACTTTTCCCTCCTAGGTAGGAAATGTACCACTTTCCATACACCTTCAGGAAAAATTTACTCTTTCATACGAGATAAATGGAACTTTCTAGACAAGTATATCAATAAAGAATATTCAGCTATGAATAAAACAATTGACGTTTTTCTTTTATCAATTGCAATGATTGATTTATTTCCTAGATGGCATCAATTCGTTTGTTTATTTATATTACCTAGCAGACCCTTCACATAGATTTATCGTGAAATCTAGGATAATGTTTACCCTTTAATTTTGGCTCTCTAATTACATACTTCACATCTATCAATTTCAACCAACCTATTCATTTTTACGAAACTTCTTATCTTATTTTGATCACTTCATTGACTCACGACTATCATCTATATCTATATCATAATATTACATAATCACGAAGTGATTAATTATCAAACATGACAAAGTAATACTAAATCACAGGGTAAAAAAAAAAAAAATTAGCCTAAAGAAAGCAAACTCACGCAGTGCTATACATTTAAAACTCAAAACTGATCATACAATTTGATATAAAAAGAGGTAATGACACATATTGTAGGTCGAATTGATTAGGATCATTGACGTAATCAGTTCAGGACGTTACTAATGTTATTGGTGTAGCACATATTTTGATACGCTTTTATCACCAAAGATAAATAAATGATTCAATAAAAATAATACTAGGAGATTCCATACATCTATCACATGTTAGTAAAAAATAAAAAAAAAAAAAAATAGTTTGTATTAAATAATTAAAAACTTCTATCTCTGATTGACTAAGTCTTGATTAAAGATAACGTTAAATTCAACACTAGAGGGCAGACCTTGAACATTCTAGATAGCTTGTCCTTAAAAGTAGAATATGCGAGAAAAAAAATGCCTTAACGAAAAAGTGATTTAAACAATAATTACTTTAGATTTATTAATGTTTATAAAGCCTTGTCCTTAGCTATTCATCACGCTTCACTAAACGACCTCAACTTCTAGGTAATACCGACTTATACTGATATGAAACATTGTCTATGTAATTAATATTTATTTAATGTTTATGTTTAACCGTGATATTAATTCAGCCATTACACTCTAGTATTTCCGTTTTCCTTAAGAGTTAACAGGTAATTAATTAGTGAGTTTATTGATTAAAGTAGGAAAATGTCTAGTTTTTTTTTTCTTTTATCTATTATACGGATATTGTTGGAAAGTATTATATAAAAATAATTTTTAAAATGAATATTCGTGATTTTTATTACGTATATTAAGTGAAAATAAATTGTCCATCATTGGCAATGAATTTTTTTAATTACTAATTTTTTTTTTATCAAGCAAAAAAAATTTTTTTGTTTATTGAATAGAATTAAATACAATCTGTTTCTATTTAACAATAAGTAATTTTTTATAAAGGACATAAAAGGAGTTCTTAGGAGGAACTTCTTCATTGGGTCACTCAATCAAATAATAATAATAATATAAAGAGTAACAATAGAGCTAAATAAAAATAAATAACTAATAAAAAAAGTATGCATCAGTCAAAAACTAACGGCGTTTGAAGTGAAACTTTTTATGTAATACAAAATAAATAATTAATAATTTTGTTAATAATTGTTAGCAATAATTATCATTAATAACTAATAACAAATTTTCACTTCTGTGTTCGATAACTATTCTCGACGTCTCTTCTTTGTTCAAATCTTCATATGTATACTTTTTCTGTCTCTCATATTTCATAGTCGAATAGCAGGGAATTAAAAAAGGACAACAGATTTTAGTTAGCTCGATGAGTTTACTGTCAATCTCAAACCTAGCGTAGCATCTCATAAAAAAGAAACGTACGAATAAAACACAAAGAAGAGAATATGCCATTCTATCTGTTGAAATGACTAATAAGGTCAGCTGGTTTGAATTTTTTCACTCTTCAGATAATTTGGTCCTCGTTGAATAGCAGTAAAGATTGCTTAAAAAAAATGTATATCCCTAGGATAATATCAAACATAACTCCTCTGATTCATCACTTAAGTATAATAAAAGGCTCAATGAATTACCGCAATATATTTCAAGATGTACAACGAGCAATTTTCAAATTAGGAAAATTGAATTGAGTTGACAAATAATAAGACTAAAAACATTATCGTGTTGCATATAAATGAAAGCAGTTTAAATTTCTCCTTCATCATAACCACTTGTTGCTCTCATGAATATTCTTATCACATGTTGCCCCCACTTGTGGCATAATAAACAAGTGCATCATAAAATTAACAATAAAATTTATGTGTCCAGGCCCAAGCAAATGGGTTGAGATGTTTCCAATGGCAGCTGGATCAAGACAAAGTCCAGTAAATATTGAGACAAGTCGTGCTGAGTCTGACCATGAAGCTCTAAGCAGCAAACCACTGCGTTGGAAATATGCATCAACTGCTTCCAAAACATTAATTAATCCTGGATATTGTTGGAGAGTGGATTGTGATGGTGATGGAACTTGTAAGTATATCTTTTGAAATTCATTATATCTTCACTGCAAATCTTACATTTAAAAGTGTTTTATTTTAATGTTTAATTAATAAAGCCAAGATATGTCTCAGTATAAAATTGATTGTACATTAAATTGTAAATTTTTGACGGATTGACTCTGCCTGGTGCTCAATCATTGTCTTCTTTTTGTTTATTTATGAGAAAGTTAATTACTCATTAATTATAAATTTACAATAAAATCCCTAGTAATAATTGCCTATGTCTAAGACCTGTTAGCTTGTGGCACAACAGGCAGACTAGCACAGTTTTGTTGTTGCAACTTAAGGTGTTTAAAATGATTGATATTGATTAACATTGAAGTCATTTTTTAAACACTTTTTCCATTTGAAAAAACACACTGGTATGCTCCAGGGAATGTCTTGGATTTGCGAGCACCTAAAGCTCAAAAAACCCAAGGACCACGACGTGTTAGACATGGGTGAGGTCCACTGTCTTGTAGACGATGTGCTACTGTTTAAAAATGACTAAATCACTGAAATGGCTTTGTTTAATTCTGGTTTCTTCAATGCATGACCACTGGCTCCTTTGATTATGATTATTTACAGACTCACTCTGTATGACTCTTAAGTATTTTTGCTCGGAATATCACTGAATTCTCTGTAATATTCATTCAAGTACCAGGTGTAGTTTACCTCCACACCCATTGAAGAATAGCATTTATGACTGGTACTGTCGTATTATCAGGCAAAATTATCAATTAATTTTATAATGGATAATTTAAAAAATGAAAATATCAATTACTGAATAATCATTAATATGCAGAATTAAATTATCAATTAATAAAGTAATTTGTCATTTTATAAATCAAATTACATTATGCCTGGTTCTAGAAAAATGTTAATCAATTTCTTCAGGTAGTTTGTATTAATTTTATTATTAGCAATACAATTAAATGATAAAAATTAATATATATATATTTAATGTTGATATAGAAAAATTTCCGTGACTCATTATGTTACATAGTGACAATAGTAAACAATTTTTATGATAGTTAATTATTTTTTCTCTCAATATCAGTAATTATTTTTTTAATATCACCGGAAATAATAAAAGAAAAAAAAAAGAATCCAGTTATTTTATCAGTCATCCATTGTTCTTTCATCACAATTTTTAACATTACTATTGATGTAATAATATTTAAATTATTCATTAATTTAATTAATCAAAGATAATAAAAATATTCATAATCATTGATAATATCTATTTTAGTCTTGACTGGTGGTCCATTAGTAGACGACGTTTATAAATTGGAACAATATCATTGTCACTGGGGTTGCAGTGATTCTAGAGGCTCTGAACACACTGTTGATGGTCAAGCATTTGCTGGCGAGGTATCTATAACATCATTTTTTATTACTACTTTTTTACCTTTAATTACCATCAACTTGATATTTTTCGGTCAAATTTCCACTTTAAAAATAAATAGTAAATTTTAAGAAATTATTTAAATACTTTTATTTATTACAAACATTTTACTGTTAATTAAAAATAAATTTATACCTTTTATTCTTAGTTACATTTAGTACATTGGAACACAACGAAATATCGGACATTTGCAGAAGCAGCTAAAGCACCAGATGGTCTAGCAGTATTAGGAGTTTTTCTCAAGGTTAGTCTATTAAATATTGCACATAGGTCTATACATGACATGTTATCATATTATTAATAATACCTGAAAATAGAAACAATGAATTTAAAAACACTTGGTTAGATAAAAATACATTATTTCATTATTATTAAATAATAAAATGATTCTCGGTTTTTATTTTTTTTCATGTTACTAATTTTTTTTCGTCAATTTATTTAACTCACAACTTTGATGCATTTACGTAATGAACTAGAAGGTATAATTTCATCTCAAATACCGATTCACTTGAAAAACATAAAATTACGAAATTTTTTTTCATTACATAAGACATGGATATTTTTCACATAACTTATACGGATTGTTGTGGTCGGTAATAAATTCTGCCGGACACACAATGTTACATATTAACATTGAAAAGATATTTAAAGAATAAAAAAAGAAAAAAGTATTTAAGATTAAGTTATTTATTTTTTTTTTTACGATTAATAAATGCATGTACATGCGTGCATACCTGATTCAACTCAAGCAATAATATATTCTAAATAACAAAAAACTTAATTTTTTCTCCCATAAATAATGTAATTATATCAATTTTTTGATAACCGTATGCGAACCGTACGGTTCGCATTTATCCGAAATCAGCGCCACCTAAATAATTTTCCCAATGTATCCTCAGACAATGATTTCATATTATAAATGGTTCTTTAGTGTGCTCAAATCGTAATGATATTAAATTGTTTGATTTGTTTTAAGGTGGGTAAGACTCATGATGAACTCGACAAAATATGCCGTCTATTACCGTACGTTTCGCACAAAGATGAGGTTGTTGGAATAGTGGATTCAATTGATCCTAATAAACTTCTTCCAGGTAACACTTTCATTATATCTTACTAATTATTATTATTATATTATAATAATTTTCAAAAATTTTAAAAAATCAGCTTAACAATTTCTTCCTTATCGACCTTAATAAGAATAATTTATTTATAAAATTAAAATTCCTTTGTTTCTATTTGGCACTTTGAAGTTACTATTGATTAACTAAAACCTTAAAACATCGATTTCTTCACTACTTCATTACTGAATAATTTAAAAATGAAAGGTCAATGACCCCACCATGACCTTCTAACGATGAACTAATAATTGTCCTTCACAAAACAGATATTTTTGTGTTATATTCAATAATACTTATGACCACAATTTATATGAAATTAACGCTACACCCATTGTCTTTTAAATATGTTCACATTAATAATAATAATGACTAAATAAATGATAACAAACTAACAGTACGTGGTGGACGTGCGGGTCGGTGTGTGAATCCATGCATGCGATGGACCGTCAAAATAATACGAGAAGCTAGCAATAAAACTAGTTTTCAAGGTTGGTAACATGAAATCACGAGATTCAGCAATGAATGAAAATTACCGATTATAACGTTTGCACTTGTGTACATATTTGCACTCATTAATGTCTTTGATTTTTAATTAAATCACATTTTCTATTCTGATTATAAAGAAAATATATTTGCATAAAAAGTTAGTGCACTTTGATCATAAAATTACTTAAGAATTATTTACAATTGCATTTATTGCTACCTGTTAAGCTAGTAAAAAATGTTATCATTTCATTTTTGTTCTGAATCAGATTAACAAGTATAGTATAATATTCATCATTTTACTAATGCAAATATTCAAGCTTATTTATAAATTAACTTTAGAAAGTAAATTTGCAATAAAAAAAAATTGATTTCATGAATATTTCAACGATTCACATCAAGTGGTAATGTAGAAAATTGCTTAACCGGCTCACAATAGCACCTTATCGGCTGTAGTAATGTAAATCACTGCACAGAATGATAATTCTAGGTATATTATCGATATATGGTAATGCAGGTTGCTGCATACATCGATAATTGGATTCAAATAGAATGCAGAAGTAGATAATATTTTTTTTTTACTCTTTTTTTTAATGTAGTTAATAATTTTAATTTTTTTTTCAATGAATCTAGATGATAATGGCTATTGGACTTATTTGGGTTCCTTGACTACTCCACCATGCAATGAAAGTGTAACTTGGGTTCTTTTTAAAAAATATATTGAGGTCTCCCATCATCAACTTAACATCTTCCGTAATTTAAGAAAGTTTCCACGTGGTGCTGAATGTCCATGTCATGAAAATCATGGAGTGGTAAGTCAATTAAATTTAAATTTAGCGGTAAAATGACGGTAAAGATGAAAGAATTATTTTAGACATTCTTTAATCTTTATTTGCAATTATCTCGTAAACTATAAGAGCTACGAAAAAAAGTTTCAGACAAAAGTTGAAGATTATTCAATTTTACACAAAAAAGGTCCCTATACTTTATTCTGTATCTTTAATTGTTTAGCTGAAAAATAATTATAAAGATCAAAAATTGATGTTATGCAGAGTATCTTAATTTTACGACTTTCTAGACTGGTTTTTTATTAAGTTTAATTAAATATTTATATTTATAATAACTGTTACAGGTCATCAATAATTTCCGTCCACCATTGCCACTAGGAAATCGTGTACTTCGTGAATGCGGCAGTTTTTGAATTTTTTTTTTTACTATTAAAAGAAGGAATGGAAAACTGATGGAAGAAGCCATCGCGGGGGGAAGAGGATTTATATACGATATATATCTATACATATACACATTTATGAATTTATATAAAATAACAAATTATTTAACTAATATAATATTAATAATGGATTAACAAATTTTATGAAAATATATTTATATAAAATGATAAACTTTTAATAATTATATTTTAAATGCATATTATGTAAGCAGCTAAGCTTTTGCAAGATCAAATATGTCAAAAATGATGTAATTGTTATTATAAGTTTGAAAGAAAAGTTTAATGAATGTCTGTATAACTGCACTATTTATCTATAATTATTATATACATAAAAAAGAAAAATATATATATACTTACATACACTCTATAAATTTATATTTATGATTGATGGTATATAATAAATTTATACAACATTTAAATTGTGAAAACATTGATATTAACTGTGATAGAAAAAAACTAAAAAAAATTAGGTAGAAACATTCATAATTGTATTAAATGAAATAAATTTATACATATGATTATATAATTTTCTAAAAAATAAAATTTACGAATTTATTAAATTATTTTAATTGAATATTTAAATAATAATTGAAGCAAAAATGTATTTTATTTTGTCGATATGAGTATTAAATAATTTATTATCTTATTGAAGAAGAAAAAAAAAAATGGAAAATAAATTTTCTTTCTATCTTTGAAGAAAAATAACACGTTGTTATATATTTTTTAAACTTGAAAATGTCGTAGTTTATTTTTGTTTTAAGTGTTATTACTAAAACTTGACAGTTAATTGGCTTTAAAATTAATTTAAAAATTGGTAGTCTTTATTACTTTTCATTTTTTTAAGAATAAATGATTAATTTAAAAGAGGAATTATTTATTGAACTAAAAAAAGATGAGGTTTGTGATGAATAAATTTGTTTAAATTCTTTTGTAAATGGATGACAATTGTCTATTGGTAAAATATTGATTTCTAAAAACAATGGATATTGCAAAATAAACTGAATAAATTAAATAATAAATTTTTCTTTCGATTTTACAACAATATTTCAAAAGTTTTCAAAGTTGAAAATGTAAATAATTTTCAATAAAATATCGTCAAGTCTGAAGACTTTGCAATGTTTTTTTTTATCATTAATTTATTTTTTAAAAGAGTGGACTCTAAGGTTAAACCTATGCCACATTTATCACCACTTACCTCTATTCGTCATTTTTTTTCCTTTTCTAGTTTTTCTGTGGTTGGCTTTATTCCATAAAATTTCTAGAACTTCAGCTTTATTAATCTACTATAAATGTATTCTTATTATAATTAAAACCATGATAACAACATAATTGATCATAATTACTAATCTATCAATTTTAGGTTAATATAAAATCATATATTTGAGTCTTTAAATATATAACTTTAGCTTCAGAGTTTATTAAACTTAAACTTTAATATGTGGTGATACATAAACAATTACCAAATAATTGTTCACAGTAGCTATTAAATATTTTATCAGAGAAGCATGAAGAATTAAAAAAAAAATGTTGTTGTTTCATAGAGACAAACAATGGTTTTAATTACAAAAGATAAATTTAAAAAGCTTGATAAGTAGTCCAAAATTGTGCCAAAAAAGTTTATCCTTTATTTTCGTCTTATTTTGGTCTTTTTTATCCAAATTTATTGCCATTTTACGGTGCCACAAAAACTGTAATCGTACCCTTGGATTTTTGTTCCAATTATTAGGTTATTTATACTTAAAATATCGCAATATTATTGAATAACTAATTTTCATCTTCACATTCTAGTCAAATTTTCATAATAAAATTGTATAAAAGTCATCAAGTGACTTAAATTAATTAAAAATTATTATTTAAAAAAACAATACTTAACCTAACAATTAACTATTATGTTTCCAATTAATCAACACCATTGTCCAATTACTTCAATAATCAATCAATACCTCAATAAATCCTAATAAACATCTCATAAACAATTTTTCCAATCAAGAAACAAAAATGTTCATCCTCTTAATAAACCGTTGGACATTTTTTTTCCATCCAAGAGTCATCACTATTAACAAACTACTCACTCACAAAAAAATTGCAATTAAAATTACACTTTAATAATCCGATTATTAATCTTTAATACTATTATTATCGTCATTCGCATTATTAGTCGATGATTCATTTGTTATAAAAAATAATTACTTAACAAACGTACAAACTCCGGCGCATGCGCGGTGTTCTCAGAACTCACAACTACATCAACATTCTTGTGTACATATACAACACTTTTACAGCCGGCATTACCGGCAGTTGAGACTGATTCTCCACAAGACGGTTCCCTACAAGTCAGTGTTCTGCGTGGATCCAACTTCGTACCAGTGATCTAATCATCTCAGTGTAATTCAAACTATCGTCCAGTTAACTTGATACCACTTCTTGGAACTAACAATCAACAACAACAACATGGCTATCTGTAAGTATAACCTTTTTATATCATTCATAAATTCATTCTTCTTCTTCTCCAGCACCTTTCAAATGATTACCTCCATTATTTATTCCAAACAATCACCAATAAATGATTGTTTTTACCTCGAAAACCATTTTTCTGACTTTAAAATGAGGTTATAATGGTCTTTAAGGACAACAATATTAGCACTAGACAATTGTCAACATCATCATCATCATAACAGATTTTCATTTACACTTTGAATGATGTAAGATAATATTATTAGATGTGGTTTGAGTTACATTGGAGATGAAATGAATTGGAATTTAATTATCAAAATTATGAATAATATAAATAGTGTGTAATATTTTTGGTTAGAAGATGCTAAAACGATTGAAAATAATTTGATGTATGAAGAAGGAAGTTGATGATAAATGTCTAAAAATAATCATGGGTGTGGTTATTATTGGTTTGACAAACTAACGATTTGAATATCCAGTTTAGTGTCTTGATACATCTACTTATAAATAGTAATCTCTAATGCATTGAATAAATATCAATGCAAAAAAAAAATATGCCGGTTAATTAACTCGTGGGATTATTTCAAGATTATCTTTGGATTCTAAAGGTATTATTTTTTATTTTCTTTCTTTAAACATAATTTATTCAGTTAGTTTGATGTTTTTAAATGATTATTGATATTCTTTTTTTTTAGCTAATTTATCTTGCATTTTAATTGCTACATTGTTGAACGATCACGTCACATACCGAATACAAATCTGTCCTTGTGGTAATATAATGTAATATCCAGATTATTTCGCAATAACAACTAGTCAAATAATTCTTGAAATTCCTCCTTTTTATTCAATTTGACATTTCGTCTGCTGTAACTATTATTCATGTCGTCATCTTGTTTTACATTTTATCGACGTTATTTTGGATGTTTTAGAAGTATTCTTCAATACATAATCATAACAAAAGGTGTTTAAAGACTGATAATAACTTATTTTTGAACAAAAGTATTCTATATAATTCTTTAAATATTAATGACGATAATGAATCATCATAATTCCATTGGAATTTATTTTTTAAACATTTAATATATTCGATGAAATAAAGTTATAGATAATAATTAAAAATCAAATCTTAATATGGTTGAAAACAACTGACCTAAGACATCTCCAGTCTGCAGTCATGCTGATGACGTAAACAAAATTCAATCATGTAATTCTATTATATCTATAGATCCTAGTGTATCCTAGAAAACTGGGTTAACTAAGGATTGTGATTCTGAAGAAGTGTGTGTGTGTGTGAATAACATGTTCCGATTGACCTCCAACTTTTACTGCTTTTCCGGTACTAACATTGTTATGAGCAGTGAAAATGAAGATTTATGCTTTGCATGTTAAATTGATGTTAGTAGTTTTTGTCGACGACATAAAAAGTATTCAGCTTGCTCTAATTTTCTGATGAGATAAGGATATTGATCATGAATGAATTCTTTTTTTTTTCAATGAAATACATTTATTTTGTTTTTTAACACAGTTGGAGTTTTAAAGAAAAAAGAAATCGTAAATAATTTTAAAGGAATAGTTTGAAAGATGTTTGAAATAATTTAAAAGCCTAGAAATTAAAAAATTTTTGACATTATTCCTATTTATGAATCTACATGGACGTTTCTTCACTGGTTAAAAAATTCTAATCATTTTAAGGTGTCATGGCGGAATTTAATTATCATTTGTCATGAGTCTTTTATTGAAAAATTATTTATTTTACGATTGTTATTACACTTGTATCATAAATCTTTGTTTTCCGATGTGTATACCACTTTTCTAAATATTCCTAGATATTTTTCATGTGGAAATAACAAATAAAAAATGCACAGTTTGATGAGAAAAATTTGAGGTGATTTGAGGTTAGTAAAGCTCAGCTCAAATCAGCTTAAAAATTATGCCAATGTTTATAGCAGACTTATGTCTGTTTCTAGTTGGGTAAAAGTCATAATAATTCTTTCTATTTAATAAATTAATAACAATCAATATCATTTATTCAAAAATACTAGTTAATTTCAATCTCCCTCTGTTGGAACCCCTTAAATAAATTCGTACTTTAGTTTTATGGATACTTTTGGAGGACTAGAATTTCATTTGAAGACTTTAATTTGAAGTAAAGGAAGACTTATGTCCAATTGTACAATTATTTATTGTAAAATATTTGGTCAGACTTATTGTTAAATTATTATTGAATAGAATGATTATAGAACTTCCGGTCAATTTTACATACGGAATAAAAAACACTGAGACATGGACTTATTCTGATTATGATATGATCGATGATGATAAAAACTGACAAGACTAATGATTAGGTCATTCATATTAAGCCATGACAACTCATCTTGCCTACCAACTAGACTTGGTCATCAGAAAGATTTAAATGATTGCTTCATAGCTATTAAAATACAGTTTGAATTCATTACAAAATTGTAATCATTATTGCTTATTAAGTCTTGAGACATTGTCTTTATTTTATTTAATAATCATTTTTATCTATAAAAGTGAACTAATAATTTAATTTTAATTTATTATCATTTTATTTAATATCTATTATTAAATATAATTAAAGTCAATGTCCCAATTTATTCTTGTTAAATGCATTCTACTTTTTTAATTAAAAAATATTTCACAGAAATGTTTATTACCAATTTCTTTTCGATTAAAAATTTGCAGTAAATTATAAAATTGGGTTGGAAAGTTTTAACAAATTTTTCGTACATATCTTCAAGGATTTTTCGCTTCAAAATCAGATTAATTATAAATATTATTAATTATTATTAATTACTTCATTACATTATTAATTAATTATTATTAATCACTGATCATCATTAATGACTTCAAACAAACTAAACTTATTATGATTTATTCATCAATTTATTTGATGATGTATATTCAATAGAAATAATGCTTTGATATTTTTTATAATTACATAAGTAATTAATTAGTTAAAATTTGATTTTGTTCAGAAAGTTATCATCTTTATCATCTACCAAGCACCAAACACACTTAGAGATTTTTTTCTGAATTACTTATTTGTTTCCATGTTCGTCTATATTGTTTTCATCAACATTAGAATCACTTCCGTATGATATCATAATAGTTTATCAATGAAGACAATGCTGATGTTTGATGACGTTCATCAACATGTTACTTCCTTTTGCTAATTATATTTCATGTAGCGTTACATTCTACGTGGCAGTATTTTCTAAGTATAGATGTACTTGGTGTATTGTGTAGTTGCTAGGTGCAGTGGTCTAGAGTACAGGTCAATGACAGTCTCATGGTGTAACAGTTGAAGCAGCTGAAGAAGTTTCAAATAAAAAAGGTACTAAGCCAACTGCCGATGAAAATGAAGATAATTGAATTTTGTAGAACTTTTTTACCCCTGTCTGTTTTGTTGAATATAATCTCTGTAATTTTGTGCTATTTAGTTGATGTCATGTACAAGTAAATTGACTGCTGCACTGGTTTTTAGGTTCTCATGATTAGCAGATGATTCAGTTGTTACCAAGTGACGAGCTGTAATATACCCCACATGTATAGGTTATGTTGTAAAAATTACAGCTATCCAATTAGATTAGCATAAATTTAATGTTGTGATAAATAACGTATGTAGATCATGGAGATAATGATTAGCAACCTTGGAGGGAACTATTATTTTTTTTTTTAGTTTGGTCATCATGTAATGTCATTGAATGCCATTAGACTCTAACGAAAAAATAACATTTATCACCTAGGGTTTAATTACCGTCATTTTCATAACCTTATTTATCTATTATAATTAAGAGTTCAATTACTGCAAATATTTTATCGTAGAGATGAATATTTAGTAATTGAATTTGTGATAAAAATAAAAATTATTGTATGCATAGAATAGAAAATGGCTTGGAAGGAAGTCTTTCAATACACAGAAATGTGAAGGAAAGTAATCTAAGGGGCAAGCGGAAGAGAGGGAGTGAAAGAGAGACTTGCTGGAAACTTATTCATTCTTTGCCATTATCTATGTTTCTGTGTATTTAGATTCTAGACCAGAACACATTTTTCAAATACCAAAGACTATTTTCTGGGGTAAAAATAGATATTTTGAAGTAGGGGAGATACTTTTGATTATATTTTACACAGTAGAGGAATAGAAGAATGAATTTTTTAATTTAATTAATTTTAAAACATTACTGAAATTTCAGGTAGAGTTCCGTTCTAGAGACACCTTCAAAAATAAATTCTTTGTGCTGGGATACACTTAAATAGTTAATAAATTTATGGTCTTGACAGAATGAGTAGTCTATATGTGTTTAATTGGATAAAGTGGAGGTGCACACCTAGAAAGGAACTTCTTCCGAAATTTCTTTATCCTCAAATAAATTGAATTGTTTAATGAGTCATGTGTTTTTTTTTTCTTTTATGATTTAGCTTTATCAACGGAAGACAAATTGGAGTATCAATTCTACCCAGTATCAGGTGGACAAATTCAATTTCGTGTACGTGCACCAAATGATGTCCATGTTGCTCTCACTTATGGCCCACAAGAGGGTGAACCAATGTATGAGGTAAATATGTTTTTCTTATACCCCCGTTCAAAGTTAAAGTTTTCTCCCTGCGCATGCGCAGACGAATTTTTGTCTTTCTGTACGAGTGAGAAAAATCCACTTTTCCTACCACATAAACATTTTTCTATCGAATTATTTTATAATTAATTTTCAAGTTATTATTCATTCATATTTTAATAATGTTTCTTTACATGATTACATATATAAGTTACCGTTAAACGATTAATCATAAATTAAATTTAATGATGAAATCGTGTATTTATTATCTTAAAAGTAATATTGTAATAAATATGGTAATATTCGTGTCATTATTCAGGTTTTTATTGGAGGTTGGAGTAACAGTAAATCTGTGATCCGTAAGAACCGTGCAAAACCGGAAGTCGTTGAAGTTGAAACTCCTGGAATATTAAGTAATGATGAACTGCGTGGCTTTTGGATTAGGTAAGCTATCAAAAGCAATTGAAAAGTTTTACTTTTAATTTAATTGATAATAAATAATTTATGGATCAGATGGCAACCAGGAGTTATCACTGTCGGTAAAGAAGGCGAACCCTCTCCATTTTTGACAGCTGAAGATTACGAAATTTCTCCCTTCACCTATTTCGGTATTTGTACTGGCTGGGGAGCAACAGGAGAATGGCTTATTGAAGGTATTTATTTATATTCTTAATAAACTTATTATTAATTAAACGAATAATTTTATTTGATTCGATTAAAAAGTGTAGCTTTAGTTCTTTATCGACTCTATTGCTTTTTTTTTTGTATTAAAAGGAATAATTTAGAAATATTTCTATTATTAAATGGTGAAACATGATTAATAATAATGGTGACTTAAATTCTTCTTCTGTTTAACTAATTTAATCTGGGATATATACCAACACTCTTCAACTATTCAGCAAGATGTATTTCGGGTTATGGTGGAGACAGTACGTAATAAAAATATTTAGAGCCATTAGGGCTTTTAGATGTTCACCTGTGACATGATTTATTAATCACGAATATTAATGTAAATAATTTTTTTCATAATAAAATTTTGAGTTCTCTTGATAATTTTACAATCAATTATCAAGACAATTCAAGGTATCATTTTAATAATGATGATTACTTTTTAATAATATTAATTTTAATAACAAAAACATTCACTGATTTTCATCTTTAACTTACGGTTTGATTATTATTGCTTGTATATTTTATGTATTAATAATTCTTTTTATGTAACTAAAATATTTTAATATTGTAACTGTTTGACTTTTATTTCCATGTGATTATTTTTAATGGTATCATTCAATCTGACTGATTATGTGTAGTCCATGGAAAGTAAAATATTATATCACTTCTCAGATCCTCATGCGAATGTAACACCATCAGCTCCCCTCCAAATGGGTGGTGGAGGAGGTGATGGTAGCGTTTGCTGGTGCGATGCATCAGGTGGTATAATACCACCCAATGCAGTAGAAGGTGGTCGAGATGATGAGCCCCTATTTGTAGGAAGGGCTAATCATGCAGGTGCTCTGATTCCTGGTAAAGTTAAAGCAAGCCATGGAGTATGTTATGTAGCATGGGGTGGTGAAGAACATGGGAAACCTGACTATCAAGTAAGTTAATTAAATTCTTTTTCTTATAGCTTTCAACCATTTGATCCTATAATTCATTTTAAAACCCAAGTATTTGTTGATTCTAAAAAGTAATGTTCAATATTTTAGGTTCTTTGTGGATGCCATCCTCAATGGGTTCCCACTAGTGGCGGAAATGTACCACCAAATGCAATTCCAGCTGGAGAAACAGAAGACGGTGAACCACTATTTGTCGGTCGCGTTAACCATGAGGGAACTGTGACCATTGGCAAAGTTCAAGCATCTCATAATGTCTGTTACATCCCATACGGAGGATCTGAAGTTGCATTTCCTGACTATGAGATTCTAGTTGGACAATAAAATATTCTATGAAGAAAGAGAAAGAGAGAAAGAAAAAAATGAAAATTCTACTGCATTAGATTAGCTTGCATTAAATGAAAGATCTGAAAAACAGGAGATTATATATTACAATAAATGTGATTGATTTACAATTAACAGGGAATATGCCTTTAAAAGGTAGATTGCTTTTGCACTGGCAGTTAATAAAAGTTATATTAGATGGCTTTTGCCAATATTTATAAATAATGTTATTAAACATGTTAGAAAAATATTTATATTACAAATGCCTATTTTTTTAACTCACATTTTTTGGCTTCTGTCAATAAATTAAATGATCATAAAATTGATTAACTATGAGAAATAATTTATCATATAAATGTTTACCAAATTTCATGATTAAATAAATAATTGTTCAACAATAAAACGTTGAATTATTGTTTAATTCACTTGAAGACATGAAAAATGATTCTTTATTGAGATTCTTTTATTTATTTCGTCAGATTAAATAGAAAAATATTGAATTTCTTGCTATTGCTCATCTATTTGAGACTAAAAATTCATTATGTTACGTTTGGTATTGCTCTCGGAGCAATAAATACAAATAAAAACGAAGACTATTATTAAAATTTCAAACTATATACAATTATATAGCATTAAAAAAAAATTTTGTCATTTCTTTTTATTCAAAATGCTGATCAATATTCTTTTTTTTCTCATTGATTTATATTCTTTAATTGAAAAAAAAAAAATGTCAACAACACGTGGTGTTCCCAAGCGGTCACCCATCCAAGTACTAACCACGCTCAATGCTGCTTGACTTCAGTGATCAGACGAGAACTGGTATTTTCAGCATGATATGTCGTTGACGATAGTTTGAAAAATTTTTTGCTTTAACCACTAAAACGTACTCAACTCCATGTGTAGGCACTAACTGCTATCTACTTTCTGTTTTATCGATATCCACCTATTCAGATATTGCTCAATATCTAGATAAAATGTACATGTACTTTTATCATGGTATTGAAAATATCTGAATAGGTGGATATCGATAAAACAGAAAGTAGATATGCAGTTAGTGCCTGACACATGGAAGTTGAAGTACGTTTTAGTTGGTTATAAGCAAAAAATTTTTCAATACTATCGTCAACGACCATATCATGCTGAAAATACCAGTTCTCGTCTGATCACTGAAGTCAAGCAGCATTGAGCGTGGTTAGTACTTGGATGGGTGACCGCTTGGGAACACCACGTGTTGTTGACATTTTTTTTTTCAATTAAAGAATATAAATCAATGAGAAAAAAAAGAATATTGATCAGCATTAACGGCTTATCCGATTGGGAATAAATTTTGTCCACATGTAGCGGGCGTTGTCAGAAGGGTTATGTAAATTGATTATAACAATTAAATTTGTTATAAAAAATTAAAAATGAGTTCTACGCAATATATTTGAATTCTTCCAACGCATAATTTTTTCTTCCACTAAAACAAAGTTACAAAGTGTGTAGTATGAATAAAAACCTACTTTTGTTACTTATTAATCGGCTTAAATATTTTCAAAATTTCATGCTTCTATAAAATCTTAAGAGTCACGCCAAGTTTTTGGTTGTTATGTTTATTGTGTCATTAACCGTACTAAATTTATTTTCAAAATAAAAACCGAAGAAAATAATTCATTTTAAATATTGTTAATATTTAGATTTCAGAACTTGGACGAAGTCGCGGGAATTTGCTAGTCTGAGTAAATAAATGTTTTTTTTTGTTCTGCATTACCATTCATAGTTTGTTTAACAAAATTGCCATAAAGATAAGTATATATATTATGAATATAACGTAGTAGTAAGGTTTTCCTCCAACTATATTGCTGCGTAGTTGATGCAGTGACGCTTTCTCGAGTGCGGAGTGGAGGGGGGTAGTCGGTCGTCGTGCTGCGATCAGCTCTCTTACGCTGCACGTTACTAACATGAAAATAGTCGAGTTGAAACAGTTGAAAAGCAAAAACATCTGAAAACTACAAACAGATGAAAATCGCAAACAGTTGAACGTCTGAGCAGTTGAAAATCTCAAACAGTTGAGTGTCTTTTAACAGTTGAATGTCTTTAAACAGTTGAATGTCGTACGAATATAATAGTTGAGCATAACAATATATACTAACGTAACATAGCCACGAGTCGATGTCATAGACTGAATGACTCTTATGTGGTGAATCGTCGGAAGGCGTTTATAATTGTTATATGTATACTTTTAGTTGCATATAACTAAAAACAACAGAAATGTTATACTCACTTCAGTCCTAGTACGAATAGTAAAAATTTTTTTACTACGTATACGAAATACAACCAAGTCGCTAACAGTAATAGCTAGCGAGAGTAAATTTTTAATAAATTTAGAAAAAGAGAGTGTTTGAACTTTTCAGTTTTACATTCATATCAATGAATGTTTTAATTTTTAAAGTATAAAAGTGTTGATGGAAACACCAGTTTTCACCTACAACACAAAATATGTGTTACATAGTAAGACTTCAATATAATACATGTTTTACTATATGACGCATATTTTTGAGAACGATATGTGTGTATAAACACATTACAAAGTTCCCTGGTTGATCCTGCCAGTAGTGATATGCTTGTCTCAAAGATTAAGCCATGCATGTTTAAGTACATACCGAATTACGGTGAAACCGCGAATGGCTCATTAAATCAGTTATGGTTCCTTAGATTGTACCCACATTTACTTGGATAACTGTGGTAATTCTAGAGCTAATACATGCAAACTAGAGTTCCAACCAGAGATGGAAGGAACGCTTTTATTAGATCAAAACCAATCGGTGGTCTCGGCCATCGTTTACTTTGGTGACTCTGAATAACTTTTAGCTGATCGTATGGTCTCGTACCGACGACAAATCTTTCAAATGTCTGCCTTATCAACTGTCGATGGTAGGTTCTGCGCCTACCATGGTTGTAACGGGTAACGGGGAATCAGGGTTCGATTCCGGAGAGGGAGCCTGAGAAACGGCTACCACATCCAAGGAAGGCAGCAGGCGCGCAAATTACCCACTCCCGGCACGGGGAGGTAGTGACGAAAAATAACGATACGGGACTCATCCGAGGCCTCGTAATCGGAATGAGTACACTTTAAATCCTTTAACGAGGAACAATTGGAGGGCAAGTCTGGTGCCAGCAGCCGCGGTAATTCCAGCTCCAATAGCGTATATTAAAGTTGTTGCGGTTAAAAAGCTCGTAGTTGAATCTGTGTGCCACACTGTCGGTTCACCGCTCGCGGTGTAAACTGGCATGCTTGTGGGACGTCCTACCGGTGGATTTAGCTTTAGTGTAAAAACTAAAGCGGTCCAATAATCCTGTCGCGGTGCTCTTAATTGAGTGTCGAGATGGGCCGGTACGTTTACTTTGAACAAATTAGAGTGCTCAAAGCAGGCTTATTATCGCCTGAATACTGTGTGCATGGAATAATAGAATAGGATCTCGGTTCTATTTTGTTGGTTTTCGGAATTCCGAGATAATGATTAATAGGGACAGATGGGGGCATTCGTATTGCGACGTTAGAGGTGAAATTCTTGGATCGTCGCAAGACGAACAGAAGCGAAAGCATTTGCCAAAAATGTTTTCATTAATCAAGAACGAAAGTTAGAGGTTCGAAGGCGATCAGATACCGCCCTAGTTCTAACCATAAACGATGCCAGCTAGCGATCCGCCGAAGTTCCTCCGATGACTCGGCGGGCAGCTTCCGGGAAACCAAAGCCTTTGGGTTCCGGGGGAAGTATGGTTGCAAAGCTGAAACTTAAAGGAATTGACGGAAGGGCACCACCAGGAGTGGAGCCTGCGGCTTAATTTGACTCAACACGGGAAACCTCACCAGGCCCGGACACCGGAAGGATTGACAGATTGATAGCTCTTTCTTGATTCGGTGGGTGGTGGTGCATGGCCGTTCTTAGTTGGTGGAGCGATTTGTCTGGTTAATTCCGATAACGAACGAGACTCTAGCCTGCTAAATAGACGTATTTCTGGTATCTTGAAGGTCTACAGTTTTCGGATTGTAGATTTTTACTACCGACGTACTTAAACTCTTCTTAGAGGGACAGGCGGCTTCTAGTCGCACGAGATTGAGCAATAACAGGTCTGTGATGCCCTTAGATGTTCTGGGCCGCACGCGCGCTACACTGAAGGAATCAACGTGTCTTCCCTGGCCGAAAGGCCCGGGTAACCCGCTGAACCTCCTTCGTGCTAGGGATTGGGGCTTGCAATTATTCCCCATGAACGAGGAATTCCCAGTAAGCGCGAGTCATAAGCTCGCGTTGATTACGTCCCTGCCCTTTGTACACACCGCCCGTCGCTACTACCGATTGAATGATTTAGTGAGGTCTTCGGACTGATACACGGCAATGTTTCGGCATTGCCGATGTTGTTGGAAAGATGACCAAACTTGATCATTTAGAGGAAGTAAAAGTCGTAACAAGGTTTCCGTAGGTGAACCTGCGGAAGGATCATTAACGTATTAACAAATTTCATATAATTTGTATTACAATAATAATAATAATAAATGTGTTAACACACAAACAATTTCATACTCAATATACATGCAAACAAAATGATATTTTCATGGTAACCTGTTAAAAGTAATTCTTTTTTAAAATGAAAAAGAATTTACTGTGGTTTTTAAATGAATATTCGCCATGATTTTTCATTTCATATTACTTTTAGTATATTGAGTATTTTTATAATGCCATAACTATTACTTGGTTATGGCAAAAATGCATATCTGTCACATTAGTGACTTGTATGTATATCATTTTGTAAATGTAACATGTACAGATTATATTGACATTTTAACAATGTAAAATAAAAATAAAAAATGATTATTCTAAACGGTGGATCACTTGGCTCGTAAATCGATGAAGAACGCAGCTAATTGCGCGTCAACTTGTGAACTGCAGGACACATGAACATCGACATTTCGAACGCACATTGCGGTCTACGGATCCAATTCCCAGACCACGCTTGGCTGAGGGTCGTATCTACATATAAAACTGCATATTTTTTAAGTATGCGAATTTATTATATTGAATGTTCATCATTTCATTAAATGATGTCATTTCAAATTATATAGATGATGATTAAATAACACATAATAAGTTAGTCATCGTGTCCATGAATTATTTTGATATCGTAAAAGGACAGATTGATTTGTAACTTTTTTTGTGTTTCTATCATATTTCTAATGGCGACCTCAGATTAAGCGAGACTACCCGCTGAATTTAAGCATAT